AAGTTTCAATTTCCAAATCTATCAAAACCTTGAAATAGCTTTCCGCCCTTAAATATCCATTTGAAGAGAAAAGTTGTATAAGTCACAGAATGTCGCCTCGTGTCGCAAGTAAATCGAGGAGGCATGATTAAGGAGATATATTTATCTATTAAAATTTGAGAAATAACTTCTTTTTGTTCATATACATAATAATGAAATGTTTTTATTCGACTCATAAAATGCCTTTTTGTAACTACAGAGACAAAAATTCAGCATTCAATGATTATTCAAATTTCATTAGATTTCATTTTCACATTAGTTCATAGAGAGGCTCATCTATGCTTGGGACTAAATATGCTAGTGCGGCTCTGTTATTAACCAGTGTAAGGAGTTAATACAATAATGCTAATATATAATCATATGGTAATTTACTTTATAGTTGTTCTTGTACAACCCAGGTTAAGACTTGAAAAAAACCCACCTTTTCTCCTTTTTTTAACAAAAAAGGCCTTTGAGAATGATGGATCAGAAACTTAAATTAATTTGTTTAAAGTATATGACATGATTAAAGTATATGACAAGAGAGTGTTATGGAACTGGTTGGGACAGAATGAAAAAATTTCCACACCTTTTTGCAGTCAAAAAGCGCCTTTTTAACCCCAGAAAGTAACTATTTTACAAGTAGGATGCCCTCAAGACTAATTTTTTTGGTTACACAGAATAAAGTATAATAATTTCCTAAAATATTACCCCTTCCCAAAATTTTCTCATCAGAATTCGGCGAAATACAAAATCAATTACACCGAGATGTCCCACCCACTCTTTCTCTGTCTCTGCCATTGGGAACTTTGCAGTGGAATGTATACCCAGGCTAAATTTTTTGTGCACCTTGAATCGCATTATAAGACCATACGTCTGCTAACGGTAGCCAAGACCTAGATAGTGGATAGCATGGTCTCACACGAATATGAAACAATATATTGGTTTTACCTATTGATTTCGTTTGACATAACAAATACAGTGGAATCCCGATATAACGATTTCTGAAGGGAACCAGAAAATAGTTTGTTATATTGGGAGTTCGTTAAACCAGGGGTTCATTGTATCAGGATTCCACTATATGCTATGTTCATGTGTCAATAGTCCTACCTCTTCAGCTGTAATTTCCTCTCTTTATAAGATCTAAGTAAAGTTTTCTACGTTTCCCTTAAATTTTTGCCATACCGTTATGAATAAAGGTTACTTTGTTTCCATTCAATTTCCACGATATTTTCTACAATTCTTAATGTCGAAATTGCAAACTACAATTCTTAAGAATTTGATGGTAATTTCACTGAAGCAATAGTTATACCATTACAAATTTGAAGAAAGTCAATCATATTTTATTGATCCTATCAATAAGACATTTTGATGAATAATCTAACCAGAGCGATATTTCAATTATTGACCTCTTCCATAGATGTTTTGGATAGGGCAATCAGTTTTTAGGTAAATGTCCCCCTATTGTTTTATAGTGTTCTATAGAGGGGACACTTTTGCATAGTGTCGTTTTGCTATGCGTTTCGGTCCCCCCGGACACTTTTGCATAACAAAACTGTTTTGCACTTTCGCATACAGTTTTGTTATGCAAAAGTGTCCCTCTATTGTTTTATAGAGGGGACACTTTTGCATAGTGTCGTTTTGCTATGCGTTTCGGTCCCCCCCCCCCGGACACTTTCACATACAGTTTTGTTATGCAAAAGTGTCCCCTATTGTTTTGTAGAGGGGACACTTTTGCATAGTGTCATTTTGCTATAAGTTTCGGTCCCCCCCCGGACACTTTCGCATACAGTTTTGTTATGCAAAAGTGTCCCCCTATTGTTTTATAGAGGGGACACTTTTGCATAGTGTCGTTTTGCTATGCGTTTCGGTCCCCCCGGACACTTTCGCATACAGTTTGTTATGCAAAAAGTGTCCCCCTATTGTTTTGTAGAGGGGACACTTTTGCATAGTGTCGTTTTGCTATGCGTTTCGGTCCCCCCGGACACTTTCGCATACAGTTTTGTTATGCAAAAGTGTCCCCCTATTGTTTTGTAGAGGGGACACTTTTGCATAGTGTCGTTTTGCTATGCGTTTCGGTCCCCCCGGACACTTTCACATACAGTTTTGTTATGCAAAAGTGTCCCCCTATTGTTTTATAGAGGGGACACTTTTGCATAGTGTCGTTTTGCTATGCGTTTCGGTCCCCCCGGACACTTTCGCATGGGGGGACCGAAACGCATATTACACCGGCAACCGGTTACAAGTGGAACCAAAATATTTATATTCTGACGACCGACATAACCAAAAAAATGAAATCAAATTACCCAAACTTTAACTAGTGATTGTTTCGCTTGTTTAAAACAATTATGCACAACTTGTGTTGCAATGAAAGAATTCATGAACTTGTTTGACAAAAATCTTGAAGACACAAGGTATTGTACTTTCCGGTAGATACCGATTTGCAAATATTCATTTATGATATGAGCTTGATAACAAAATCAAGTAAGAACTGGTTGCACAAAATCAAGTAAGAATTGTGGCCCCCTTGGGGTTTACAACCGTTTCATACCAATCAAGCTCTGTACAAGCTCCAACCAAACAAATATATGTACTACCTCTATACTGGCTTTTTAAAGAAGCTCTTCGGCATTGAAAAAGCCACCAGACCAACAGAGTTACAACACCACAAATTTAGTCACTGGCAATCTTTAGTTAAACTTTTTAACTCTTCTGTTGAGAAAAACCAAAAACAACGGTAGCATTAGAGAGAGACTATGACCTCAAAAATAAGTCTTTTTGACTGCAGTGTTGGCATTAGCGTTGAAGATGGTCAATGTTGAGGGGATATTGAGGATAGTGTATCTCTTACCCAATAAGGAAGCAAATATTCAAGAAGCAGTACAACTCAGTCCAAATAACAGGGCACAACCCCCAGAATCTATGCACATGAGTAGAAGAAAATTGAGAAATCTTAAAAACCCTGCTAGACAAAAAAACATACCGCCAGGGTACCCATTGCAGAGTGCATGATAGAATATAATTGGATCTGGACGTTACGGAACTGGCATTACATCATCAAGATGTGATCAATTCTACGAATGCCGCATTGAAAGACATGAAACTGACATATTTGGCTATGCCTCTCAACATCAATAAATATGCAGGGCCTCCTACGAAGGGGGGGGGCGGGGGGGGGGGGGGGGGGGGGCCATGGCCCCCTCACTTTTTTGCAAAACAAAAGAGCTTTTTTGAAAAAACTTTTGTTATGACTGTTACACTTTCTCTTGGCCCCTCCACTTTCCAACCTGCGTCGGAGCCCATGATATGTATATCCTTATCTTATGCAAGCATTGGATACGGTGCTACGTAGCCATAGCCAATGCTTGCTACGGTCCCTGCGTGAAGTAAAATCATCATTATATCATTATCTGTACCACACAGAATTTGTACCTACATGTACATTTCAAATGGAGCCCTTATCCCAGGGGGGTTTTACCTTGGGGTCAAACTACGGGATGTTCCTTCTACAATAATTATTTTGACCCTGTCCTGGAAAAAAATTCTGTAAACATGAAACCTATCCTAGAAGAAGAGCTTTTATTCCAAATCTTAGCTTTAAGTGTTAAGTGAAGAAAGCTATAGTGTGGACAATGCTTTAATTTTAATGGCAAATCTGACCTGTACTGGAAAAGTTCCTTGGGTGGGTATACCTCTGCCAAAAAAAGAGACAAATAGAATAACCCTGCTCCAGAATTTCCAGCCGAAAATGAGACTCTGTTGATAGGAACAGCTCCGTGTATCACCAAAACTCTGCGAGCACTCGTCCTAGACAGGGAATTTTTCCTAACAAACTGGCGGAGAGGGTAACCGGAGGTTTTTCACTTGTCAACGGTCAGAAAAAAATGAAAATCGTCAAATTTGAAAACAAACAGCATCAATTGAAAGAGTATAAGAAACCGAACAACAAAAGCTTAGAAACATATATCCTAAAATCAACCAGTTAAAAACTATCACGTGTCAAAATATTGATGACGTCACCATATGCGCAAGTCACAAGTACGGGAAATTGGTAATTTCCGCCATTTTGGGCCTCTTTTATTGATACTATTGTGTAATATCCATGTTGACAAGATATGAGGCGTAAGTGGTTATGATGTTACAGTGGATATATAAAGGGTTAAGGCATAGAGTAGCCCCTATGTATATATAAGTGGATATATAAATGGTTAAGTTAATCAATTACTTGACTTTCGTCTAGTTTGGCACGTTTATATTTTCCAAAGTTTTCAAGATTGAAATCTCTATCATTTGCAGGTGTAGATGAGCTACTCCAAAATTTTTCATACTATTTGGAAAAGTCTTGCTAATGTATAAAGGTGTCTTCGATCTGGTGGGTAGTTTCCACAAAATGAGAATTATGCAGAAGATTCTACACAAGAGGAACGCCTGTTTGAGATTTCGTCAATGATTGTTCGATGCAAGGGTCATATCTAAAATTTCAAGGTATTAGTCCAAGGAAGTGCAACAAGTGAAAAACCTCCGGTTACCCTCTCCGCCAGTTTGTTAGGAAAAGTTCCCTGTCTATCCATTTATTCTGTGATGGATGGCTGAAATCGAAAATAGAAGTCAAAAATTAAGAGAGACGGGGAACGGCAGCATTGGTATCAAGGGGTGCAGAAAGTGTTACCTTAGACGAACTACACGAAAAAATAAAGTCAGGATCAAAAGTAAACAAGTTTTAAGATTCAGGACTAGCTGACTATTTACTATAATTCTTCTGTTGTGTTTAGTTGATGTCTTGATTTGAAATTCTTATAGTTATACATAACGATTCCTTCTATTTTGCGAAAAAAATTTTCCAGAGTGTCGATTTGTGTACAACACCGCATAATTAAAACCACAACACCACAAATCAACTTTACAACACCACAACACGGTAAAACCCTTTAGTAATCAAAGTTTGCTTAGTTCTGACTGTTGAAATCGAGGCAGTATTGTGGTACAAGGAAGAACTCCGTATCCAGAACGAGTTTTGTAAGCAGGGCGTAAAATTATAAAACTGTTTTACAAGTTTCGATATCAAGAAAATGGACGGCGTAACATAAGATCTATGTGCTGTTACGTTTTCTTTGCTATTTGCTCATTGTGCTTCTTGGAAATTTTGAGTAAAGTATGTTTTTCCTTCAAGCATTTGTTTTAGCGTAGGGCCTTGTTGTTAGCCTGTTGAGTTGGTGGCCTATTTTGTTTGAAAACAAGCATGAGTTCGAAAATTCCGGGTGTCTCTAATGACCTAATCGATTTATCAGATAATATTCCTAGTGACAAGGTATTTTTGTCAGTGTCAAATGATGAGGATGAGAGCTCAAACTTACAATCGTACGTTACTGTTATGTCAGCATCCAATTTCGATGACTTTATCGTCGAGGATCAAAAGCACCTAAGTCTTGCAGACTATGTACGCAAACCAAGAACATATTCGAGAGAGAAAACGCCAAGTATTGATGATAACCCGCCACCGTTACCACCAAAACGTAGAAGTCAAAGTAGGAAAAACCAAAAACTTACAAGTCGCTTGCTCAGTGCAGGGATAGATATTAACAGCAGCAGTAATTCACCTGGTACTTCAAGCCCATCTTCCTCCTTTGATGAACCAGATTTTTCAGGTTTCAACAGGAATTTAGAAGGCAGGTCACTGTCAGCTCAGCAGTTTGATTATGATAAGAGTTTCTCAATTACTCCAGTATCAATTAATCCTAATAATGCTGATGCTTTTTATAATATGCAGCAGACTGATACAACCACATCTGTAAATAGAATGGTAGATACCAAACTTAAAAATGCAGCATTCAATAACTTAAAACCAATGAGCTATTTGGATCCGGCAAGTGTCAGCCTTCTTCAGGACAATCTAGTGGAATTGGAGCAATCTTTAAAGGGTTTAGGAAGGTCTCAATCTCAGGAAATTCTAAGCAATCAAACCTCTGATTGGTCCACTTGCTTGGGAGATACATCAACTGCTAACAAAAAGCCACTTAATTCATTATCAGTAGACGATCTAAATACATTTATCAACAATTTTACACAAACACCATTTTCTGAAATTGAGCCATTTATTAGCAGCCCTTTTGCACAAAAAGATGGTTTTTCTGAGGTAACAGCAACAAAAATTGTCAGAACCTCCTCAACACTGCCACCACCAAGACCAGACCCACCCAAAGTTTTCAATCGTCTTTCATTACCATCTTCTATAAGTGCCAGCAATGAAAAGGATGCAAAACTTTACTTTGGTGATGGGATATTTGATCTTGCTGAAGAACGAAATGTAGAGGCAATGGAGTTTTGTAAAAAGGTTGCAGGTATTAGAAGATTCTTTGCTTTTTCAATGATTGAAACAAATCCAGGCTTTGTCTGTGACTCAGTAGTAAATTTTGATAATAATGGATGGCGGAAGGATATAGACATTGAAGTATTCTATGAAAGTTATGCAGATGCGATAACAATAGTGTGTGATATGTTTTCAAATGTACAGGATGCTGTTTTAAAGTCATTGTTGGTTTTTCAGAATAGCTACAAAGACATTGACACCATATCAAAGAACAAGTATATTTTTAAAGTATGCGGGCAATCTTGTTATTTAGAGGGAAATGAGCCAATCATAAACTACAGTTATGTACAAAATTGTGTAAAACTTGGAGAAAAAGTAAGTGTTACAGTTATTGCAAGGAGCAGAATTAGAAGGGATTTATCAAGAACTAAAGAAGATGACAATCAAGAAGCAGCAGGCACATATTTCAAACACTTTTTCAATGTCCAGCTAGCAACAGCAATTTCAAGGCAAGGTTTGTCAGTATTGATTGAGACATATAATCTTGAAGTTGAGAAATTAGTATCAAATGTTACCAAATCAACCCAAGCTACATATATACCAGAAAAGCTAATACAAATTGTCAAGGCTTTGTCTTTGTCACTTGCTTGCATTGAGTCTACACAGTTACATGAAGCCATCAATTTATTGCTATCCTTGAAGTCCAAAAACATTCAACCAATTGTTTCTAGCACTGTGGAGGCTGGAGTTATAGATTTCAATAGAATCATAAGCTCAGAGACATTTGACAGAGGACGCTTTGACATTGCACTTGAAAAGCTTACTTCTGCAGTTTACTCATTAGTTGATTCTTACTGTAGGGCATTTGATACTGATTTTGCTGTTCATGATCCCAAGGATGTTAAAGCAAATCTACTTGGTAAAAGTATTCCACCTTGTGAGAGGGTCAGTGCTGAATCAATAACCGATAAATTTTCAATAAAAATTTCATCTGCACACAGAGTACCAACTGAATGGAAATTAAAGTATGACAGCTATGAAATTGAATGTGGTCTATTTTATGGAGGTAGATCTATATGTGACCCAGTTGTCACAAAAGCTAGAAAAATGACAAAAGGGTTCTATGAACATATTAAGTGGGATGAGGTGCTTTCTTTTGATTTGCCAGTCAAAGAAATTCCATGCGAGACAAAAATTTGCTTGAGATTGTTTGGCCTTACATCAGCAAAAAAGCAAACAAGAGATCCAAAGAACAGCTCTGAATTAGGTTGGATCAGTTGTAATGTGTTTGACTTTAGAGGACTTCTAATTACAGGCAGTCAAATTTTTGGGTTGCTTTCAGGGACAGAAATGAATCCTGCAGCAATTTGCTCATCAAGTAACATACAGGAGCCAACAAGTGTCATTTTGAGAACAGATTTTGAAGTCTACCATTCAGAGATTGTCTTTCCAGAGGCCCTTGTGCAGACTAACCATTTGATTGACTGCCAGGAAGCTTCTTCAGAGGTACCTCCAGAGATTTATCAGATTCTTAATAAATCATCTTTGACTGATCTTTCCATAGAGCAGAAAGAGTTGCTTTGGAAAAACAGATTCAGCCTGAAAGATACAGATAAAGCTTTCCCATATGTTTTGGCCTCTGTACCCAATTTAAAACCTGAAACACTGAAGGATGCTCAGGATCTAGCACATATTTGGCAAGCCCTATCACCAAACATAGCCTTGGGGTTGCTGACAGCCAGTTTTCCTGACACTGGTGTAAGGACTTGTGCTGTAAACTGGCTCAGTGTTATCAATGAAAGTGAGTTATGTGATTATCTTCCACAACTTGTACAAGCCCTGAAATATGAATCATATCACACATCAGCATTGTCAACATTCCTCATCACATCTGCTATTAAAAGCCCTAAGGTAGCTCACTTTTTGTTCTGGCATCTTAAATACTACACAGCAGATGCTCAGTTTTCCCAGAGGTTTCAGATCATACTTGGAGGACTGTTAAGTGTTTGTGGTGCAGCAATGAAGGACCAGCTTTCAAGGCAAGATCTTATGGTTCAGCAATTGGCAAAAACAACCTTGAAGCTGAAAGAAACAAAGGACAGTTTGCGGAGAAATATTTTATCACAAGATCTGGATTTTGTAGCTGTGGACATAGATTCTGGTTTGCGTTTACCATTTAGTCCATCCGTAGAAGTGAGAGGTGTTATTCCAGAAAGCTGCTCTTATTTCAACTCATTCACTGTGCCATTAGCCATTGTCTTTGAGAATGCAGATAGCAGAGGCAGCACTGTGAAAAGCATGTTTAAAGTGGGAGATGATTTGCGCAAGGACCTTGTCACATTGCAGCTTTTTCGTGTTATGAATAGGTTATGGCTTTTAGAGTCATTGGACTTAAAGATGATTACTTATGAATGTATGCCAACTGCACCAGAAGCTGGAATGCTTCAGCTTGTTCCTAATGCTGCCACCCTTAGAGAAATTCATGTTCAGCATGGTGTTACGGGTTCATTTAAAGACGAAGTCATTGGTCTTTGGCTGCAGAAATACAATCAATCGGAAGGTGAATACCAGACAGCTGTTGAAAACTTTTCTGCTTCCTGTGCTGCTTACTGTGTGGCGACATATGTTCTAGGTATCGGAGATCGTCACAATGACAACATCATGGTTACACAGAAAGGCCATCTATTTCATATTGACTTCAGTAAATTCATGGGAAATGTGCAAAAGTTTGGCACAATTCGTCGTGATCGAGTGCCATTTGTGCTGACACCAGACATGGCATATGTCATCAACTTTGGTGACGAAATGTCTCATAATTTTCAGCATTTTGTTGAACTATGTTGTGATGCATTTAACATTCTTCGCAAAAATTCGGATTTAATCCTCAATCTTCTCGGGTTGATGGTTTCTTCAGGCATTCCTTACTTGTCAAGTCCAAGTGACATTGAATATGTTCGACATTCTTTGCAGCTTGATCTTACGGACGCACAAGCAATGGTTTTCTTTACAAGGCTGATAGAAACAAGTTTGAGCTCGAAATCAACTCAGTTGAACTTTTTTATTCACAATATGGCCCACATGAAAGATTCACAGAACACGTCTGGTCGTGCCATCTTCTCTTTCTCCAGTAAAGTTTACAGCAAAGAGTCTGATGGAGAGATCGTATCAGTCAGATGCGTGGACATTCAAAAGCGTTATGTACCGGACAAACACTATATTTTCGTGCTTAATATTCTGAGAAATGATAATAAAGGCCCGCGATTCGTTTTTCGAAAGTATGATGAGTTCCAAGAACTGCATACGAAGCTTGCACAGGTTTTCGGGACATCAAATATCCCATCTTTACCTGGGAAAGTCTTAGTTGGCAGAAGTGAAATCAGGGACATTGCTGTCAGACGAAGATTTGAGCTGGACGAATTTCTTGTCCAAGTAATGGGTCGAAGTGTGTTGAGCAATTCAGAGATTCTCTACACATTTCTTCACAGTTTCATTCGCGATGAACAGGATTCTTTCAAATTCGCTGACATCTTAATCAAGCTCGAAGAGGGTCTTCCAAGGAGCCGTGTTGGTGGCGAGATTAAGTTATCTTACCAATATAGCAAAGAAAGATTGAATCTTCTTGTTATGTATGCAAGAAACCTGATTCCTCGAACAATACAAGGCACTGCGGACCCTTATGTAAAGAGCTACTTGTTGCCAGACCCAAACAAGTCGACGAAACGCAAGACCAGAGTTGCAAGGCGGAACCTTCATCCAACATATAACCAGACTCTGTCTTATGCTGGTTCATTGCAAATGTTGCAGCAAAGGGTACTTCAAGTCACCGTATGGGATAACGATTCATTTGGTGTCAACGATTTTCTAGGCGGGGTCAACATTTATTTGGCGACTCATGACTTAACTCAAGAAAGGACACAATGGTATGAACTTAAAGATTTTGGAATAGGTATGTGAGCTTTTTTCGTGAATATGAATTTTTAGCGAGTAGTGAACTGAGTCAAAAACTAGACCTGTAACTTTCAATCTGATGAAAATATCAAATTAAGGCCAATGAATAATATCACGCATCAAATAATTTTAGATTCATAATTATGAAAAATTTGGTATAAGAGATAGTTGTTGAAATAATGAATTATTAGTAACCGTTCTCTGATGTGTATATACCCATTCCGTTTAGTTTTTTTGGTTCTAAGAAATTGGTAAATACTTCCTTATCATTGCGATTCCTTTTAAGTGCTTTCGTTTCCCATGTTACAACATCACACTTCAAGTTGAATAAGAAGTGGGAAGTGACTAGAAGTAATAAGGGATATAATTAGCTTCTTTGTTTCACCTTATCAAAACTTAGTTTTAAACATTTGCATTTGTTTGTTTTTCATTCATGTCCCAGATTTGGTCAAAATAAAGTTAGCAATTAATTAGGCAATGATAATTTGTATATCACAATTAATTTGAAAATATTTGTTTATCATCACATTAACACTTCCATTATTGAATGTACCGAAATATTATATATCTGTTCTATTCTATTTTATCCTCTTGCACACAGTTAGGTTTTTGTAAAAATTCTGCACTTACAATCTTTCATTGTGGTAGGGTAGCATTTGAACTTCTGGTCGTTTGTATTTATGTTTGATCGTGGTGAAAACCCATATCTTTGTAAGAAATTTAAAAAAGAATTATAAAAGGTGAAAAATATGTTTTGACAGTTAGATCGTTCGTTTTAACAAATTGAAGCTTTATTACCTGTCACGTTCGGTACGTTTTGGTCATGTGGTAACAAGGAATTGCAACCTAAGGTAGAGATTCACGCAGTTTTATGAGACTGGGATTTTCGGTATCTCGCATTCTCCATAGTCTAGTCATTATTTCGCTATTATATCTTTCTAGAAAAATGTAATTTTTCATAAATAATATTTCATGCTCAATAGTTCATTGCTTTTTTGTTATATTTCAAAAGGAGGTTTTCCTTTTTGTTTTCGTTCTCCGTGAATAATTGTATAAAGTACAGTTTAGCGTCATATGATATTCAGAACCCCTGCGTGGCATAGATTTTGTCCAAGATTCGTTAGATTCGTGTATTTCGCAGCCATAGTATTTTTGTAGATCTACAATAACTAATTTCTGTTTATTTTTGATAGATTTGTCACAACTGCTTTTAATTTTCATTATCCCTTCTGAAGTGTTATTATTAACCAAATGCCATGACACTCTAATTGGAAAATTTTGACAAAATTTTCAAGACGATTTTGCAAAACTATCATAGCCATTTTTGATTAAATTTTACCCTTGAAACATAGTTGTGTAATATAGTATTATAGAAGTTTATTGAGAAACATTCCTTGATTTTTTTAAATTAATCTTGATTAAGCCAAGCTTTTTAATGCGCTTTTGTTACGTTTGCCAAGGACCAACATTTTCTTTCTTTACAGATAGATTTAAATGTTTTCTTTTAAAAACTTTTCAAGGCGCTTTTAAAATTTCGTTCCATGCATTGTCGCTATTCTTCGAATAACATTGTCTTTAGATGCAAGTTTTTAACCACTGTATATGGAACTAAATATAGTTTTATCAACGTTTGCAAATATTACATGTATTTTTAAAACTCATTTGAAAAGATTCATTATGTCCTAAAATGTTCGCTGCTTTTAAAGTCATTATTACATTTATGTCATAAGCGACCTCGCCCCTTTATCTCTTCTAGGTTACAAACAACTAGAAACAACCCTTCGCCCCCCTCTCTGTCTCAGACATCTAATGCCTGCACTACTCATGATAAAAGATGCTTCAGGGGCAAAATAGTGTTGATCGCAACGTGATAAATGATCTTCCTGTTGGCTCTTAAATTCATAAGTTCTTCTTTGCGGTGGGTTGCCGTATATTTCTTGCATGTGAGGGGTTTTTCTGAATTAGCTCGTGGTTCGTGGTTTAGTACGTCATTCGCAACCTTGTAGTTGGTATTAGGTACTCTAACATTAGATTAACCTTATAACATTCATCCGACTTTTTCTTTGTGTACTTTCCTGGCACCAGAGTCCAGATCAACCACAAAGTAAACGAAAGAAATGCTTCGCAAAAAAATACTTTTATTAGGTTTTATTTGGATATTACGTCAGATGATCCAGATACAGATGGATCCAAAGTAACACAGTTTACTTTTGCAAGAAAACCCAAAACTCGCCATATGTCACCAAATTTAGTTTATTAGAAAGCCATCAATGTGCCAAGTATTAAAAAACTAATTTTTGCAATAAAACATACCGCGTTAAAATGTGTCACAAGTCAAAGAAATGAGTTTCATAAAAATTGGCAAAAATTCACGAAATATACTTTTACAAGAGAACCGAAAGTTTGCCAAGATTGATGCAAGTAAGTTTTGCTATTAAATCCTATAAAGTCAAATAAAGTTACTTGAAAATCGAAAATTTTTTAAAAGCTGTTGATTACAAAATTTGCTTTTCACAGCGGACCTTGGACATCTTTTATCTAGCACATCGAAGTTGATCACGTGCGTTGTCCTTTTTGGCCAACTGAGATATTTGGCTATCGACGTTATTTTCGTATATTAAGTTACATACCTTATCATGAGAAGGGTAAAACAATCACTGCGAAGAAGGAGTCTGGGGGGCTGTGCCCCCCACTTTTTGCAAAAAATGCAAACTTTTAAGAAGCGAACGACCAATAAAGTCCCATTTTATTCCGTTTTAGCCCCGCCCCACTTTTCTCAGACCCCCAATTTCTCTCACCGCTCCGCGGTGCCTGTAAAAATGGCTCTGAATATGAAATGTTCACTTTCAGTTTTGAGATCTATTTTGGCATTTTGGGAAAACAGCTGCTACTTTCAATATTTTCACCCCTGGTTTCAGAATAATTCATATGCAGATCTATACTCTATACTCAACGTACATGTTCAACTTCGTCTGTGTTCCAGACCCCAAACTTGAGAGCAGAGGTCTACTTTCAAGTTAAGGGTCTGGAATACAGGCTAGAAAAAGCAAGCAACGCAGCAGAGGCAGACTGGCAGCAAACCTCTCGGGTTGCTATATACAGAAAAGGAGCCCGTACTACTTATAATGTAAGCAACAGGGGCGTTGTGACTCCTAGGAAAGGGCCGGGAGAAAATTATCATAAGGGGGCCCATTCTTGTGTATGATATCTCCAATCACAAACCCAAATCACCAAAAAATGATATGTACCTGGAAACTCTGCACCTATAAAATATTAAAAATGTTTTCCCCTTCTTGTCCCCCTCTCGCAAGCCATATTCCACGCATCTCTTTCACAGTTGCCTGTTTGTAAATGTTGACCTCCTCTAATTCTGAACTGTGAACTTGAGTATAAATGTAAGTGAGGCGTTTTCTCACCGAAGATTTTGTTCATATTAGATATTTTCCTGGGTTTTACAAACTCACTTGGAAGGGGCCCGCCGATAAATTTCCCGGTGTCCCGCCTAGCCACAACACACCTGGTAAGCAATACTGAAATGTTTCCTTTCTAAAGATTTTATCCTCATTTCTGTGACTTGTATTCTCTTGAACATAGATATCTTTGAAATTAACAGAGTTATTTTCTCGAACTTATCTACGGAGGGCCCGGTTATCATGAAGTTGATAAGGGCCCGGGTTGCGATCGCAACCTAGCATCCCTGCCAGTCCGCCACTGCTGAACGCAGTGACTCTAGTTCTTTTACCTCAATCAGACTAGCAAAATTCTTAAAATTCTGTAGGTCACAAAAAATGAGTTTAACAAATGGAGGTGAGTCTAATTGGTAGTCACTTTAGATGTATGACACTGAAGGATTTTTCAACAAACAATGACACTAATCAAGCATTATGTCAAACTTATGTATATCCAACTGAATGGAATAGGATTTTGAGTTTAAAAACAAAATCATAACCAATTAATCTGTACAGATTTATAAAAGCGGCGCCAACGAAAGAGACTGGGAGAGGTGATGCTCTACCTCCCCCACCCCCTAGTTCTCGGCCGGATCAATTTTGTATTTCGTCTAAAATAGACGATTAAGTGTCGGGGGAAGGGGAGCAATTTCTTAACGTATTTTTTTTGACGTAAAAAATATATATAATTTTGCAAATGGTTTTGCATGACAAACAATCAGTCATAGGCACTCCCTATTTGCGTTTCCTGTTGGTAAAGGGCGCTTTCTGACAGTAAAAATGGCATGGTTTAATTTTTTTGTCCTTCCCAGACCCTAGAGGCTGACGCCACCCTTGTAAATTTTTAACATTTAACATCTACTTTAGTTCTCACGACGTATGTATTACCAATTGTATGATTAAGCTCAGTGGTGCCGTGGAGGGGGGCTCAGCCCCACCCCCTTAACAAGTGAGTCCATATTTAGTTGGACGAATTCCTTGTTGGCAACCCTCTATTTTACTATAAAGTTCTTATGAAATAAGCAAATACTGTTTATGTTATTGGAAGGTTTGAATGATTTCTAGGATATTCTTTAACACAAATGCAATACATTGGGTATGGTAAGGGCAGGGGCGTAGAGTGCGGGGGCGTGGGGGTGTCACATCCCCCCAACTTTCAGAGAACTCGTCGGTAGAATTTCATTTATAACAAAATAATGATTAAGCCAAATGTAACATAAGAATTTCTTTCGGTAAAATATGGTTTTGCATCTTTTACACAACCCCCCCCCCCCCTCAGAAAGAAAGGTCACACTACGCCACTAGGGAAGTTTATGGTCAAGGGTATGGCCTTTGAATTCGCCTACAGCACAGCCCCTCTTCCTAACGTTTTAGGATGGCACCCCTGATTAAGGTGTTCATCGTAAACCTTTGAACAACAACGTATAGCAAATGAGATTTTATAACCATTTGATTTCTAAATCTTCTGATCTCTACTTTCAACAGGTTGATTCTTATACCATTTCTGATACTTTCCTTTTGCATACTGAAAACGTCTTATAATCTTTATACAGATTTAGCTGCCAAATAAAATACGAAATATGATATTGATGTTTGTATTCTAGTTTTAGCATGCGATGAAGGCCAAGATAGGCCATTGTCAGAGAACAAAGTCTATTTTGTACAAAGATGAGCGGCAACTGCTTGTTTGAGTTGCTAGAGCTGCACGGCTGATGTTTGATCTTCTTCGATATGTGCATCCAAAACAAGGAAAGTTCCAGCTGAAGATTTTCTTCTGTACCCTGATGACCCTCGTCTAGAGTCAACACTCCTTTTTCTTTCAACTGACGTGCTTCTTTCGAGCCACGAAGGTCTCCGTGATGTAAGGGAACTCCATATGCCTGTATTGAAAACAGAGTTACCATCCTTTGAAAACCGTCCGCACAGCAATAGTTTCTTGCAGCCCTTTCTTAGTGAGGGTGTGGCAAGAACATAAACCACTGGATTAAGGCTACTGTTTATCCAAGGAATAACAAGCAAACAGAATTCATATACATGGCTCCTATCATAATCATCTGTGATGAGCTCATACCAGTGGGTGCCAAAATAAAACCCCCATCCAGCAACAAGTGGCACTAGAATTATCATGACATTTAAAGCTACTTTTATCTCTCTTGAAAAGAAGCGGGAATTTCTTCGCGAGTTTTCGTTATTTTGTTCACTAACCCGCTTGGTTGCCAAGTGAATAGCTTTCTCAAGCGCCATAGCCATCTTTATGCTCTTTATTGCTGCGGTGAATATACCTATGTAAATTATCACGATTAGGAAGCAAGGAAGAACAAAGTTTGCGATCATCGCTGAGAAAACTAAAGAGAGGCTGTATTTCTCGGACTTCAAGTGTATTCGCAGCATGCCAAGAACGAAAATGGCAATTGCATACATCCAAATGAAAACTGCTCCAGCACGCACTCGTCTAGAGTTGACCAGTCCCTTGTACCGCAAGGGGTGCATTACAGCGATGCCTCTGTCAATGCTTACTGCTGCAAGATTCCAAATCGATGCTGTACCAAGCATCATATCGATTGATGGGAAAAGAAACATTGTTACATCTGCAGGAAGAGACGATATCGGGAAGCGGTCGAGCAAGACAAATGCTATCATTGAGAGCACGATGAGTAGGTCGGCAAGTGCTAAACTTGCAATCAGCTGATTTGTAGGGGTTCTCAGATTCTGCAGTTTCGTAACAGCAAGTATGATAAGCCCGTTGCCAAAAATCCCAGGTAAAACTATTACAGCAGACAAGATATACATCAAGGAATACAGAATATGAACCTCGTTGCTGTCGTAAACATCTTCGTGTGATGGATGCGTTGCGTTTATTGGCACCGAGGCGTTTGTAACGTTATACATTGCGGCTCTTGCAATGCCGTGCACTCGAACAGCTTTTTGAATAGGTTGTAGCTACAAATGTCCTTTTGCTGGCTTAGGCACCCAGTTCTGAACTCTCGAATGTATAACGGCTGTAGTCAATATTGCCTGTAACAAAGAAGGCTTGTTTATTGCCTTGTTTGGCAAAAATGCAGTTATCTAAATGATGAGATAAGCAGAAAAGTTGGTGCCGATTCTTATACAAGTAGTCGGATGAGCCTTGTAGTCACTCCCTTAAATTTGATTAAGTCTTTCAATTGATTATATAATTGGTTTTGATGATAGAAAGAGCGCCAAAGGTAATATTGAATCATTATTCACGATTATTATGACGAAGACGCTTACTAATTGCATATTGTTAGCGACTGAGGAATTCCCCTATCTTAATTTACCTCATTAGAACTTTAGGTGGGTTGTTAGTATAGGTGGGTTGTAGAGATTATAAAGATTTTCCTTGTTACGAAATTTTACTCGGTTTGAAAAAAATTGATGAAGTTTTTCAAACTTCCACGAAAACATCGGACTCAAACATTGGTATATGTGCCATCTAGTACTCTTTCCTCCTTACGTCAAAACCCTGTGTCCAGTAGCATGGATTCGACAACTGCCTACCTGCACCTCCCAAAGAAATATTCGAACTAGAAAATCATCTTTGTATATTACCATCAAACCGTGGTTTAGAACAGCAAATCATAAACTCAATGTAGAAACAGGTCGTTGACCTAAAATTGATTACGGTATAAATGTATAAATCGCAAAGTTTTAATTTTTTGATTACAGTAATTAACACAAAAGTGCCAAAATCATTTGGGGGGGGGGGGTCCTAATAAGAGCGGAAGTGTTGCGAAAATTTTCAAAAATTAATTAGCGGGTAGGACGGCAATTAGGTACCCAAGACTCAATTGGGCCAAGAGTATTGAGCTAAAATAATTGAGCCGCCTATGGTAATACTCTGCACCTAACAATTTACAAAAACAGTACAACTTGAAGGGGGAAAGAGTGTCATAGACAAATAGAAAAAACTAGTATTCCAAGAATTTCAGCATGTATTGCAGCTTGCAAGGCTTGGCGAAGACTTTCTTTTACATGTTTTCTGAAAGTAGTTCTATCAGCAAACTCACATTTACTCTTTTTACTTATGCTTAAACTTACTATTGATTTTGACATCAAGATCTATTTGTTATTGTGAACTGTAATATGTGACATTATTTCTATACATCTTTCAAAGTTGGTTTGGCTTTAGGGCAGCCTGCCCTAACGGACATGTGTTCCTATTCTAAAAGATGAATCACGGAACTCTTATCAAACAGACGTTTGCAAAAACAGGCGTTTTCTGTACATGCGTTTTCTTCAACAAAGGCCTTTCCTTTGCTGTCTTTACATTCAGATAACTAAGGAATATAAAAAATGTCAGTTTCCTTCCAAGTAGTACACACAAAACAAAACTAGAATTCTTTTTACTCCCTGTTCTGCCAGTTTTCAGGGAATAAGAGACCTCCTTGAATCAACTCCAGCCTGCAAGCTTATGTGTACAATTTCAAACGAATACTTCCCACAGAGTTAGGTATTTCTAAATCTGGATAGCAACATACAGGTTATATAGCTGATTGAAATTTGCAAGCTGAAAGGGTGGACGTTGCTGAAGAAAAATACCGTTCTGCAAACCAACGTATTGTAGCTTTTTTACAGTATCGTGCAAACTGTATTTCAGAAAATGTGTTAAATTGAATGCCAAATTTGAATAAAGGTTGCATTTTCACTCACCAAATTATGCTCTTTCGTGTTATGTTCAACACATGTTGTCTTCTCCGTCTGCAGGTCCATTCAAGGCCGCAAATATTTATAGATACGTAACCAAGAATAGTGTAATATTGACTGAGTTATTCTTAATACGATAAAGCATACTGCTTATGTTAATCTCATTAAAATTGATTAACTACTGAATAGGCTGCAGAAATTCTTTTCTCTGTCACAAATGAATTTCCTTATTAACGAAAGCACCATGCTTGGGCAATTGGAAGGAGCACAACAGAGAAAAACATGGATTATCATTAAGGCGGATAAACTCATTAAAGACACTGCAGTTCTTGGATCCTTATGCGCAAGCGAAATAAATATTTGTTTATAAGTTAAAACGCGGTTAATATGATGGCAATCCAAAATATGGTAATTTGATTAACACCGAAGAGCGTGGAAGTTAGCTTGAATCTTCATAAATCTATTGCTTTATCTTTAAAAAGGTCGAAAAACTCAAATTTTATCTACATATGTTATAAAGACCTAACCCACGTAATACATGACATTCTGTCAAGTAAATGCGATTGCCTGAAAATTATGTGTGAGAAACAAAGTGGTCTTAAAAGTCATATTTGACAGGGACGCATATCGCACTTCTAATATGCGTAGAAGATTTAAAAAACAAAAGGGTTTTATGGGTTTTGGAGAGATTTTTGGTAAAAGAAAACATATTTTTTCAAAGGCTCTATGAGATTAGCTGGAAGTGATTTCCAATCCAATTTTTGTGATTAACGGAAATTCAAAGTGTACTTGTTTCTAGATGTTGGAGTAAATTTTTTGGGAGTAAGCAATCAAGATTTTAAGCTAAATAGCAGGAAGAGCCCAGTATTTTGACATTTCAGTAATTGTTTTCTTCTGGCAATGCAAATATGAGAATTATCTGCTAAAATTCATGATAGCCTGCAACTTCTGAAGAAAGAATTCTTGTATTTTCCATCATAAATCGAATCTCTGTAGCTTTCCTCCGTCTAACTCATTGTCTTTGTAAATAGGATAAAATGAGACTGGTGTTCTCAAGTCTTAAGTACGCGAGCTCTCTCCACTGGTTCTTAAGGAATCACGTGTAGATACCAATGCCTGTTGCATCATATTCTGAGTCTCGACACAAGGGCGTATCATCTAGGGCGCCAAAGGGTACCAGCTATTATTCCCCCCATCCCGACTTGTCTCCCTACACCGATATTTCAATGCATTTCCCAGTATGTAAAGGCTTTCTGTTATTGTGCAATTCGTAAATTTGTCGTAGACAACAATGTCTCTTTATTTCTAGGAAATCCAGGGGTAAGTGCGTTTCATCTAAGGTGCCAGTGTCAGCGAAACTGTTGTTAAAGAATTATTGCAGACTTAAGAATAAAATCATCACAGTTGAATAAGTTTTAAGAAACAAATAAACATATGTGCTTAATAGAAACACTTATGCCAAGTATTTAATAAAATCTGCAGATGGTTGAAAATATGAGCCAGCATGAATTAGTTTTGAGAAACGTTCATATCACCAGTCTAAGCGTAAGTTTTCAAGGATATTTATGTCCATCCAAATTATTGCATAAATTTTGCCTTTATAAGCTACCATTTTGTAAACAGAAATCATGTCAGAAAGAAAAGAAACAGAACGCATTCAATACATTTTGACTCAATGAAACTTTTAGCATTCAACTAACGACTACGTGTCATTTTTTCATCAAGTGCAGCAATTAGTTATTAATCTTCCTTTCTAAAAAGTTAAGAAATACCTATAAGCAAAAACAAATTCAAACAAATACAGTGTTAGTAGGTTTGTCTTTTTGTTTGTATTTTGTCTTATTCATATGCCAACATATTGCCAAGAAATGGTCTGAAATGAAATTCACAACAGAAGAAACGCTAAAACCCAAAACTATATTGGATAATCCAAAAGGGATTCGTGGCCCATAGCCAGCAAGGCCAAAAACATTCAATCTTTGCTTTTACTTTCAAGTTTCAAAGATGAGTAAATAGCAAAATCACTTTCTTAAAGTATGAAAGAGCTTTAAGGGCATCCAGCATATACATTTGGTAACATCCATTACTTTCTTTTTGTCATTTATCCGGAACTTCACAGATATAGAAGACTGTAAAAGACTGTAATGCTAAAAAACCAAATGGAGAAGGACATAGGCGTTGCAGAGGCTTAATGTATTGGGAGAGGGGGCCTTAGCATTGGTGTTAGTAGAACTCTATGCTTCCTACGCCTATGGAGGAGGAGCGTTTAATGAGAAGAGTTCCTGCTTTGCGTGTATTTTGCGTGTATCTTAAACATAGACAGGCAATTTATAGTCAAATCAATCTGATACTAAAGAAGCAAAGATGTAGTCAGTAATGTAAGCATTTCTCCTTTTAAGCATCTATTGAGTATACGTTATATCATTTTTGTCATGAAATATACGTGAAATTGGCTACTGGCTATCAGAGGCATAGCAAAAGAGAGGATGCAGGGTGTGCCACACCCCAACTTTGTGCTTGTCAGAGTCTTTTTTTATTAATCCAAAGTATTAAAAACCTCAAACATGTATAGATAACGATAAACAAATTTATGCATAATATGCACTCAATTCCTATCTAAAGAATTGTCCGTATATGCTCAAATGGCTCACGATTTCACTAGAAGTAGTTTGGCTACGTTGAATTAATGCCAACAGTCAGACCTTAGGAACGCCATTTTTGTTGTTTAATCTGGGGCTCTGCACACCCGCCCCCCTAACAACTTTCTTTAGCTTTGCCCCTGCTGGTTATCATGTTTATAACTATTCTCTAAAGATGGCTGGCAATATTTTACAAATTAATGATGAACTACAAAGATTAAAACACAATATGTAAGCATTCTATTTACAATTTCTAAGATTTATACAATTTATTGGGATCTAGGTTGGATATTATGTTTAAAGCTTGTAACTACGGGCCATGGAAGAATAAACTGTTTTTTAATTTTTTTGCTGCTATATGTTTTCGGAGTTATGTAGAGTAGTTGATTGACTGGGCCTGATGAAAAAATTCATTTCATGTAAATACGAGATTGACAAATAACAAAGCTCTGACAAATATCTTTGGAGCAAAGAATTTACAGGGTACTTAAAGTCTAAAAGGGTTTTATGATTGTCACATTGCTAGCCAAATGGTTCCAAAAGGTTCCTCTGGCACGTCTTTTATGTTTATCAGCTTTTACAAGTATCGCCTTTATATAGCAGAAATTCAGACAAATATTTTAGAGTAACTGATAGATATTGAGTATCCACAAAGTAATAGCTGTTTTAAATTGGTTCCCTACGTCATCATTTTCGTGGAATACACTTTGAAATGTTCATCCAAATGGCTTCCAGTCTCTCCACCTGGCAATTCTAGAAGCATTTTTCATTCGTAGCACAGTACATTCCCTTGCCGTTTTGGCGAATAAACATACTGCATATCTTTGTTCTACAGTGAGGCTTTAGCTTGACTTCTGGAATGTCCCCATAGATCAAATCTATTCCTCGCACACCTAATCTACCAAGAATCAGAGCAGGATTCAGCGTTACTGGCTGTCCATTTCATTTGAAGCAAATTTTACGTGTTACCAGCATCATCTAAGGTAGTCGCTTTCTCTATTATCTGCCTACGGAGCAGCGCAAGACCTTCTTGGTTCTCTCCTGCATATTCGCTCCCTAATTCATGTCTAAAAGTCCCATTTCCTAGTAAATGGCTACCACTGTTTTTCCTAGTAGGTAGGGTATCTTCAATGAGATTCGTTTCAACATCTTGCTCCTCCTCAGCAACATCAACTTCTTGTATCGTTTGCTGCATAAACGGCATTCCATCAGATGTGAAAGGTCGTTTGCTTACTGGCATAAACCGGCCTATTTGTGAAGGATAATAGCAGCGGCCGATTGTGTTCATAAGCTGTAGATGGGTACCGTATTCCGGATGAGACATCGGCTGTGGTATCCTTCTAATGTGAGGTCGGTGCGTGTAACTATTTGGGGCTACTTGCGGATAATATTGTTTATTGACGCCATCTTGTGACGTCAACGGCACCGAAAGCCCATTTACTTTCATGTAATTACCTGGAACGAACACATTTCCGTTGAATCTAGGGTCTTCTGGCCTGTTTCCAAGTGACTGAAAATTCGCGTATTTCACATCAGGCATATGGACATTTGTAGCTTGCGACATTGAATCGACTCTACCGTCAATTTCAAATTCATTTCGTGCGTTGCGTTTCAGCGTATCTGCACTCAATTCATCCCTTGCACCCTTGACATCCTTTAGAGATTCGCAGTCACTGGCTGTTCCTTGCTCTGTACACGTACTGAATCTTGAACTGTTGCTGTTGGACGTGTTTGTTGTTGACTTCATTGTGTACTTTGATGAGTCCGAGGACGTTTCGTACGGCTGGCTTGATGCATCGTCACGGTCGTTGCAGTTTGCGTTACCGAGTATTGCAGAATGCCTACTGGCGCAACGCCTATCCGTTATGCTAATTCGCGAGTTTCTCATCCTACCACCGAGTGTTGGTGCTGACGCGGTACGACTTCCCCATGTTCCTAGTCGACCATACTTTCTCCTCCCACGCACGTCCTCAAGTGTTCGAACGCGCATGTCTTCTTCAGATGTTGTCGTAGACTCGTCTGGCGTACTTGTCGGGAATGATGTCCCAATTCGGAACTCCCAATCGGACGATATCACACTCGACCTAGGATCATATTCTTCGATCTCCACGCGTGGCTTTGGTGGACACGATTTTCTGAAAAGCAACCCTGAAACTTTTGCTTTGAATAGCACGCCAACAAGAGTTATAAGCAAAATGCAAAGAAGAGTTCCGATAACAACAATCGTAACTAAATAGGGCTTAGGAAAGAGATCGTCCTGATTACTGACTGGTGCTGTATCGTAACTAGCATTCCATGAACTGCTGTTCGAATCCATCATAGTGGAAGTTGGCATTTCAGAGTGGAAAACACTAACAATAATTTTTTGAGGAGTTGTTTTTTCTGTATGAATCTTAGTGGTGCCCTTTGTGGTTTTAACCGTCGAGGTTTTCTTTGTAATCGTGGGTGTTGTCAATGACGACGTAGGCACTGGTGTTGTGGTTGGCAATGGGGCCGTGCCAAAGCATTCCAATTGACCAACAGTAAAGAAGGACCTCTGACTTCGGCCTTTTTGCTGATCGATACTGAATTGAACCATAGTTACCGGGAGAGAATCTTTATCTGTGAGATAACCTTCGTCATTTCGCCATTGTCGATCCCCTACGTCACAATTACAGTCTAGGTGATGATCTGCTAGCAAAAGAAAGGACTGGTGAGCAACTAATCACACTAGAAGCTAAATGAATCGTTTTATAAATACTTCATCGAAATGCGCGTTTTCAACAGGAATCTTCTAATCATCAAATCATACAATCATCTAAGCATGGATTTGAATAAAGCAAACAATTTGAGTCATACTAAAGCTTATACAATCTGGGTTGCGAAAAACTATGATGGCGACATGTTTCGGATTATTGGCAAAGCACGATCGTCGTTCCATCTAGCAGTTTTGGAATCTATCTACATAAGCACGAAGAAACCGCTACTGTGTAGGCAAAAGGAGTTCATTTTCACCTTAGGATTCCATTGGTAAAATTTCATTAGGCATGCGGCACTGACTGGGCAACCTCAACAGTCATGTGCTCGCTTTTCTGATTGGCCTATTTCGATCGTATGTTTACTAGCGTAGTGTTTTGTTCTATGTTCTGACCTTTTATACTGTGAAGAGTGTCAGATGAAAAGCTTTAGTACAACCCAAAATGTTTGCTTTTTTCAAAGCCATTCTTAAATTTTGTACAACGAAAAAATTGTAATCATTTAAGAATTTTCAAACATTCATTACTGACATCTTCTCATTATTGGCATTTTTGGAAACTCAATCTTTGCAGGGCCGAAATTCTGAAACAACTAAATAAACTAAAACTTTTGAAACACTACATCGAAACATTTTCAACAGTTTGACACAATTCTTATTAGGTATATGTTTTTTTATCATCTGCCATTCCTTTTTGAGGTTTTGTTTCCTGCTTATGAAATATGTTCCTACAATGTCTTGCAATAAAAGCCCTTTTAAACACAGGCTTTGTCAGTCACCATGTTAACATAGTTTAAATGGTGGTCGCTTCAGTTCTATTGGAAGCTTTCGATCAAGGGAGCTTGAGGAAAACTTTTTTTGCGAGAGAGAGTTGAGAAACTTTTGAAAACATCAACCCGGAGATATTAATTTTTGAAAATAGCACTGTCGCTTGTCAACTCCCTTAACAGTCACACTACTGGCTACAGACATATAAAATTTCGACCCAAATATGCAAATCTATTATATTTAGCTCCGTTTACAGTCACGCTCCTTTTATGGGCACAAGATTTCAAGTAGCATTTGGTATTACTATAATTGGAGTCTACCAAAAGCGTTATACGCAAGCAAACAAGTTTTCGTACGCACCAGCACAATTTCTTTTGTCAGGCATTCCACACCCACAGGATTTGGATCCAGGCTTCGCGCCTCCCCAGTAGGTCTGTAGGATTCCGTTTCTTGAACCCCATCTTCCGCCACGAGTGTGCTCGCTCTTGTATCTTCGCAAAGAATCAAGCAGCTTTGACTCGAAGCAGTCATACCTTATGAACTGTCTGCAGCTAACACTTGCATCGGCAACATCTACAGCTGATTGTTTGCCTGTAGGGTACTTTATACGATATATGTAGTTGGAGCCCAAAGGTGCAACATCAGCTACCCGCGAGTCTTTAGGCAGGTTGTGCTGGATAACTGTGGCTGGTCCAAGTTCATGTGACATGTCACAATAAACATTGAACGAGTCAACTCCATTTGGACTGATTCGATAAGTTCCACTCGTTGTGTTGCCCGCTTTCTTAATTTCATCGCATGTACGCTTGTAAATCGAGTGTTCGCAGAGTTTGCCTTTAAACAACGATTTTGGACACTTGCAATAAAATTGTCCATGGTCTTGGGAGCAGCTGCCAGAGTTCAAGCAAGGACTCGGAAAGCAAAGATCTTTCGGGATACAAGAATTTGATATTTCATTCATTTGTGCAGGACGGAGACTATCCCACGTGACATTTACGCCATCCAGACGAATATTCTGCAGACAGCCAACAAATCCCGGATGACTAATAGTTGGTCCGCCTAGCCGGACTGTCTTGGTAAATGGTCCGAGCTCTTTAAGGAGCTCAAAATGACGCTGAAAATTGTAGACTTTTGTCTGTCCTCCAACTTGCAACTTTGCTGAGTTTTTCTTCTCCATAATGGTAATCTCGATATCATGCCAATCACCATTATCCAACTTTCCAAGTGAAACCGAGATTTTCTTTTCAGGCCCAATAAGTTGATTGAACGTGATGTTCAAGAAGGCCTTTCCACCGATTATTGCAAGTGTTACATGACCTTTGGTTGTAGCCATAGTTGCAATTATCCCATTTGCCTCAAATGTGCGGACCCGCGCTGCCAGGACAGTTTCATCTGTCTCCTTTTCTCGTTGCAGAAGAATTTTCGAACTGCTTCTAGTAAAACTCAAAGGGGAGTAGGAGATTGAATGGCATTGGAATGAAACCTCGCCAAAAATCTTGGTATTCAGAAGCTTAAACCTTGCACTGTGCAGAATATCACGCGAACGAAACTTGACATTGGACAAGCAGCCTTTGAAGTTTTTAGTGTCTGGCAGCCATTCATCCAAGTGTCTTTTCTGCTCTGCTCTGTCTATTCCTCCAACATAGAACATAATATCAAGATCCAGGCGATCAAATTGGCCAGGTGCAACCATAGACTTGGTTTCTTCATCTAGCTTCACTGTCACCTTTTTACCTTCTTGGATGATGACGACATCATGCCACGTGTTATCAGCCACATTATCACCAACAATGACTTGATGGTAGCCACTTTCGCCTCCGATTGAGCCTAAGTCCGCAGAATAACTACGAAAAATAGAAAAAAAACCATCAGATATGGATAAACAAGATTGTAGGCCCGTCGTGTTCGGATGAGTCCAGTTCTGGCTCAAAAGTAACGCGGGTGGTTTAGAAGCTAAACATCACAAACACTGTCCATAAGAACGAAGGGAAATCATTGTTGCAAGCCTTGAGAATGATTTGTCTATAAAGAATAGTTTTATTTTATATCAACCTCTAAACGTCTTTTCCGACAGAATACTAACATCAAGAAAAAGACTTATACCTTATTCGCAGATTTTTGAGGAATGTTTGGGCTTTAGATTATCTAAGACATCGAAGCCTTTTTAAAAACTTCCACTTAATGGATAGGGAAATTATTAACTTGAAGGATAAGACTAATGTCTTTGATGGCTAAAAATCGTCTTCTTTGCCTGACTGTCTGATATAATGCCAACTAGACTCTGATTTTTGTCAATGCTTTCTGTAAATTAGCAATTTGATACGGTTAAATCTGTTAAAAAATGTATTGCTACCAGAAGCTTCAGAATAAGGGTGCAGTGACACCCCCCCATTTTGTAGAAAGAAATGGACACTCCTCCATTATGTACATTTTACACACCTTGACAATAAACTTGGAATTTTTGGTTGAAGTGGCTTTAATAGAAATCTGGACTGGACATGACCATCTACTTCCTGTTTGTAGATGAGCTAATTAAATGTAGGCTCAATCTGTGTTGTAAACTTTCATAATTTCAGGATTTCACGATAAAGAGGGCAAGAATTGAATTTTGACCATTTTAATAACACAACAAAACAACTTCTTTTATATAATATTTAGAGAATACGGCTACACAGCTAAATTGCTAATTCTATGTTTTTTCCTTCGACTTTTCCTAAACTATGATTTTCTCGTCTACCCTCATGAAACTTCCATGACGAGTCCTAAGTATGATGCTCACTGTGTTAAGATTTTTACACGTGGTTACGCACAAAACTAATTTCAGCAATGATATAATTACGGCACACGGGGGTACGCTTCATAATTCTAATAATCTGATCCTTACACTTATAAAATACTTTCTAGATCTCTGACCTATATGTTTGATAGGTCATATATCACCTAGATATATGACATATATCCCCAAAATAAACTTGATATGGGATCTTTGGATTCATGCCAAGTGTGCTAGAATTTCAGTGAGGAAGAAAACTCCAGATTTGTTGTCGTTGCACATCTTTTTATTTAGAAACAGGGAAATGATATACCAGAAGCATTCCCAGGAAAATAATTGGTAAGGAAGGAAATGTGGAAGAAAAATCAAGAAAATTGTTTTTTTGCTTTAAATTACATAGATGCCATAATTTCTTCTCATGACCATTTAACTACGTTTGCAAATAATTTCATTTTCTATCAAGTCTCGCATGTATCCAGTGTTCAGAAAACGCCTCACTTTTAGTCCTGATAAAATTTTGCTTTTTTCGCAATCCTTAAACTTTTCCCATGTTTTTTCAACAAAGCTCCTTAGAAATGCAATCGAATTGAAGTAAAATTAGCTATGTGTTTTAGTCATGCATTGGCCCTCCTCAAAACTGTTAGGCTTTCTGGACTGTGCATATATCCCTTTGAAAACAGCTGGTTGGTCCTGTTTGATGGGTTGTTTTTAAAAAAATGCACAAAAATGAGTCATATTTACAATTTCAATGATAACAAAAACGTTATTAGCAAAAAATGGACCCTGTTGCCATGGACACGTCAATACAATTACTAAAGTTGGATTTTTGATGGATGTAAACTGTCACTATTTCTTGAGACATTTCATGACATAATCAAAGATGACATCATGAATAGAATTAGTTAAGCCTAATAATGAACATAAGCATTCTACTTTCTAGTAGGTTTCTAGTCGATAATAATAGAAACGAAATTAAGAAAATGAAAGGCCGAACTGGTTTATTTGTTATACAACAAAAGAAGGCGTGCCATTTTGAAACATGGTGACTTCACTTTCTCGAAACCCCTTTTTGAGTAATCTTATAATAACATAGATCTCGCTATAAATAAGCATAAGGTCTGACTTCTGTCATTAGTTTAACATTCAATTCATTTAAAAGTTCTTTTTCACGAAATATATTGTTCCTGTCTATTCCCTTTTATACTTTTACACATAAGTAAGGTAAACTGTTTAAAAATTCTTAAAATGAAATTATGCTGTATAAAACTGCTATCCTAGTTAATGAGATATTTTAAAAAAACGTATTTTAAGAGAAATATATACATCAAATCTAAAACTTTTTCACCATAAGTTATTGAATACAGAAGTTGGGCAGGTTTCATGAAAATTCCATTTGAATAATTTATGTTAGGAATATTTGGCAAATTACGTCAGAGAACGTTGAAATGTGACTCGGAACTTTTTGTTACTGAAACAACATTGTGGGTCTATCATAAATGGTCTCCCCTTTTCTCGATCCAAAGGAAGATTCCCCGGCAGGAAAGATGTTGGCCAGAGGTCAGATGTGTTATCGTTGATGGACAAAGTACAATGACGCAACATTATTGTTTCAAGAGCTGATAAAGGCCTGTGCGGCTACCAGGAAACTTTAAAGAGATAGATTTATTTAAACAGCAAACTTTCTGTGCTGCACTGCAGTGACAGAGATGAGAAAATGACGAATGCTAGAGGAAACAGTATTAGGATCGCCATTGTGGGTGAAAGCAATGTGGGAAAGACGAGTATTTTACAAAGGTTCTGTAAAGGACTATATGGCCAAAGAATACAAACTACGGTTGGGATAGATAAATCGGAATTTAGTTTCAGCGTTGGGGAGGACATTGTTAGTACCATTTTACTAGATATGGCTGGCGGTAACGAATTCGTTCCTTTGGTTGCTTGTTTTTTGAGGCAAGTTGACGCTGTTGTTTTGGTTTATGACATATCTGATAAAGAAAGTTTTATCACTTTGCCAACGTGGAACTCTTTGATAAAATCGACGAATGCATCTGACAAACTCGCAAAAATACTAGTCGGTAATAAAAAAGACCTTGCAAAATATCAAAGGGAGGTTCCTTTTAAAGCTGCGAAGAATTTTGCAAATTTTGAAGGAATGGTTGCCTTAGAAGTTTCAGCAAAAAATGATGACAACATAGACTTGCTGTTTCATTGTATTGCAAACGAGGTGAAGACGCTGCGTAGCACTGTGAATGATGACAGAAGGAAAAAGGCAAAAGAGAAGTCATGGTCTCCCTTGGTACGAAACTTAAAGTCAATCTTCAGCAGAGCTAGCAACTTTAAATTTTAGCTTGAGATCGTATTTGTTATTCAGTATCTCAGTCTAATAGATTATTGCTATATTTTAGCTTTTTCTGATAAATGCTATTTAGATAAATTTTTAATAAATTTTTATTTGAGATATGTTTGTAGTGGCACTAATATAAAAACTGATGTAAATAAAATTGAATGTTTATAAGATGGGTAATAAAAGATTGTTATGTATTTGTGTTAAATAAAACTATATGAAACAGAATCGTATTTTGACAGCAGAGTAAACAAATTAGGGCCTTGATGAAAATGCAGTAAATCTTCCAGAAAGGGATTTTTCCCACCAGTGAAATGTTGAGCATCTTGTTGCTAGTTGCAAGTTGCACGTAGCAGATCACAAAATATCATACCAGGTCGAAGATGCTTCATTCGTCCATCTCATTATTTCATGAAAATCAACTCTAGTCAGTGAGAAACAAATGTTGTAGGCACTCACGATAACGCGGTCGAAGGCGAAAAAGCCGAATCAGCTGCGCAGAATCGCCTGTTTCGAAGTAGGCCGAGCTGGACTGCTCCTGTTTATTGATATCAATGGTGATCAGACAAAACGGAGAGCGGCAAAAGGGCCTGACAACATTAATATATGTACGCTGTGCACATTTTTCGTGGGAATAAACCGCACACAGCTCACCTGTCACAGGAATCAGTTCAGATCCCAGTGGAAAAATGCAAAGCAATTTTCATGAACATGCAACGAGAGTTCTACATATTCGCACGCAATGAACAATCGTTGATTATAACATTTCCAAGGTTCCAAACTACAAACATCTTAATGTTTGTTGAAACTTAGGCAACTTCACCCGATTATTAATGTTATCAGGATGGTAAAAATATGTTATTTGCACCATTCTTTATTATTCAATATTTTTACTTTGCTGATAATTTAAAAGAAATTTGAGTGTTTTTGAAATTTTGTGGCATCTTGCTATTTTTACGTATGAGAGTAGAAATCGTAGTTTCGTTAATAAAGGAAAAGACAAGTAAATTCTGAAGTAAAGTAAAGAACAAGCTTCACTAAAAGAATTTTTTTCAGGTTGTACTTTGTGTATTGAAATTATAAGGATTAAAGATTTTTTCCGGGCAGAACAGATAAAAATTGTAAAGAAAGACACTAATTTTAGAGCTACACTTCAAAAATTACTTATTCTGATATTTTCAACTTATTTCGGTTAATTTGAAATATCATATAACATTTTAAACTTCTTCTTTCATTATAATCTTGATTATGAACCCTTTTTACCTAAGTCAATTATAGACCCCCGGTCAAAAGTTATCTGGGCCTATTATCAGAGTGACAGGGAAAACCCAGGCGAAGAGTAAATGAAAAGGTTTGCTGTGTAAACTCAATGGTGTTGCATACTTTACTTACGCAAACATCGACATTATGCCCCGCCTTCAACCAAGGGCCAAAAATGTAAGATTTGTTTATTCTATCGTTTATCGAAGCAGATCGCATGCCTGTTTTTATTATGGTAAAATGTTTTTCAAATAAATTATCCTGCATAACGTTTACACTTTATAAAGGAATATACACCAGACAGATAATTGTTTATCTTAAAGTTGCTTCAAATATGATTAGCAATAATTGATGAAATTTTATCGATAGAAAAGCATCAAAGTTTGCAGATTTCTAAATAAGCACTGGTTTTGATTGCTGATTGAGTTTGGAAAGGTTTTTGTCTATAAATATTTTGATGTTCAAGTGTATGTTCAAGTAGCTTTGTTTATTGAACCCATCAAATATGCTTGGGTATTACAGAGTTAAAGTTAGACCTTTCCTCTTGACAGTGCTATCTAGTGCTTGAACAAGGAACGACTGTTGCTTTTGGGTAGAATATCTTTTCACACAGACTTCTTTCTTAAAGCTAGTTGTAAATTCTAGGTGCGACCATATCTTTGTAAAAACTAGGTGCGACCATCGGAATTTAAGACAAGGATCTGTTCTACAAAATTTTCATCAGAAGTAATGACTTAGTTCTAGATAAAAAGGTTGAATATTAGACAGGCTTTCAGACGAGACAGTTGTCAATACGTTTTAAAGCAAAAGACAGGTTAAGAATTTGACAGGATGTAAGACCTTGTTTACAACAGAAACCTTGATAAGTTTATAGCAAATCGATCTCATAGCATTTCTAGTCTATCGAGGTGAATTCAGAAAAAACTGACAATAATCCGTTTCTTTTCAATGTCTTTGCATTGCACTATATGAAATCAATCCAGAAAACCAAGGATTGAAACACTCGGCGCAGCTTGAAGAAAAAGACTTCTTGTGTTCTGTGTAACTGAATAGCAGCGTTTAATCTTCTTTACACTGACGGTGAATGAATTAAACATGATAATTGTTTTGATCAAGATTACAGCTCAAGGACGATATTCGCTTTGTAAAACGTCAGCCTGCTCTTAGAAACACCTGCGTCTTATTTAAAGAACTGACAAGTGGCTAATGCGATAGACAATTGTATGATCTGAATCAATCTATTTCTGTTGACTGACAGCTTAAAGTTTCTGCAATACTTCGCAGTTTTGTATTTCAATAATTCATGCTTAATAATATATATCATAACTGAGTGCAGACGGGGAGACAAGGCATGGCGAGTGTTCCAAAAATCGTCCATTTACATCTTTAATAACATGTGCCAACCAACCCACCTATGTGCAACAGCGGAGGAAAATAGAGACAGATCTTATCTGCTACTGTAATGAATAAGGGTAACATCGATGCTCTTTTAAAATATATTATGATAACTGCCAGAAAATAAGGCCTAGAGAAAAATGTCTGATGGAAAATATCTAAATCTTTAGGAAAGAAAAATACCTCAGCATTAAGAGTAGTCTTAGCTAGATGAAATATTTTTTCTTTATAGCTGTTCTAAGAGACAAGGTATGCTAAAATTGTTCACCTAGAAATGGTTATTTTCTATTAACTTCATAACCTCAAGATTATCACGTGCAAAATGGTATAATTGTGAATGAAAGGGCCTCCTTTCTACCGCTGTACCCTTTAAATTTTCATGAATTTCAAATCCTTATTAAAACATTTTTCTGATAACTGTGCACAAACCTAAATTTGAACAAGCAATACGATGTTCTCATTAGATAAACAAAGTATCTTAGTAATCATAATCTTGTAAACCAGAACTCCTTTATGGGATGGCTGTGACATTACTGTTGACGATAGCAGATGCTTGGCAGTTACAGGATGTCTGGTTATACGAAAAGCTGTGATAGAGTCGTCTATATAAAGTTATCCTGCTTCTTAAAAGCTACAATCCTTGACAAAAGTCCTTGGAACACCCTGCAGCCAATAAAAGGTTTTGATGAAATAAATGTTTTTGGCCGTAAGATACAGAAATATCCCCCTCCCCCCAAACAATGTTGGTTGTTAAGCCTATTACTTACCCTAGCTGATAAAGTGACATTGGATGAATTTCAAGCTTTGAGACTGTTGTCATTCAACAATGTTTCAAAAGGGAGAGGGGATGCTACTGAAGTTATGCGAAATTTCAGCTTAGTGTACCAAGACTTTTGGCAAGGATTGTAGCTGGGCACCCATCTACTTTACATTCATCTTTGCTGTGTCATAAAAGAGCTCTATGATCTTTTGAAAAGAAAATCGTTGAATTTTATTCTCTGAAAGCACTTAAACGATTCTTTAGTAAACTGGTTGATAAGAAAATGCATTCAGGACAAACATAGTAAGTGCATTCTGGATGGTTCTTTTCGTTGCTTCCTGCTTCACACGGTTTAAAATCAAGGCCTCTATTCTACTTGCTATCTTAAATAGTGCATTGCGATTCTTTTTCTGGCGCAAATAAATACGGAGTCGCACAAAGGAAAATAGCTTTGATTAAACTTAGCAGTGAATTCGGCACAAATCTCTTTGACTAAGAAGTCCCATGCCTTTTGTGCGACTACACTAAGCAACTTTCAAACAAACTTTAGCATATATTGATCATTATTGAAGACCAGAAAGCGACATGTCTCGACGTCTCGTTTCAATTCTTGATATATGCTTTAACGAGACTCCACTTCCTATGGCATCCGAGTGATCAGATTAAATATCAACTTATAGCCTAGCAAAAATTTTTGATGTTAATTGAACAAAGAAAACATTCAATAAAGTCTACAAGAACACCTGTTCCATCACCAATAAAACAATTAAGGGGGTTGGGTTGGCAATCATAGCCATCTGATAACTGAAGATATCTTTGTCGATCCGCGGGCTGGTGAGCGAAGACTTGTGCGGGCACACATTGCTTGACTAAGTACGAGTAACTACAGCATTCTGCGAAATGTACAGTTGGGAAAATAAAGTGACAGATCTGTAGTCACATGCTTCAGTTAATTGCTTGCTGGAAAATGATAACTCATAGAGTATGCCTTACCTTATGGTAAGCAACAGAGTGTGACAGACAGTGTGGTGCAAGAAGAAACTGAGGCAAAATGAAGAATTTCGTGCTACCTAAGCCTTCAAAAGGAAATATTTGAAAAATGATTGTGGTTGTTCAGAAAGCCTGCTTCAAGAGTCAAGGAGATATTGCGAAGAATACTTAAATGACTTGAAGCAAACAAAAGCCAAACGTCTTTGCATAGCCTCGATCTGGTCTTTCTCAGCAATGCTAAGCAACATTACTTCAAATGCAGATCTTATAATCAAAATTAAAATTGCAACACATTCATAATACATTATGCAAAATATATAACAGATATGGCCTAATAAAAAAGCATTGCCGTACCAGAAGGCTCGATAACTGATCACATATTCTCAAAAGAATTGATTTTACTGCAATGACGTCACAGTTTTTCATCAAGTATGTCATTTCAAAAAACATTAGTTGAAATGTTTTCATGAAATTGAATCATTTATATCAGGATGAAAATGATCATCAAACAATCATTTTGCTCTGAACTTCAAATATTGCTATAGCACTCTGATAAATTGTTTTTATTGAAACAGCCAGGTTTGGTTAGGTAAAATCGATGGTTGTGGTATGAAACCAAATGACGTCATTGCTGGGAGAAAGTTTCAATCTACATTGCATCAAAATCCTAACTGTGTAAATCTAAAATTAGCTTTCAAAGTTCATTCCTTTCTTTCCATTTAAGCAGCGTTTATCATTCCCATGCATAATCCTAATAAACAAGAATGTTCCAATCACTTTGTTAGATATCAATCGGCGTGTTCTTCAATAGCTAAAGTAGACTTGGATATTCTTTCGAGATTAAACACGCTAAGTTTCAAAACTATGATTAGCTCCGGTTTCTAGATATTGCAACTAACGTTAATTAGGAGTTATTAAAAATAGGAAGCTTTTTGGCGGCCTTCGCGACATAGCAGCTGCGTATCGTCATTAAAATCAACGTGGAATAGGCCAGTTTCTCTTTTACCTGTTTAATTTCCAGAGGAATTAACAGCAAGCAAAACTGTTTCTAATAAGCGCTTTGAGCCGCCATGTCGCGTCCAGTCCATTTCAGACAACGATAGACGTTTATCGATGCATATTAGAATTAAGGGCAGCAATGATACTTCATATAGACTGATTTTGAGGATCTATTCGTCTAAAATTGTTATTTGAATTACAAAAATTTTGCAAACAGTTTATAGAACATTATTGAGGTGTCATTGCCTCAGCGAGAGATAAAATTAATCCCTCTTATAGATTTTGATGACTTTCTTCACATAACTGTTCCTCTGTTCCTGCTGATTTTGGATCTCATAATGTCGATAGAGGTTATTACTATGTTGCTCTGGTTCAAATGTTAGATTTTCAAAGGCTGAACTTGAGGCTGCCTCGTGACTTAAAAATAGCATTTAAAGATTAAAACTTCAAAACATCCAATAAAGTTGCAACAATAAAACCGTAATTAAGTTTAATAAGATTACCAAGGCTCATACTTCTGCAAGAAATTCTCTTAGCCCTGAAGCTGCGGTTTTTAATTTCATAAAGTTTGCAGTAAAACTCCAGTAGTAGATTTGTTTTTTCGCCATAGTTTCATCTAATTTCTCTTTTATAACATTGTATTTACATTAACAACCTTAGAGTAGAAAAACCTTTGAATCTAGCTTTAACAATCAAACTGTCTATCGTAGCTTCATACAGTCAAGAATCTGCCATGAAAAAGTTCAATTTACCGCTACAATCTTCGTCAGCAACATCACTCCACAAACATTCTTAACTAAATGCCCAGCAGACAGGACAAACTGTCACGGCACAATTTTCCAGAAATTATTATGTTTAATCAAACATTTTTTCATGGGAATTTCTTTTCTTTTTTTGATAATTTTAAGTGAAAGCATGCTCTAACTATTTAATTAGGAGATCTATTGCTATGCTGGAGATAAATTGTCCCAAAGAATAATTCTGGTCGTTCGTATTGCTTGTGAAAACATAGCTGCATTTCCTACTGTGAAGGTATCCGCATTGTTTTTACCTGTTTGTTACATTCTTTCGAGCGGTTACGTGGGCTTATCGGGAATACATTTTCCCTCGTGACAATGCTTCCACAGCCTGTCATTCTGACCTACTTTCTATATTTTTCTCTGCAATAAATAGATAGTCAGTTGATGATATGAACACTCTAAACGGATTAAAGTACACCGAATATTGTTTTCTTAAGTTGTTTTTGGGCTGAAACAACGTTAATCTTTGCGATTCTAAAGAAAATAATTAAAGTGGTACGTTGCTCGACATATTTTCTATTGCTTTGGCTGTGGCAGCTGGGTTTTTACCGCCTTTATGAACGGTTAGATTCACGCGGTGTCTGTTGATACTTGAAATACGCACGATTGTCCGTTGTTGTGCGAACAAAATCCGTTTATCAGAAGAGATTATGCTCTTCCTCACTTTCATTATATACAATCGGAATGCAGGCGCTCTTTCCCTGATTGTTTAGAGACGGGCTATAGTACGGACGTTTCCATGTACATCACAATAAACTCGACGGCTAACGCTATTTAACCTTCAGATTGATCTCCACAGCCGACAAGAAAACCGTCGACTTTTTCAAGCCCGTTTCAAGTGGGCATAACGAAGGAACCGGATTTCATAGTAAAGTTGTAAAGCATTTAATGAATCCCTAACGGATCCTTTTTGGCTGCTTGGCTGTTTAAAATTTCAGCGATGTAACTAGCAGTGAGGGTCTGAGATCGCTGAATTCAGCCTATGCAGAATAATACCAGAGTCATTAACCAGCATGTTTAAGCACAGACAAAACATCTGCATGAAAATGAATGCAGCTTTTTTCTTGTTAGATAGACGATCCGGCTTTGCAAAATATCAAAATAGCGAAACACTGTGAACCAACTTTTTTAAAACATATGACATATTTGATATTATGGCTAGTGAAACATTTGTCTATTGAATCGCGTTTCTTCTATCATCAAAACAAAGTCTGCAGAAGGAGAGGTAACTTACGTCGAGGTTTTAGTGCCTGCAAACATAAACTGTTGAGAAGCAATTAACCATGTTCTAGTTACAATAAAAGATGTGATTATATTGACACATATTTTTGCTCAAACACTTTTAAGTGCTGTTGGTTAAATACGAAAAACGCTTCTAGTACATTTTACGGTGTGATAATTGTGATGTTGGTCTTTCTACACCATTAATGGAAACAAACAGGCACCAGCTTTGCTAACACATCGCCTAGATCAATAATGGTTGTTTGCCAGCCTAGAGAACACATCAAGGGATCACTATCTGTTTGATTTGAAAGTTAAAAGGATATGATGATCTGTGTGTATTTGACCAGTCTAGTTCAATAGCTTAGATGTTATATATCGATTAGCCAAGGTTGTTAAAGTCACCTTAGATATGCTAACTACAATGGTTACTGTTGACATAGCACAAAATGTGATCAACAAAAGACATGAAATTGCCCTTAATTGCTAATCATTTTGAGTTTTGTAGACCCCAGTGTTAACCGGGATTCCTTGATTTCGACTCACATTATATTTTGCTACAATTTCAGCGAAAACAATGCTGCTGCAGAAGAGACAATCAGTTGGTTGCATGTTTATGAATCAAAGCTAAATAAGTATGACTGTTGTCTATTCCAGCTAACGATAGCAGCGTGTATAAGTAACTGATTTCTGCATAGCACCCGACTCCCCTGCGTTTGGGGGCAATCAACCCGAGAAGTTGCTATCATACCCTATCAAAGAATAAAGATTAAAGAAATATAAGAATATTAAATCTTTCTATTTTACACCCCACAGCTGGAAATTTTCATGGATCTTTTCAACTCATTGGCTGATTTAGCTGCAAAATTGACAACAAATATAGCATGTTCATAAAGACATAAACTGTCCCCACTTGTGTTCACCAGCTTTGGGTATTGTGTGAGTGTAGGGGGGGGGAGTGGGAGCATCCCAGCTTTTGCTAAATTGACATGACATTGACATGACAAAATCGACAAATTTTGTCATTTTTCGGCAAAGTTGCTTGGTTCTGCCAAACCTGCAGGCATTATCTAAAAATATATATACTATGATTTCCAAAAAAAGTCTCACAGGAAATTATGCTTCGAGTATTAGTATCAGGTTCATAAAAGTGGCGGTCTATAGCGCAGTCTTGCCGATTTCTTTGGCAGGCAACTTATTTACCCTGAAACCTGAGCACAGAGCAACAAAATCATTGCCCCCTGTAAACATACCGGAAAAGCTTCAACATATTTTTCACTGAAAGCAAATATTATTCTTGATATCCATGTGGTTTTGATAAAGCCTGTAAAATATAGCTTTTAGCATCGGCTTTGTTTTGTTAGCATTTTTAGATTTTGATTGCGATGGATACTAACACGGAATGCATCTGCTTACACAGAAGGTCAAGAATGCGTCTTAAAGTCAATTTTTCAGGTAATTCGTAGTCAGTGTTCAGCAAAGAAGCAACCATTCCTAGATTGAATGCAGAGTGACCATCTTTAGTGACTGGAGAGCTTTGAGGATTAATGTTGGCAGAAGTCATGTAAAATAGAGTTTCAATTTTAAGGAAACTGTTGGCTGTTTTTTGTGTATTCCAGACAGAAATTTATACTTTTGCCAGAATGTCTTCACAAGTCTATTGGCATCTATTTAGATATTTAGACGATGCTTTAAAACACTGACTTCTTAAAGGATTTCATCCTTCGCCGTTGTTGAAGCGATCTGCTGCCAAAATGGACAGCGCTTTTACACTGAGAATGGTAGAGTTCTTAAGTAAAGATAACTTGGAAGGGTTTGGAAAGTTTCTTGGCATTAAGCAAATCTCAGGATTCTCTTGTTGTCTAGTCAAGCTTTGCATGCCACTAGCCCAGATCATGGGGAACTAGAAAGCTACACCTCAGGTCTTCCAAAGTAATTGCGTATTTCGCTGCAGATTTTCACAGCAATATATGGATTGTAGAGTTATCATTCGTAGAATTCCGACCAAAGCTAACATGGGCAGCATTCAGCATATTGCTTCTTCCTCTAAAGATTTCTTCCCAATGTAAAAAACCAAAAGTTTTGTCCATTTTTTGGCCAAAGTATATGATATTGACTTTTTTCATCAGGGAGGCAAATGGCAAAAACTAGTAAAGTATAAAACATTCTTGAAAAAAGATTGCAAAAAAATGAAATAAAGATAAAGAAGTTTTTTAGAATTACCTCAGTTTTCCTCGGATTATTTCCAACGAAACGAAGTCCCCTTGCGTACTGCTGCTGTAAAGCAACACACCATAGGGCTCAGCAGTTTTAAAAGAAAGCAAAATGCGATCACTGGTTGTTCCCGTTTCGTGGGGTGGTATCGGGTAGGCAATATGTTGACTTCCATTAAACGTCATCATCTCAGCTTGCATGGCAGAAACTTGCTGCTGGTCCAGAAGCCATATGTGCTGAAGCAAAATGCATAGCAAAAGTCTTGTTGATTTTACGATCCTCGAATCCATTGGAATTTACAAGTTTCTGCAGAGGGGATCAGCTGTAGAAGATTTTCTGAATCCAAATGAGTGTTACCTTCTTTAATCAGCTTGCTCCCACCAAAAACAGCTGATCATTTTTCATAGCCTCAGAAAAAGTGTATGAAATCCTCTTAAGTAGTAGAAATCGTCAAACTACCGTATGAATAAGCTAAGTCTCCTTGTGACCGTTTAAGAAGAGAGTATCAGACTCCGCTTTTGCAATAACTTTTCCGCGGTCACATCAAACATCTCAGTGGAGCAACAGCGCCCGTGTGTCTCTTCGTTGTATCAAAGCCTTTTTCCCAAGATCAACCTGTTCGCTGACTCCTTGCGAATTTCGGACAAAGGGGCGGTCAATCACGCAGTTCCATTGGCTTTGCGAAACCGGGGGAATCGGCCGTAGCAGATGGCTTCTGCGCACGACGCGTGCTCGCGGAGATTGCACAAAGATAAATAGATGAGCTATGAACGTGTGAATGGTGTCAAGCATTCTTCCTTTCTGATGGGTGCTTTCCGTTTTAAGTTGATGCACGATGCAGCATTAAATGGCTTCGCCCTCAATGGTGTATTGATACATGAAATACTATTGTTGTAAACACAAACGCTAATGGCTGATTTTAAGCTGCTACAAGATAGAAGTACATCCAGACTTACCAATCCTTTTGTCTGTAGTTATCTCTTGCAGATATGCAAGAGAGTTAAGGCTTTAAAATTTTCCGGTATCTCTCCCACACTTGCCTCATAGCAGATATTGTCGTGCTGTTGAATTCGAGAAGTAAATTAATCATTCATAGTGGCGAATTCTAGGTACTGCAGTTTTTCTCCAAGCTATCTGCTTTGACAAAAGACTTGGAGAATTTTCAATTGTTTTGATAAGCAAAACTTAGATAACTCATAAATTTTGGCTTATCTTAGCCCAACATAGCACAATTAAACTCGCTTGGAAAGCAAAGAATTTGAAGTTGGAACACAAAACTTAGCATTTTGATTGAAAAGTTCAAGATGCAACAATTTCCTTATTGAAATCCTACAATGAAACAACTGTTGACATACGAAACAGGCTTAGGAACAGAAAACGTTTTTCATTTTTACAAAAGAAATGAGCTTTTAGCGCTATCTATTTACATCTGTCCAAAATGTAAACAATACTCTACTCATGCAGGATTCAGCCTATATCTGCACAAAAACAGGTTTCCCAAAACAGTCTGGCAAGTCACATAAACTCAAATAAATAAAGGTTCAGTATTTTCATTGTATCATGAAGAAATTTTAATTGGTAAAACAAACTTTAGACATAATAATTATTAGCAATGGCGTGTGCAACGAGGTACACGGCGACAAAATGTTTATTACCACAGGGGTTCAAATGTTCCTATTTTTGTGATTCACATCTCAATTCATTTTGAATCTTAAAAATCCATTTTCGAGGGTGTTCAAACAATACAATCAATTTTTTATCATAGCCAAATAATTTTAGCCGCGGTGTAAGAGCCAAGCAATTAAACTTTAAATGATTAAATCCTCGTGTGTTCTTAATGTTGCTCTTATTTCAAATTGAACTGTAGGCTGTAAACTGGTTCTAAGATCACTAAATATCAGTGACTCTTGACATTCTTAGAACTACCTAATGAAGTTAACTCTGTTTTGCTAACAAAAGTGGAAACTTTGTCATATGTAGTTCAACGGCTAATAGATCACGTGTCCTTTAAAAAGGGGTGTACAGAAAGTGAAGAAGCTAGTCTTAACGTAGCTAAACTCCTCAGGGCAAACAACATATATAAAAAGTCAGTTTGAAAGAAACATTCTAGCACTTTTGCTTCCGAATTAATGTAGTAATAAAACATTTTCTTAGTGCCGTCTCACAGATGCCCCACATTTCGATAATATGGCCCTTAAATCTTACGTAACTTCAATTTCTTTGTCCTGAGTAACCTTTTCTAACGAAAAAATAAGTACGAAAGGAAAGGAAACCGAGCAGCAGCTCCGGCATACCATTTTCATGTGACAACATCCCCCGAGCTCGCTCACTCTCGCTCCAACGCTCCGTGCTTGGAAACCAGGCTTTAAACATACTTGCTGTTTGATGTCAACGAATGAATAATTGCTTCCCTTTTACATACAAGGGCTACATCAATATAGATAATATGCGTTACCCTTTTGCCATCCTTGCTAAAGCCAAGTTTGACTCTCTATCAGACTTGGTCGTAGTTGGATGAAGGTATGATTGGATGCTCAAGAGACCATCTGCATGCCACGAAAATCATACTCTTGGGTAGGTATTTGTCCAGAATGCCTTTAAAACAAATCAAATCTCGCAGGGGAATGTATACAAGATTCTTTCGAACCGTTCATCCTGTGCAAATTTTTGCCCGACATGTCTGCAATGTTGAATTATCGCTGTGTTGAAGATTTTTTGCAAGGAAATGTAAAGAAAGTGATTACCGCAAAAACTAGATTTATTCTTATAGCGTTATAAAACAACTGTGATTAGAAACATGCTGGTTGTATGCTCAGAGCGAGTTAGTCGCACCAGAAAAACGTCTATCATTTAAAGACGGAAATTATCGATTTAATAATTACCTAACTGTTTCTGTAATTATTCCCTGTTTCAAGGAAAGAAAAATATGTTTATTCGTAATACACAATTTGTGAGAAATAGAAAACATTGATACTCGTTTATGGTAAAAAATAAAGCTATTAACTCAGGGTTTAAGTCTTAGTCTTGTGACAACAAACTACAAATTCTAGCGAGAGGTTACATGCAAAACAAGCATAGTTTCGAAACAACATTTTGAATAGAATGGCAGGTCAAACATACCGTGACTTAATACGTCCACTAGTCTAAATTACAGAACCACTAGATTTAATTAATCAAGCCTGCCCTTTACCTTCACATTCATTATGGCTGATGAAATTAGTGAAATGAAATTACGAAATGTACATCAAATCAAGAAAGTTTGCATCAATGGCATCGGCAAGGCACTCTTTATGACGGCACTTTTGCTGAAGTGGCGAGAACCAAAGTAAATTATATAATGGTTAAATTGTCTTTGAAATAATTATAATAATGATTATCATCATCACTTGCCACAAATTTAAATTTGTCTATGATGCAAAATCGCAAACAATTCACATGGTACCACACAGAAACAAAACGACTGGCTCTTGTCTATGTGCTCTTTTTCGAGTAAATGAAGACTACAATCCCGGACAAAAATAGTTGAGACTTTTCAAGAAAACTTTAGGTTTGCTCTTTCCTTTGGAAAATAACTTCTCACCTTCCCCATTTCAATGTTAAATGCATGATTTTGAAGCAAAATTGATAGAACTACAAACCCAACATTGCATTGGGGGGAAAGGGGGGGGGATTCGAATTTACAGGAGCAAGGTAAAGTAGAAAATTACAAAAATTGCATTTTGTCTCAACATTTTTACCCAGGATTATTAAAAACTGATGTAATTAGATAGAAATTTCACCACACATGTAAATACAGAAAATGAGCTTTCAGCTATAGGCTGACGTTTTTTATTATTTAAAAAAATTAACATTTTTAAGCAGAGCCTTAAAGAATGCAACTACATGACCTAGCAACTTATCCAGAGAAACACAACAATAGAGGTGGTGTCTTTCCTTATTTTGAGAGGGGGGGGGGTGGCTAATACAGCTGAAAATTAATATCAAGAGCTCTGGTATACAAAAGGGGTACTTCTCAATCAGGAACAAACATGCACTGATCAAGGCCATTGGCACTTCCTTTGGTTCACTTTCGCCGTCTTGGTATGCTTGCAATTTGAAAAGTTAACATTTTTTGCATGATATGTAAGTATAATGATATCTTTGCAGCTAGTTTCCATAGTAATCACACGAGACTGCATAAGGGTGTCAATCACTGCATAATGAGCAGACACATTTATTTAGAAGAATGCAATTTTTCATAAAGCTTATTAAATGTCTAATCATAGTCAAACTTTAACTTCAGGGGGCAAAATATTACAAAAATTTGGCTCCTTGAATGCTTGATGACTTGATCCAATATCTGGTAGCTCTGACCATTATAATCTCGAGAGCGTTTTTCCTATATTTTGGCTTAGCCTTTTAGGTGCACAATATTCTTAAGCCTGACATCCTCAAAGATCAAACTTGGACAGTTGTCTTGATAGATAAATGAGCAGTTCTGATAACGACGATTTGTGGTCAGAATATGCTAATTGCAAAGCTCTTTCCATTATTTATCCAGTTTTCTTCCCCTATAGGACATGCTGGGAATGGAACATTTTCTTCTACATAAATACATAGCTAAATAAAAGCACATAAATACTTTGACAATTTCAGCTTGTGTTGCTGAAAGAGTTGAGCTTCAAAAGTGCCTAAACTTGAATCACACCCCCTAGCTAACAGAAAATCCTTTGCAATCGCTTTAGCTGAGAAATTTAAGTCTGTTTACAATTATGAATAATAGTACTTCTTGTGCAATTAGGATAATAAAAAAGAATCGAGCTAAAAGATAAGAGCGATGAACCAAATGAAATGATATTCCTCAAGTGGTGTTCTTTAGCAGCTATCACTCTTAGCCAATCGGCTGTTTGAAACTGTGGTGCCATTAATTGGATCAATTGATTGACCATGGAATTAGCTAATTACGTTTTATATAAATGAACTTTAAGCAAAGTAGATACAGGCTTCTAATGTATTTTGTTAGCATTTTTGAAAGAAAACGCAGAAGATAAGAGTTATTCCGCAAAGCTGCTACATTGGATTCCAAGTTGAAGACAATAATAAGAACGTTACTTTTTGATTTAGTGCTAATTCCGTTTGCTAGATTCCTTAAACCCGGCTTTTTCCAGCAACCAAAATCTCTGTTACGCACTCAGTGCATTTGACGTATGTGCCATACTGTGATTTTCGCTTCAATTTGAAGTCATCTCGATTTAGAACTGAAAAAACTTCATGAATATATTAACTGTTGACGAAAAAGAAGCTATTAAAACAAAACCTTGTTAAACTTTGATCATCATTTACATTAGGACCCTTTGATCTAAAGCACCATTTCCCTGTTGACAGTCTATGTTATCAGTCAGTGATACCAAGCTTTTGAATAACAACACTTTTGTGACTGACTTGTAGAATCATAAAATTCCTTTTGAAAATATTGTATTACAGTATATTTTCCAAAATGCATTCTCTTGGATTGCAAGGCTTGTCACGTTGTCTCTATCTTTTTAGACATACAGATCTACAATCACTGGCAAAAGTCTTGGAACACTAACGTCAGTTTTCAAAGGCAAATTCAGGGAGGGGGGGGGGGAATGGGGACGGAATAATTTGTATTCGGGAAAACAAATGAAAAATAGAAAAGCACAGCGCAAAATGTTGGGTGTTCCAAGTAATTTTGGCAGTGATTGTAAAAAATGAGCAGGTAAAATTATTTCAGATTTGCAAAGATGAAACTATATCGGAACAATTATTTTAGATTCTTAAAAGAAAGAGTTAAGCGATTGTTTTTGTGTAGTTGCAAGACTCAGAAGAGTTTCTGGAATTATGGTTTGGTGGTTTTTTTCAATACGAAACATTTGGAACATCTATGTTAAAAACAATCTTGATTATACTATTAATGTATGAAAAGGTGATTTTCTAAACCATACCGAATTCATCGAAAAAATCATAATTTATAGTGACATAACGGCTGATAGAGAACCATTACATCATAAAAGCCATCAGACATGGAGACTTTGGAAGGTAATCATGATAGTGCTAGGGGGAATCTCAGAGGCCATTGACAGGGTGAAATTTCTAGCACATTATTTATGTATAAAAGTATAATAAAGACACTTGCTCAATAAACGAAGCACCACACGGTCCGCCAGGGATCCATTCTAAGGACAGTGCTGTGAAAACAATTACCAGCTGACGCTACGTCGCTCTATCGACTCTTAGGAAACTAGGGAATGTTTATTCCTTTCAAACTCAGGTAAAAATCAGCGGAGTCTCTCGATTTACCAACAACCGACGAGGGGTATGTCGCTTTTAAGAAATGTCTTTAGAGAGAGTGGAACTTTCGAATAAAAGAGAGACGGCATTTTGGTCTTTATACATACACTACAGGATCACCACACCATGTAGCAAATAATACATTAGATTCCAAGACTTCGTGTGGCTACTTGAAATTTAATATGAAGGAGAAATTGAAACATCGAAGTAAAGAGAAACTCAAGAAGAAGCAACTAGACTTTCTTCCGGAGATAAGAAGGTGTTCAGCATATATAAAGTATTGACTTTAATAAATCAATTCTTAATTAATCTAACTGAATATATAGCACAGATTTTTAAGACACAACGTACAATGTTACAGGTGGCAGGTTCCTGTTCTTTTGGGTCCTGTCGCTCACTTACAGTTTCTCCTGGCATAAAGTAGTTTTTAAAGTATAGAAACAAATTGCTTTTTATTGAATTCAACTATTAACAGGGACTTTGGCCTAATCGAGCATCAACCAGAGACTTAGGCCGAATATACAGAAACATGAAATTTGTATATAGAAATACAGTTATTAAGAATATTGCAGAAAACATCTTTTGAGTAACAGCAATGTAACCATTGGACAAGCAATAGGAAGATTCTTCTGTGAATAGAGCTGTAGGCATACGAGCAAAGTCATCATGTTTGGGAAGGAATCCATCACTTCTTTCTGGACAGAAAAGCATAACAGCTATAAAGAATAATGGTTCAGTTAGCTTCACATTTGGAATCTTAAGCAGATTTCCTTGAACAAATTACAGCCTGATCACGTTACACTAAATTGGCACAGAAAAGCCAATTGCCGATCTGTAACATCGAATTATCGGTTACACTGATGCTTGGTCACCTAACAAGCAAAGAAACAAATACCGAAATCTCATTAGGGGTATACCATTACACAAAGCAAACTAACTATGCGACCCACGGCTTCGCTGCAAAACAGGCTGTTTAGTTCAAGGCATCTCGTTTGCTTTTGAACATGAAGTATACCTTGAGGAAGGTCAGTGGAGATACTTTTTGGCAGCAAAGAAACACTTCTCCCAAAAGCTTCTCTTCTCTTCTCTTCTTTTTCTTAGGAAAAATAACTGTTGGAATAGCATTTGCAATCTGTACTTTACTTTTTACTACAACACGGTATGGCTGCTGTAAGCTTGCAGCTTATGGAAAACCTCTCTTTGTGATAGTTATGATGAAAAATTTATCGTGAAAATGGAACTGATGTGTAAAAGATGGAGCAGGTAGACAAGAAACAGAGCTTGGCATTCTAGAAGTAATGCAAATATATCATGAAATGGAGAACAGTCCGCTTTTATGTGCGATAAGGGCTGCAAATGCGTCTTTATTCCACAAATGAATCATTCCCCTTCCAGTAAATCTGGGAAAAACTGCTTTTGGATCATGGAAGACTAACATGAGAACATGTCATCTTATTTTTCCAAACCGTGCTACAAGCAAACCATTTCCTTTCCTCTGCACAGTAATAGCTCACACTGCCTCAGTTTTTCCCAGTTAGCTGTGCGGTTCCAAACATGTCACCATTCAAAACAAAACAAATCACTGAGAAATTCACAGATGCTTCCTAAAAGCAAGGGTAACATTATATTTAGAAAACCAAGCTCCCCCCCTGTCATTGGGCGAACGGATTTGCTGATGGCAGCTGACAGTTCGTTGCCAGAGCGGAGAAATCCACGCAGTGAAAAATTTTGAATGGAAATATGAAACTGAACAATCAATCTAATGATTTGATTCACCAACAGAATGCAGCTACGGGGGATTTCATTCCCTTTATGTACTTAGCATGTGCATTATTAATGAGGAAACTGAAAAGAGCTATCCGTTTTCTTGTGATTTACTTTGACTTCAATGTAATGCAATTACCAGCTTTACCATCCGACTCGTGTTTGGATTTTGTATGAAACAAAAATAGGCAATACTGAGCGGAAACATTTAGGTAAATGGCTTAACAAGGATATTAGATGTGTCTAGAAGCATTTCATCACATCTTTTCACCTTTGTCGCCATTTATACATAACTAAAGAATACATAACTATAGTCAAAGCTTTGAAACTAAGCATTTTTTGCCTCGAATGCCAGGTTAACAGTACACTCTAGCGACTGATTTTTGCTTATAATCAAAAACATTTTTCCTTGGTTAATTATGCAGAGTTAATAATCTTATCAGCGGGGTCTTTTTACAATGAGTGCAAAAATATCAAGTTAGTGACCCGAGCAAAGCCAGAAGTTACTTTAGCACTGTGCGTTGAAGCCTCCTTTGCAGAATCTAAAAAAATGCGCAACCATGTGGCCTCCTTCGCAAAGTCTATAAGGGGGTTCAGCATTCCTCTACATTGCCATTTTAAAAGCTCAAGCAAGTAACGAATTTTTAGAGATATACTTTTAAAAGAAGATAGATTTGCTGGCTAAGTATGCTATGTCTTCGTTTTTGAGTGCTATCTTCAAATTTTGCGGTATCAAAGTAATTTAAATTTACTTGTACTTTTTTCAATTTACCGGCACTGTTTTCAATTTACCGGCACTGTTTTCAATTTACCGGCACTGTTTTCAATTTACCGGCACTGTTTTCAATTTACCGGCACTGTTTTCAATTTACCGGCACTTTTTTCATTACCTAAACTTGTCTTATTATTGGCTTTTAAAAAGAAATGTGTAATAAAGATAAAACACGATAAAACAAAGAAAATATGAACAACACCACCCAGTGCAAACCAACTTATAAAAGCGTAGATTGATGGCAGAACGGCAAACTCAGAGTGGTTTCACACAATTTCATGTGCAATGTGCATTGAGTTAGTAATCTAAGAAAACCATGGTAAAGAGCAGAGTTAATCGAATTTGGTTACCAAGTCAAACGATGTGGCCCTTCATAGGCTGTTGGATATAAGAACATGAGGAGGTTGGTATAAAAAATTGAATCGAATGAATAGAGTTTGTATGTTGAAAAGGGACGAATCAAAGGCAATTGCCAAATCATCCATAATGTGTCTTCGACAGGCGTCAAGCATACTTTCCATTGAAAGAAAAAAGTTTTATGAGTTCAGATCTATGGCCTTAAACGACTACGCAGTCAATCAGGATAAATGTTAAATTAGTTCTTCAGGATGTTTCAAAGAAGCAATTCTTCCAAAGACTTCTATCTTTATCTGCAACTAGAGAATCGCTTTAATGAAGCAATTCTTCCAAAGACTTTTGTGTATTTCTGCATTCAAAGAATTGTATCAATCAAGAACAGATGTTTTTTGCTTCGTTAAAATAGCCTACCTAAAAGCCTGCATGGTTGTAGAGGCATCACGAGATTTCATGTCTCGTTAATTGGATACCAAATTTTTCAGCTGCCACATCTTTGTCTTGTTTTCAAAAGTACAACCCAGCCTCCTTCGGCAGTATCCGTAAATTAATTGCAAAGTTCAGAGACGCCCATCTGCTCGTAGTGTGTGGTTATAGACTCAAAGTTGACATAGCGAGATGAGAAAAAAGGACTTGAGAGTTTTTTCAATGGCAAGGCGGGGATTTATGCAACTGAATTTCGATGTTGTATGTAGTGTTTTTCTAAAGAACAGAACTATACATTAACACTATACATACATTAACACTATACACTATACATTCAGTTTTGAAGTTGGAAGAAAAAGTCATCAAACTTCTTTATTGTATGCCTAAGTATGCAATGCGTAAAATTTAAAACGATATGACTACCCTGAGGTTCTTTATAGACGTCCAAAAACATATTTAAATGAGACTTCACATTCCAGTTGCAACAGAGCTGTAAGCAATAAACTAGAGTTTAGGTGCCCCACCCAACTATACAGTTCAAGCACAGAATCGAAAAAATGTTCTCTGTTCTGTGGTTAAAGGGTGCAACGTTCGTGGATTCGCCTAGGTCAACGACTGCAGTAGATTCACTAGCACCGGTGAAAACAAGAGGTTGATGAATCCGCTTCTTTTGAAGCAAGTTAGATCCTTATCGTGTGGAATTTTCATTGACTGAAATTTTCAAACATATGCTAAGTTTTAATCGCACGAAATGACAGTTGAGTATCATTCATTAATCGGTGTCAGGTGCCTGCCCGAGTCAGATGTTCTTGATGCGAATGAAGATTGTTATAGAAGTACAGCGTGAATCATCAAAGAAACATCGAAAAACAAAGCATTAGAAATTGGATGCTTGACAAATCACTTTCGTAGTACAGAGGCTTACAAGCTTAAAACTCTTATCTGATGACCTGCAGTCAGTTCTAAATAGTCACGTTCGATTCAATCGCCTGTCGTAGATTGCATGGTCGGCCAAACAACCATAGTGCTGAAAGCTACAATTAACAGAAAGCCACTACAGGGCGGCTTACTTTTTAACACAACGAATTCCTGATTATAATGATACTCAAGCGTTCAAAGTTGCAACACAGGTCAGGCTTATCATCTGGATAGAAAATAGTGCACGGCTATAACAGACATGTGCTTCAATGTATTAGTGAATGGGTGTAACATCAAGCAGAGATCGAAAGGACCCCCTTAAATAGGCCTTTTAGCTTCAATAACCGTGGGCTAGATGTCTCGTTGTCTACTGAAAACGAGGCTGCCGAAAGAGCATACTGACATCAGTTGGTTGTCTGATTGTACCGAAAAAATCATGAAATCGGCATAAACTATGAAAAACCCTACAGCTAGTTTTCACGTTTACTAGTCATTTCGTTTCCCGTACATTTCTTCATTTGCTTCCAATTTCTCTAAAACAATATTGAAAGCTTGGGGAAATATCATGCAAGTCGTATAAGAAATCGTAGTGCCTATTCTCTCTACGCCATTAAGTGGTAAAACAACACTGTTTCAACGACGAAAGGGTGGTTATAAAGAGTAAAAAATAGAACAATTATGAATCCCGAAGACATTTGACGAGTAATTGGTAGGAAGACGATTCCCCATCTCCTCGATATTCATCCAATCGAATGAGACTGTAAACATAACTTTGAGCGGTACAGTGCCAAACATTGTCCAAAAATATCTTGTTTTTGTTAGGCAAAGGATTCTTTTCGGCGCACATGTAATGGAATTATATAAAAACTGGTTGCTATAATAATCCTGAGAGCTGATAGAAACCTTTACTTCAAATTCTGTTTGCGTAAGGCTGATCTTCATCTCCATTATCTTTGATAAGATCATGATTAAACATAGGCCCAGAAAGAAAGCTGTTTCAATCAACAGCATGTCTGCTGCAAGAGATACAATATCAAAAATATGAATAATTAAACTGATTGTATGATTCAAAATTACACAGGAACGAATTATCAAGGGAAACAAAAGAACTGTGACGTTATTGATGATTCAATTTGATTAACGGATTCTTTTCAAAGTGACTCCCTCTGAATAGATGATTATTTGCACACATAACTACAAAAACAAACTTCTCAAAAATGATCATGGCCCTGGGGGTATTTTCAAAGCGAAATCTTTGGCTCGAAGAGTTTTAGGTGTCTGCCAAGTTTAAAATAACTTGAAAAAGGTTTTGTTTTCTTCAGACATGAAATTACCTGTGTATATGTTCTAGTAATTGTATGACCTGCTCCAGCTCACACCGGAATAAACTTCTAACAGTATCGACTTGTCTCTTGACTTGACTCTTGACGACATTCTCGAGTGTTCTCTAAATTTGCATCTGTTGTTTCTGTTTCTTTACGACCAAACCCAGTGGTCTTACAAAGTGCCTTTGGACAAGAGACGAAAGAGCAGCAAAACCATTAGCCCGCGAAGCACATTGGTTCAGAAAAGATGGTGTTGGCAAGACTAGGCAACGGTCAAAACATCCAAAGACTCAAACATCCAAAGACTTAAAACTCGCTCGTGTACCTCAAAATGTTTGTGTTTTAGTTGAAGTTTTTGAAACAGGTCTTTCGATGCTTGCTGCGATTGGGAAGTTGCTAGTAATTGTCAAAACGACGACTTTTAAACTCAAGAATTGAGAAGCTACACATAAGCTAGATGTGTTCGATTTTATTTACAAAAGAACAACCCTCTTTGATTAGTTTCCTTTATGGGTAAAGGAGCGAAGATGGAAGCTGGCGGGAATGCAAAATAAAAAATGCTGAGAAGCATTCACAAAGGTCTACAAAGCATTCATTGGTAGGTATGAGGCGATAAAGACGCTTAACGGCAAGCGCTCAAGTCAAGCATCTCTCCACCTCACATCACTATATCTCATGATTCTAACTCTTAGAATTACAGAGAGGAGGACAGGGGGTTATCCAAGCTATGAGTTCAAATTTATGACTATGAACTATGAGTCTAATCCTCATTTCAGAGCAGGAATTCAACTATTGTCTCATTAGATCTGAAGTTCTTAGCTTCCAAAGATCACTTCAACCCACTTCGCCAGGTTATTGTTGTGACGTCATCTAGCCTCATTTCCAAGCAAAGCTGTGCATGTAGCTACCCGTTTTTGCTACTATTATCTCTGCTTGCTCTAAAACTTCACAAATGTTTAATTTATAAACATCATATCTCCTACGTCATCTGTGCTACTCTTGAACCAATGCGCAGGTGTACCTTCAGGTGGTCTCCTGTAAGTGGACTTTGGTAGTATGAATAAATACTAAATTCGCTTACGCAAGCGATATTTAAGCCGATTGAAGAGACGGACGAAGAGGATGGTCTGCCGTAATAAAGTGACTAGTGACACAATGCTATTATGAAAAAGGAAATGCATTGAAAACAATGATTGCAATCTTTCACACCCTAATTCATGAGAACTCAGCCCTTGTGTTTGAATAGGCAAAAGACTCTACTATTTGCAATGTTTATTCGACCCAAAGAGCTTTAGGCTTTCAAGTAAATTTGATTTTCGTGTTAGCAATGGAATAAACAACAGGTGAAGGAAATGTTTACAAAATCATAAAATTAGTTGAAATAATTTGTCTCGTTGAAAACTTGAATTTGCTCCAGCAAACAACTGATAACTCCTTAAATGAATCAACATTGTGTCGAAGGAATTTCCACCTGAGGACGACTTCTTTGATAAATTCGACGCCAGCTATTGTTGACAAATGGCAGATGTTTCGTTGCCCATAAGGTTCTTCCCACCCGCTATCTCTTTTTCCAACACACTGATTGCTATACTGTGTAATCCTGCCGAACCGCTTCATCGTAAAAAGCATGCCCGCCAGGGCTAATTATCAGTTCAAGAAGAATGAGCCTTGCAGGCTCGTTAACACAAAAATGACGTACTCTACTGATTTACGTCATAAATAGGGTGGACCGTGGCGGAATTTAAGGAAGACATTAGGGGCTAGGGACCCCAAACCTCTTCCGATTCACATCCTTATTGGTAAATTTGGGCTTTCAAGTGGCGGATATCCAGTCGAGTCTGCTTTCTGTCGGAAAATCGTAGGCCTGAGCCCCTCTCTCCCAAATGACAACCTGAATTTCCACCATTTGTGGTAGTCTGTATCCATGGGTATGACACCCCAAGAACATTTCTCAGAATGCAAGGGCATAACTTAAAGAATGACTGATTCAGTTAAGGCAACATCATTTTTTTAAAATTGTTTCACATCAGAACTAGAAATTGTTTTTTCACATTTTTTCACAATGCTTTTGTCGGTTTAAGCTCAGTATGGGAGTGTCCTCTTTTCGGGACTATTCCCTAATTTAAGGTTTTTAGGGAATCAAAAGGAAGCTTTTCGTGAGAAAATATGTATAAAAATGAAACAAAAAAATCTGGACAGGCTGGAAAAATACTGAAGGTTCCAACGGAATTTTAATATTGCATTAAGTGAAGGTTTACTTGTCATAAAAGAGCACTGACCCTTCGTCTATGCGAATAGGAGACGTGTCTTTCAAAATTGTGCATTTTCACACAGAATAAGATGAATATATCGACCATATAGAAGATAGCCTGATCAGTGACAAAAGATTTTCACAAGAAATTTAAACCAAATGTAGACAGATGCAATCAAAACATTTCCTTGATACAAAAGCAAAAGAGCCCGCCAGGTCAGAGACACAGAATTCAAATACATTCTCATAAATATTTTGCATTTTAGTTTGAGTTCGTCCGAAAGTTTCATAATGAAATAGAAAAACTATTGCTTGGTTTGCATGTTAAAAAATTTTTCTGACTTTTCGATTATCATGGAAAAGGAGTCTTATGTATTATGTCTTAGCATTTCTGAGCTAGTACTGAGATTTTTTGAAAGGCTTAGAATTTCCTGTATCAAATTTCTTACAACAGAATATTTGCAAAACATTAAATGTAAATAAAATATTTCTATGAAGTGAATTGAAAACCAAACCAGATGCGCTATTGAATTGAATTGCTGCCATCATGATTGTATTGACGGTATACCCCAATGGCAGTAAATTGATTTCAGACTGTCTAAAAATGCATTATGGGATGCTTGCGTAGCGCAATGGCTCATTGTTAGCAATGAGTCTTTAAGAGGAAGCTTCAAACTGCTGAGATCTTACTTTACCAACACATGTAACTTTGTGGCGAAAATATTCTTCATGTTAAACAGGACGCTAATTACAAGCGGATGTTGTGCTGGAAAAATTGCAGCAGTGCTAGAGATAATCAGGTTTTGCCATACCTCGTCATGCTTCCAGGCGTTCAGGATACTGTTATTTGAGGTAAATAGACTTGGTTGTCTCAATAATACTGTTATGGGCAGTAGGTAAAACTTTGATCGAGAGCATCTTAGCTCTACTCCAAGCAGTTCTCACTAGCAGTTACAATACACTCATTTTTTTTATAAGAATCAAAGGTCGATGTTGAATACTCCAGTTTCTTAATGTTCTGGAAATTTCAATACTCACTGTTTCTTAAGAGTTTCTTAATTGTCATGAATGATGTTATGAAATGTTCGTGACCTTTTTTCACGTCAAGAAATTCGCTTCAGTTCTGACGCTGTATTTAGACGTGGAAAGTATATTTTTATCCCCTGTGCCTTAATTTCTAGGCCTTTAGGGCAATCTTGTTCTTGGATTTTACAAAATTTCGTTATTCTCAGTTTTATCACGATTTAATAGTTTCTTAATTTTTTTGTTTCGAGCACTAAAGTTTCTTAATTTTTTTCTGACTGTCCAGTACTCGTTTCGTATAGCCAGTTTCTTATAAAAAAATGAGTGTAGGTGAAGAGTCTGCCTCTGTCTGACTCTTTGAGGTAGAATTAAGCGCTTCTATAGACACTCAGAAACGGGACCGAATCCATCATAATAAAACCCAAGGTATCACTTACTATCGGACGGCTCGTAAACATCTACGAGATATTTGGATTCCAGATCGAAAGAGAGATCAACAATGTTCCCCTACCATTTCCCACAATCAACTTCTAATCAAGCGAAAAATTGTTGTGGAATGAGACTGTAATGCATACCATTATGTTATCGCTACTAAGTTATAGAGGGGAACAGAGGACAAAGTTAATCTAGGAGTTCTATTTCTTTTCAACTACTCAAATATTAGCAATCAAATTACGAGTGTACCGAAAAAATTAGGATAGATACAAGTAAAACAGTAAAACAGCAAAACAAAAGCAATAAAGGCTGCATATCACGGGATTTTCACTCTGCGTCATATTACATTTGCCTCGTGTCAGGTTATCTTAATAACACTCAGGTGGAAAAGTGGCGAGCTCTAGATTTTCATCCTCTCTCATTCCGTCTCAAGCATCGATAATCTACTCTAGTGATACAATTACCAAAACCTTAGTTTCACACATTAAGGGAACTGTCATAAAATATGGAACAGACCGGGGCGGAAGGGATTTCAAATTTTATATTAAAATCATGTAGCCCAATGCTAGAAATAAAAAAATCTTCATGGCTCCAATACATTTTCTAAAAGAATTTGATAGCCCCTGAAAACTTTCTGATGAAGAATCACAGAAAACAGCACAAATTTTCTTTACACAATAAAGATTAAAAATACATCACTCTCTGAAGGGCCAGAACTGAGCCAGCTTTATTTCCTGGGGAAAAAATGTTTTGTAGACATAGAAGAATAAGATGAAGAGAAAGAGGAAACTGGAAAATGACAAGAAGAGTGAAGAGAAGAAAATGAGGCTACACAAAAGCTGTGGAGCAGTTTTGTGTGTAATAACACATGATAAGTTATTCTGTGATTACGCTGCTCAGGGAAAGTTTGATTTTCAGATTGAGGAAGCTTCTATCAGCTCAAATGTCATGGATGCTCTAAAGCCAAAGTTACATTTGCGGGGCTTGAAACATCTAATTGAAAAAGGATTTTTACAAATTGGGATGGTAGCAGCAAGATGGCAGAAAGGTTCTGCAAGCATCTTCAAGATCAGCTGGCAGTAACAACAGAAGCCAACAAATTGAAAAAGGCTAGAAGAATGAAGAAGCCAAAAAACAGTACAATCACACAATGTTTTCAAAAGGCAACAATGAAAATGCCAGAAGATACCACAATGGTAGAGACTGATGACAGCAGTGACAGTGATATTGACAATAGTGACTAACTCTTTTTTAAAAAATTTTAAATGAACAATTTCACGGACCATGATTAATGTTCGAAATAAGTTGTTGCCCAACGTTTTGCACTCAAATGTTTTGATGACCCTGCTGAATCCCTTCCGCCCCGGTCTGTTCCATACTTTATGACAGCTCCCTAACACAGTAAACAAAAAACAGAATTCATTAACATCAAATAACTCCTGAGGCAAAATAGACGCCAGGCTGCCATTTAGGACTGGAAATGGAGACCAAATTTTTCATTGAATATATTATAACTTGTTGAACTTGAGTATGTGTGTGAAAGACACCTTTCTTAGACCAAATGAAAAAATATTAACGATAGCATGATTATTAGGCCAGAGCTGTGAAGATCCTCTATTTAGCATTTGCTTGTAGTTGGGGTTTTCTACACGCCGCCACGGCAAGGTGGTGGGAATTCAGGAAAGTAATGGAGCTTATATCAACATTGGTACACAATCGCTACCGCATAGGTGAATATAGAATTTGCACAAACTTCTTGGAAAGGATCACAACTAGAGCAAAGGCATCATCATCAATGCAAATTTGTTATCTTTGTAGACCTTACGCAGTCAGCGCACCATTCCTGGTATTTCTGACCAAAATAAAACCATTTTTAGCTTACGGTTCGAGAGTGCTGGTATTTTATAAAAATATGAATTGCCAAAAATAATGCACAAATTTTCCACAATGTTACGTCAGACATCACACGTCTTCCGGACCACGATCAACCACATGTCACTATGTTTCTACATTACTCGTCGCTCATGCCTACTTAATTTAGATATCATTTATTTTACTACCAAAGCTCCACACAACAATGAGATAAAATACAAGCGAAAATTCAACTATCTTTACAGGGCTAACAATTTGAGCAGGTCTAGCTATTGGTAACTGCACCTCGAAAATATATCTAGCTTCTCCAACTTGTACACCAAATGATCATTAATCTGATAGGATGAAGAAGCATGGAAAGCACAATTTATAACTTGTTTTGAGTGCGTAAGAGATAATATTGATATGAAATTTGCTTTATTTTTATTTGATTATGTCTATTTCTGTCTCTCCTTGGGAGGATAAAGAAACTAGGCCGTGTAAGGAGCATCGACTTTGTATCTGTTCTCTGCAACGTAAAAATAGCTCGATTCTTTTGGTCTCTCTATATGCCAGGTACATTTCACTTATACTTTTGCAGAAATAAATTCCGAAGAACTAACTGCTTACCTGACACAATTAATGATATGGTGGTTGATAATAATGTATTGTTCTTGGAGCATACCCCCCTTGTCGTCTATACGGCACAAATGCTTGAGGATGAACCTGATAGACTTCAGCCGGGGGATATCTTGACTGCAACAACTGCTGAGGAGGAAAACCAGCCACATGCTGGGGTGGTGCATAGACTGCCGGCGCATGATACGGAGGCTGCATATCACGGACTTCACCAGGGGTGTACGGTGCCCCATACAATGCAGCAGAATGGGGTGCATCTGCGATGAAAACCTAAAACAGCAAAAAGCTTTCATTTTATTCAAAGCCTGTTTGAGCAATCGCACCAATACAATTAGCATAAGGGAGAGCAATTTTAGGGAGCTCAAATCTTCATATGCGGGTGAAGATGCAGGAAATACAGAAAATGATGTCCCATATGCTCTTTTCTGGTCACCAAGCACCATTTCCTTCAAAGTATGTTTATTTCAACGATAATTGATTTCGTTGATTTCGATCACTACCTTATCATACAATGTTGGCTTGTTGTTATTTTTTTTTAATGACAGAATAAACCAAAGAGAGAATGGACACTTTTCCAAATAGATGACACTTTCCAATGCAAATCTGGTTCGAGAATGAATTTTACTTGGCAATTTCACTTCACTTCACCAATTTTCAACCTACTATTCTCGTCATTGCTACTTAGTTCAACTTCAGCATAAAAAGATAATACACATCCTTGAAAAATTCCAGCTATCAAACAAATCCTAGGTGACGTTTTATATCCACATTAAGTGTTATCTATTCGGACAAGCGTGCTCTGTTCCTTATCAGTGGCGTAATGCAGCTTAGGGCACCCTATATCAATAACTAAGGGCCCCTAACCAACACGGGCCCCGAATTATTTCTATATTCATGTTTTTCTATCCACATTATGTGTCATCTATTCGGACATGGGTGCTCTGTTTTTCAAAGCAGATTCTCCATCATCTCCCATTGGTATCGACGTTCTCTAATATATCAACGAGTGGTTCGTGACGTCACTTCACAAATGCCTACCTCATGCTCGATAGAGCAAATATACATACGATGCAACCTCCATATAGACTTACTCCACGAGCCTTAGTTTCGCTTTTGTCTCTCTTTACAGACGCAAAATCTGCGACTCACGGAGTAAGTCTATCCGCAATATAGCGGATAGCTAGGGGACTGGAACTATTGTCTAATAAATGGAGAAAAAAGTATCAAGGAGATTTCACTGTATCATAATTAATAACGCAAATCAATAAGCAAATAGAATACGTGATTCAAACACACGCAGCTTTAAACTAGAATAGATGAGCACCTGAGCTTGCGGTTGCCCGTCCATAACAGCATAAGGTGCAGGAGACTCTAGCTGTGTCTGTGGGATGGACATCAGCGGCTCCATTTGATAGTCCACACCTGTCTGCCCAGTTTGCTGGGGGTTCATCCCTATAGGTTGTCCGAATTGGTTCCACAATGAGCACAATGCCGCTCCAACAGACGGCTCAAGTTCTTGGCCATCACGACTGATCTGCACTTTCTTGTTCTCATTCCACGGATTTGTCAGTTCTTGTGTAAACTGAAAAGGCAAGTCTCCCTTCTGAATCCACTGCACTGAGAATGTGCCCCCAAGGTTAACCGAGCCAAAATCAGAGCAAGGCTTATCTGTGACCTTAGACACCATCTTTGCATACCCTTGGAAATGTCCGCTACCTTGAATAGAAAATATCAAGTAGATGTTACCCCCATCACGGTACGCTCGGTCCAGTTTCTTCTCGTTGCTTTTGGTTGTTGCCCAGATCCCCCGTGACATTGCGATTTCGAGGTTTTTGTAGTTGTTGCATTTAACGATAAAGTATCGGTCAACCTTCGCCATATTCCCATCAGTGTTTTCAGGGTCCTCTTCATTTTGAGCATTCGTCTGAGCGTCACGCTCTTCATTTCGTCTCCTCTCATTCTCCTTACCAAACCTTCTGTCACGTGACATGTGTTTTGGTCTTTGGTAATCGTAATCACGACCTCTTTGTCCGGTACTAAGAAAAAAGACAATATAACATAACCATGGTAAAATACTGCAAAAATATATCAACAATATCTTTCGAAAAAAGCCTCCAGCCTTTCGAAAAAAGCTTCTTTTCATCATTCAAAACCAAACAAGACTAACTGACACATGTAAGTGACTTACACAAATTATCAAATTATTTTTATCGACGAACGATGTTGGTTATGAAGCATGAAAAACTACAATCATGTCTTGCCTTGCTACAATGGTTGAGTACAAACGACTATCGTATTTCAATCAAACCTAGGCCCTCTTAGTCTAGGCCTATCGAATCATTGGCTGTGCTGAAAGCGACAGAACACTGGAAAATCAACGTAAATGTCTATTTGATTTTAACAATTATAATTTGACGAAAATTGTAGCTAAAAAGTGTTAGACTAACAAATTGATAAATAAATGAAAATTAAATTTTTCAATTTCTGTAAAGACACAAAAAACTATCCATTACCTCCCGCCGCCGCGACCACGGGGAGACGCTCTATGTCCAGAAGTCCACGTGACCGACTTTCCACTTCGTTCTCTATCATTACTATTGTGTTGTGAGCCATCGTTGGCGGTCGATTCCTTTTTCGCATCCGGATTATCTTCCTCACTCAAAACATTCACTATACACTGTAAAACGCTCTCGTCACACTGTGACCAAGAACGGCCTTCTGAGGAGATCCTCCGCACAAATGATGAAAGAAACTTCATTTTTAACAGCAGCAACAACTCCAATGCATCGTCATCACCATGGAAACAAATCCAATCGTCAATCTTTAGAGTTGCTTTGTCATCATTGGGCTCTGGCTTGCTGCCTTCTTCGTTTTCACTATTATAGAGGATAACAAATTAACTAAATGATCAATTTTGAGCTTTAATAATTCTATGTGAATTGAAAAAAAATCATACTATATTAATTCGGGGGAGCCTGCAAACTAAACATCAGAAAAGAAATTGTGCCTTTTATTTTCAAACATACAATAAATGTAATTAATAGAAAGTGAAATGTTGAAGGAAAAGCAATTAATAGAAAGTACAAAGAGAAGAAGTTCAAGGTTTAACTATTTCTGACCGCGTCTCAAGGCTTTAGTATCTAATTTCTAAATGACAGGGAAATTGCTAGCGTTAGACAAGCTGGAAACCGATGTTGATACAAATTAAATATGTCACCAAAAGGTTGAAAAAGAACATCTATTTGTTCACCCTTCACCGAATGAAATTTGTGTGAGAGAATGCTGGTTAATCTGAAATAAAAAAAATCAAAAGCGGTTTCTTTTTTAAGGGAACCGATAAAAAATGTAATGTGTCCATAAAGGTAATGTGTCCATATAAAAGGACTGCGTATACCCAACATGTCAAGTAACATCAAAATAACGGTTTGCGATTGGTTAGTATTCTTGCGATGCAAAACTGCTCACGTGAAAAGCTAACCTCGCAGGAGGGTAGATAAAAATAACGACTGTAATGGCTGGGACGATGACATGAAAAATCACATGTTTCTAAAAACCCCCGCAGAGTTGCTTGCTTTAGCTGGACACATTACCTTCAACAGTGAACATTTATTTAATCAAGGGTCTCTACAAAACACTACCTGTCACTATTCTCATATCCATATCTTCCTTTATTCCCGGAATTCGGATCACCTGATCTTCGAAAGGAATCCTCGTCTACAATGAGCGACGGCCCGGCTAACAACGCAACCGCAACCGCGGGGAGGGCCGTAAGGCATCTCACTTGAACCGCCGTGTGCATACGCGTCATTTCATCAAAATAAAGCCAATCGTACGGCAAATGCGATACAATATCGGCACTTATAGTTGTTGGGCTCTTTCCATGCCCTACGCAAAAATTAAAAAATGTAAGAAGCATGTATGTTATAACCACTGGACAACATATACAGGTTGTAAGATCCAGTTTTATGTTCTTGCCTTAGATCAATTAATCTATTATATTATAATTTGAGTTCAACATAGGAAAAGGTAGAATCGCGAACTCGCATAAATGTACATTTTGGCCTTTTTACTAATCAAGTTAGCCAATCAAATCATTTAAAATATACTGTAATATAAAGAGAATTGTAAATATACAGTGTATTATGTCTAAAGTGAAGATCGCAGTGTCCACCACATAGAGCGTATATGCCTCAAGGCGCACATCACAGGGCTATCAAAGTCTTCCCTGAAATACTTAAAAACCTCAATGCTTTCCTTCTATTTGACCGCAACATTAATATCGCTTTGGCAAAGCCTTATCGTTTTATCCAAATACCGACACACATAGAAAAAATTCTCAACCAAAAGTGGAAGCGACCAACATTGCCAAGGTAGAGAGACTGGTAACCAGCTAACACATTGCTAAAAATGACGTCAGGAAATTCAAACTGAAAACTAATTATGCAAAAGCTACAACGTACCATTTGCTGGGTAAAGCACCGAAGATGGATGCACCCTGACTTTGCTTTCTGTTTCACTGACTATCTTCACCGAACGCCTGTCTACACGAAGAAGCGCAGGATAAACACCAGTAAGGGCAGCTGCTTTGACGACGGAGATATTCTGAGAGTTTGCATTCAAGTCCTTCATGTCACCAGTCCCTCGCTGCCTTACCAAGCCGAGATTCTTGAGATGACCAAGCAACTGACTGCGCATGCCTGAAACCATCTCCATGGCAGCTGATGACACAAAGTTTTGGCTGCAAAAATACCGATCGTCTCCGTCTTCTTTGGCCTTGCTCCACGCTTTGAAAATCTTGGAAAGCGTAAAATGATCGCTGAATGACTGGCCACTGAATTTCACTTTGGCAGAATATGCACGCTGCTTATCATCAACACGTGTGGGAAGAATGACTGGAGAAGAACATTGATTACTTAATAAAATACTGAAACGCTATGATTAGGTAGAAATGTTTAATATAATTACATGACGCCAACTAAACATTCAGCTTGGAAATAGTCATTCTTTTTTATTTATACTAAAAGCAGAGTAGGTTACTTACAGGGATCTCTATAAGCAAGACTCGTTGCGATGGTCAGCACAGGATCGAGGCACTTCAGAATGACTCCAAATATCACCATCTTTCCTAACCGCGGGTCAATTGGCAGGTCGACGAGTAACTTCCCGAGAACGGTCAACTCCTCTTCATCATCCAACGCATCAATAGCTTTCAACAAGGAGACCGAGTTGCGTATCATTAAGAATGGGGGAGGCTCTGCTGCCTTAGTCAGGAAATCAGCAATAGAAACATTGACAGCTGCCAACAGCTTCGTCTGGAGACACAGCTCATGAATTGGTGTCCGCAGAATCTCCGCGTCTTGATATAGACAAAGATTATGAAAGCGATAACGACTCATGAGGTGATAACAATATCCAGGCCTGCATCTTCCAGCTCTTCCACGCCTTTGCAGAGCACTTGCCTTGGAAATCCAGACACTTCTCAAGGCCGACACGGAAGTTAGGGGATCAAACGTCTTTTCTTTAACCTTTCCTGAATCAATGACAAAAACTACATCATCGATAGTGACGCTTGTCTCTGCAATATTAGTTGACAGAATGATCTTTCGCACCCCAGAAGGAGGCCTTCGAAAAACCTTTCGCTGACTAGAGGGTTGCATCATTGAATGCAGCGTGTAAATAATGTATTTACTTTGTTTGGAGAATTCCTTTTCTCCCAAAAGCCTATCTCTTATCCCCACTATGTCATCGTAGCCAGGTAGAAAGACGAGTATGGCTCCATCTTGTTTGGTCTTGCAGATATGGGAAATGAGCTTTAAAACCAAGTTATGATCGACCTTGTCATCGTCAAATGTGTTGTGATACATCTCCAGCCGCTTCTGTAGCTCTTTGGGCAGGGTGCTCACATCTTCCTCATTTTGAGTTGCTTCATCTGCATCCTCATGGTGCAATTCCATGTAATTATCAAATATCTGCATGATATGACCCTGCTTGAAATTACGGGCCCAGTCCATTGCAGACCAACATTGCTTTTCATCCTTCAGTTCAGGATCTGCGCCCATCTCCAGCAAATGCTCCACAAGGTTGGAGAACCCACGAGCAGATGCAACCATCAGTGTTGTCATTGTTGTCTCGCTGTGCCTAAAATCTATGTTGACGTTTTCATTGAGAATCAAATGTAGAATCTGGTCGAAGACCTCTTCATTGCCATCAACCCATGCCGTCTTCAAGCACGAGTCCATTTCCTGCTTCACCTCCAAGTCAAGACAGCTGCTGTTATCATCACTGATTTGAAGACTTTTCATGGATGCAATCTCTGTGTTAACCGTGTCTTGTGGCAATGTGGAAGCGTCCTTCTTTTCGACATCATTGCTATCTTTCCTATTTAAAAAAATGGAAATTATATGCAAAAACAAGTAACTGAAGATTTGTTTCTTCAATTTTACATCTTGGGCTTCACATTCACGGCATCCATCTAAACTGTTTATCTAAACTATAGCAACATCTGAATAAATGCCTTCCCTCTTAACGTTGATGCTATAAACTTCAATTCCTATACAAGTAAGGAAACACAAATATAACGGACAACAAATCCTAATTATCCAAGGCTGCTCAATAAGAAGATAAATCTTGTGGCATTGTTATTTCTTAAAAATTGAAAAAACTTTGGGAGATTGGTAATAAGGTCATTTGACAAGTTATGCAAAAATGTTTCCAGCTGATCTGCAAGTACCATTAAAATCACAACTTATTCCATTCAAAATACTAAAAAAACTAAATTATTACATCCAGTTCTTAAATTTACTATTGATGCAAATGAATTACATGTTTCAGTTATATTTTATCTGCAAGACCATAGAGGCTATTCCCTATAGGGGAGAGTTTTTTAGAGGGGACATGCTGTATTATCCTATCCCCCAATCTTTGGGTTGTGCATCCTACATAGCTAGAACAACACTGGTACATAAACTCGTAGATAATGAAACTTAGGTGGTAGGAATTCACTCCTTTCGAATAGATTGAAGGACCATTTTGTACTGTAAACAATACAAGGATTAACAGCAAAGAAACATTTTGTATCGGCTTGTTTAATCTGACAATCAACACCAGACAGTTGGAGGTTTGGAAAGTTAAGCTAGTCAAACAGCTCTTTGAGGAAAACAATAAAGCCAGTAAATTTTGTTCATTTGAATGACAGTATATCAAATATGCTGCTTTTAGCACCCAAGATATTGTGCTATTAAAAAGAAAAGTGTCAAAATCAAAATATATCATTTATGCTGGTGATTATACAAAGCCTTCTACATGTTTAAAGAAATCAACATCACTGCAGAATGGCAAACATTTCCTCAGGGCCTCAGATGCTTACTTTTAAGGATGTTTTAAAAGAAAATATGATAAAAGATATAAGCATGTGTTATTTATAGGGGGACTGAACAAACAGAAAGCTTTAATGAAACCTATTAAGATTTAATGAACTATACTAAGGAAACATGTCACAGCTATCATTTGCATCTCCTCTTGTTGTGACCCCTAATGGATGATACATTGGAATCCCAACAGTACTATAAAACCCATAAAACATAAGGACTTCTCAAGAGATAAGCTGCCCATTTTTACACATTTTCCAAAATTGCCCATTTTTGTAACTTTCCTGTTACAACGGTTTATGTATTATATCGATAGTGCATGAAATGGAAGTATAATTTCAAAGTTTATCCAAACTTTTAATGTGCTTACACTCTATCCTTAAAATCAAAGACAGAAACTTGCCCAACATTATTGCTGGTCATCAATTTCTGATAACTTTTATCAATTACTATCTTTAGTGTTTTTAGTCCTGATTCATCCAGTTATTTTTATCAAGAAAATGTCTTTGAAAATAAACAGAGCAATTAAACTATCAAAGGATTCCCTTTCAGCTAAAAGAAACAATTCCTTTCCAATTCAGACTTACCCCTTTGGATCTTGATACTCTACAGCCTTCACCTGAGGCTTTTGTTCTTCATCTACTTCACCCTTTTTTAGAACCTTGATACTTCCAGCTTTGAGTTGTTCAAAACTCTGCTGTGGCTTCATGCCTGTTTTGAGGCTGATTTTTTCCATTGCTTTATTTGTATAGTCAGTCATTTGCAAAACATCTTCAAGGAAATATGATTCAACTTTGTGACACATACTAGGGACATGAACAACTGGGCAGTTGCCAAAATACTCCTTAAACAGGTCAATATTCAGTGCAGCGCTCATGAGAATTAATCTCAAGTTCTTGTAAGCTTTCAATTGATCCCTTAAGCAGATCAATAAAAAGTCACTGAACTTATCCCGTTCATGTATTTCATCAATAACTATATGTGTAACATTGGAAAGGACTTTGTGCCCAGCTGTAAGCAGTCTCAATAGTACACCATTTGTGCAATACAAGAGGCATGTTTTTGGAGAAACTCTGTTTTCCAGGCGAATTTGATATCCAACTGTCTGTCCAATCTGTTCCCCTCTTTCATAGGCAACTCTTTCAGCAACTGAAATAGCTGATATTCTTCTTGGTTGTGTAATAATTGTTCTGCAAGGCTGCTGACGTTTGTTAGCATCTTCAAGAATATACTGCCCCACCTGAGTAGTCTTTCCGCATCCTGTATCTCCACTGATCAAGGTAACTTGGTTGGTTTTTATACTTTTGAGCACCTTATCTCGATAACTGTAAATAGGGAGTTTGGTCCGGTTGGAGTTGGAATCATTTTCTCTTACTTTTGGTGGGACTTGCGGGTTTGATCCTAGCAAAAACTTACTCTCTTTTATAATAACCTTTGAGTTATCGTGCCCGGAACCTTTCAAAATTCGCTTTTGACCAATGTCTTGATTTTCTTTGTTTGTAACTGGGTATTTCTTCAAGAAATGGTCAATACATTTAATGCTGTTTGTAGACAGCTTAAGATCAAACGTTGACGAACTAATTGACTTCTCTTTCTTGTACACAGTCAATGATCTTTGGCTACCTGATCCACGGCTTTTCGTTTTCAAGCCAAATTTTTGGCAGTAACGATGAACATAGGCCCGTTCAGCAGATGTCAAGGAAGATGGCAATGTAAGTTCCTTTAGATCTTCTTCTTGGCGAAACTTTTCAATTGCTACATTTACTGCAATTTTCAACTCTTCTCTCGTTCCATCCGCACGGATCAAAATGTCGCCAGCATTGAGTTTGCCGCCACCTGGCCTGTCATCCGCCATTTTGTTAATGACTATGAAAACGAAATCGAGGATGACAGGTATCACGAGGGCAGGGCATACGGGCGTAGCTTCCATGTTTTGATTAGGGAGAGGCAGGGGAGCACCATGACTTTTGACACAGTGGACCTTTTCTCCAGGTAAATGAAACCGAACCATAGAAAAACATAAAATGCATAAGAACATAGCCAGCCATGTAGCTGCAGGGGGGAACGGGGGGCTGTGTTCCCCAAATGAAAATTTTGACAACAACTTGCCCCCTCTGGCTACACTTTTTCCAAACGATATTTTAAAAAGCTGGCATAATTATAATTCCGTAAGCTTGATTTAGTCCAAATATACCTGTTTGTTATATATCTGCTCTCTTGTTTTAAATCCTGCCCCCCTCAGGTATGGTTCTTGCTCGAGTTTGCCCACTCTAGCCGACATCTACAGCTACATGGTTGAAACGTACACGTTCAAGGATACTCTGGCCAAACCAAAGCAACTGTCTTTTGAAAACAAGAGTCATGGTAACCGGTGGTGGCGCCAGGGGAGGGCTAGGGGGCTATAACCCCGCTGTGGGAAGCATCTAGCCCCCCCCCCTCATTAGAGGAAGTTATTAGGTTATCATCAAAGCGAATTTGACAAAAAAGTACGAAAACTGCATATTTTAGTCATTCTAGCTCCCCTGTCGGAAGCTCCAACCCTTCTTTCGGAAGATTTCTGGCGCTACCTCTGTTGTAAATTCTTAAATACTGAAAAGAAGTCTGGCCTGATGAATATCGGGCGTATGAAGGATCGTTTGTGCCTCCTAGCTCTTTTGCGGCTCGTAGATTCCATCCACAGCTAAACAAAGTTGTTTTAAACTTGTCTAGAAAACCCACAGCATCATGCTTTTGAAAAATGCAATCATTATTTTCTAAAATTCACTGGGCAGTCGAAAGACGTTTGCTACCAAGCCATTTTCTATCAGAGTCAATTTACTAACTGGTTTTCAAGCAGAGCCGTGATCTGTATAGTTCCTTTGCCTTTCTAAAATCATCTCATTGTCTTCTTTTGAAGGAAAGAACCTACCGTACCACCGTATTTGGGCGCGTATTAGGCGCACCCTTTTTCAAACTGTTAATGGTTTTGTTTTTTAGGGTGCGTCTTATACATGAAAACATCGAATTTTTTATCTTTTCCTGGGCCCTGGTCCGGTTTCTGAAATCGTATTTTTAGGCCGGTTAAATCGTATTCTCAAAAATAGATAGCCTCTCCTCATCAATTTCTGAACACGTGTAGGGATATTTTAGTCATTGTATCTAAGCTGGCTAAGAATCTATCATTTCTGTTGTAGTCAAGATTCGTAAGAATCGTGAAACTTTCAGTCGCAAAAAATATCTATGGCAACATGTGAAACAGTAGAACATAGAATGTAAGGTTAACTTTTTTTCGATCTGTTTAAAATTTGACAAATTCCAACTAATTCTTCAAGTTTCAACTAGCAAAAATTAGCACAAAAAACTAGCAAAATTATATTGTAACATATTTATGGTATTTGCACGACTAACGAAGTCTTAACATAGATATATACAATTATCCTATGTAAATGAAGCAAAGTATTGAAAACTCATTTTTGAATTTGGTTCCTATTTGACTCACTGTTGAAGAAATACAAAGAATAAAAACGCGCTAAGATTTTAAGCAATTGGAATTTGTTGTTATCAACGTGACATAGTATTACTCCATGAGCCTCTGTGTTGCTACTGCCTCACTATACTCGTAGCACCCGTCGTTGTAGCGTGAGCAGCGTCAGTAGCAGGCAGAACTAATTTTTTCGTTCGAAAGGGCAAGTAAGGTTTTGATGCTCAAGCACAAAAAGTGCAAATTGCTTAAATACTTAATCATGATTAATGAAAAAGGGCTTATAAGCGTTTCTGAATTTCAATTAAGAGGGGAGGTGAGGGCCAATTCCTGCCAAATAGCTTCAAAAACCCTATATTGTAAATACAAAAATGTAAGAAGACATCGAAGCAGTAAGACGCAATGCATTGTGCAAACATATCGATTCTAACCATTTAGTTACAGATTCCAGTAATTTAATTACACAATCATATAGAACATTTTTGGTTTATTTACCGTATTCCATATATTAATGGATAGTCTCAATGAACAACAAAGTGTTTTGCTTAAAGGCCTTTGCGCAACCGACATGCTTAGCGGCAGTTGTCTTAGGAAATTGACTGTGTTTTGTATTTTCATGCAGCATGACATTAGGCCGGTTCTTTTTGTTTTATAGACGCAAGGCATGCCGGTTGCACAAGAGCCTTTAATGAAAAGACAGTTAAACAGACACACAAAAATGAAATTATATGTACAGCCTTAATCCACTTTATTACAATATTCTTCAGAAGCAAACATTAAAATCTTTAGAGAAAAAGTAAAGAATGGCTGTTTAAAATTTGAGGAGAAGAGGGCTTGAAACCTTGCTTTTCGGTATTCTTTTGATGAAGCTAAAAATCTCTACGACTTATTTTGTTATATATGAATCAACATTTTTCATACAGCCCCAGCCGCGCACCCCTTTATGCAATTACCAACCCAGTAGCGAACTCAAGTTATCCGGTAGCATCGTACATTTATGTAGAAGTCCTAACATGGTTTCTCTAGCTTTATTTGAGTTGACTCTAAAGGTTGCTTTTCAATCATATACAACCTGAGATGAATCAAAGTTTCTATTAGATTTACAATAAGGACTTGGGCGTACTCAACAACTAACGCATAGAAAGATTTGCTTCGGGTATCAGAATTCACACATATCATGGTGATTTAGCCAAAGAAAGTTCATTTTGTAATGAGCTAGTAGGAATTACAAGAAGAGAGCCCGTGAGAGCGCTCTTTCAGTTACTGCTATTGCAAAACGGGTCGACATTAAAATGTGCAAATAATTGAATCACTGTAAATGCGTAGAGGCTACGCTCCTCAACACTGGCCTTGATTTAAGACAGTCGCAGTTACAAGTGCATGGAGCTGAGGGAGTTTGAAACCATCGTGGCACTGGTTGCAAAGGTAATGTTTGTGACGAAGCTGAACATGGATATATAGATCTGCACAAATAAGGAAAATGACTTTGAAGTTCATCTGTACTGAAATTGAGTAACCGCCCTTGAGCTGTTGATCTATCTGTTGCAATTTCCTTGTCGTTGCTGCAGTCTTTGGTCCTAAGTGAAATAAAAAAGTGACAGTTTTCATTTTCAGTGGCCCAGTAAGCTAGTAGGGGTTTAAGAACGAATCGGTTGAGAAAATAGAGCCATCTTATGACATAGAAATTTCAATATGAAGAAACTCACTATCCATAGAATGGAATTCAATGCTAAAGAGAAAACAACCGATGCCAAAAAAATATCATAATAAAGTAAAACAAACTACCTGAAATTGTAGAAAATGAGATAATCAAGATTAAGTTAAAGTGAGACAATACGAATCTTAAATTCACGCAGCTATTAAAAAATAAGCAAAAAATTATAATGGCTTTATATGCATTGACAGTAGAGAGAAGAAAATTTATAGAAAAAAAATTTAGATGCAAATATAAAATGCTACATTCACAATCTTAAATCAAATGAATCTTCAAAAACATGAATAAAATGCATAATCGTTCAAGGTTGAAAGCAAATATAAAAGACACCGATTATAAAAGTAATATTATATAATGCAAACATTTTGCTGTACAAAACATGATAAGAACACCCTGTTGGGTACATGGAAATTATGGAATAATCTAATGAACTAAGGATGTCATTTCAAAAATCATTATTAGAAGATAACGCAAAGTAACTAATAGGATCTGAGCATATGTCTAGAATACCAGCACCTCGATTAATAGAATCTTAAGAAGATAAAGTTATGAAAATTGTGGGGCAAATCTTTCACACAGTTATTGGGTTTCAATATAGTTGGCATTGCCATGAGTTTTGAAACGTAGCTTTGACTGAAATTTCGACCAATTATTAAAAAGTTGGAATGGGTACTCATAAGAAAATACATTGCTAAAAACAAGTAAAAACGTTTTTCTTGGAATCCCCCCTCCCTCATACTTTTTACGGTTGTGTTGTGGAGCTATATCAGTTGAATACAAAAGGCTATTTGAAAAAGTCGATGAAATTCGATCTGCCATCATTTAGAAGTTAAACGTCAATACTCGGATAGTGAATATCAAACATTACCGTACCGAAAAGAGATAACTGACAACAATAATCGATTAGATATTGGAAATATATTTAATATTTGCCTCGTTGAATAATCATTCCATTAAGCAAAATGTTCTAAGTAGCGCAACTATTTTTAAAACAGAGGCACTCCCGTTTATGACATAAGCAGTAGACATTATATATGAAACTGCGATGTAAACATCACTAAACGTAAATGATTTTCCATTCAAATTTAATCTAGTATCAGCATTGACACCAATAGTTTACTCTGAAATGACATGACATTGATACTGCAACTGACGTCAATGGGTTATGTGCCACCATCTGCAGAACTAGCAAAACTTGGAATTCTCCTTTTCAAATCAATATATTGAATTTTAAATTCCTTTAGCCAATTCAGCTATGATCCGGTATCTTACAACTGTAGAAGTAGGGGTAGCAGACTAGTGTAAAGGCTTTGAAAACGTTTTGAAAACGTTTGACAAGCTTTGGGAAATCCCAAGATTTTTTTAAAGATCTACATACATCAAGAAATTAATCTTGAAACTTGTTGCTAGTTTTATTCAATTTTAATAATATTTTTCATTTGACAACTTTGTAGTTTACCAACCTTTGACGATGCTCAGCGGCCCGCACTCTCTGCCTTTTGTTCTTAAACCAATTGCTGACTTGGGTGACAGTCAGATCTGTTGACTTGGCCAGCTCATACTTTTCCTTTGCTGATGGATAAGGGTTTTTCTCGTACGCTGAACTCAAAACACTCCGCGCTTTCTCTTTGAAACAGTACGTTGTCTGTTCTCCATCCCAGATGGTGCGTGGCAACGGGTACTTTCTCCGTATGCGGTACTTTCCGACAGCGCCAAGCGGTCTACCGCGCTGACGTTCAGCTTCAATGTAATGAGCTGTTCTCCATAAACTTTGCAGCCGCTCGTGTTGCTTCTTCGAAAATCTCCGCCCTTCCAAAATTGAATATACTTCTTTAAAATTATTTTGATAAAAACTAACTACAGCTTTTGCATTAAAACACTTTCGTCCTTGTTTATGCCTGTATCTTCTGACGGCAACGCCCAAAGAAATCGACCAAGTCGATCAATCTGTCCTGTGTTAAGCAGTGACTCACATACAAGCGCCACTTGTGGAGACGAAAACGGCTTCAAAGTTGCAGCATCATTAGCCTCAATAACAGTTTCTTCCAAAGCGTCACCTGGTAAGTCTTCTCGGCTGCTCATATTTTCCTCGCCGTATGTTCAGATAATTCAGTAAGCTTTGCAGTGATTATAAATTGGTTGTCGAAGATTCGTGCCAATCCTGTCTTCAGCTGGAAAAATAAGCAGTTGCATTCACACACAAGAAATGCTGGTCAAATAAGAATGCGTTTCATATATGTGACATTGAAAGCCTTATTATGACGATCTAGATCGCACATTGTCTCTTGCCAGACGGACAGGGATGTAAAGCAAATCGGAATCTTGACGATCTCTTGATCAAACAAGGTTGAAATAAACTCTTGATATATGACGACTACACATCGTATGAACTGTTAAATATTGGAGCAACCACATTATATGTGCGCCATGAGAAAATGTCATATGAGGAAAACATGCATCGTTTTAGCAAATAAAAAATGGTCTGGCTATATTTGTAACTTGTTAGATAAAATGATATGGCTTTGTTTGACATATAAATAAAAAACTGCTTGCTAAGACTTTTTGAAAAGTAAACCTTTTAGAAATAACTAACGTATAATTAATGACATTTGTTAGTATCTGATGAGTTTGGAATTTAGAAGGAATGAATGAGAACAAGTTAAATTGTGTGAGGTAGCAACATGCACTTAGTAGATGGTCCTGGAGAGGCAAAATGGGAAATGAAATTTGCTTGTTTCAGCCCTGGGGAAAGGGATTTAACAGAACGTGGACTAGAAATCATTCTGGGATGACCTTTGTTTGGACTTTTGCGACCGCACTGCGAAGGATTTTTAAACAGTGCCTCCTTGCAATGGGATTCTGCCTAGAAATGGCTGGGAACTGAAATGAAGACTCCCCCACCTCAATTCATAGTGAGAATTGTTTGCACTAAAATAGATATTTGCATAAGAGTTAGCTACAATAAATCTAGAAATAATTTAAATAATTATTTCAGGATACTTAAAATTTATACAGTGAAAAAACTAGTATATGAAAATATATTTTTAAGAAAAAATATTGTCTTTTAAGAAAATACACTTTTTAAGAATGTGTTTTAGGTCACCTTGTGCCACATAAAAAAACCTTGGGCCACTTAAAAGTCATTTTCAATTGGATGAGAATTACTAGAATTTGCGTTTGCAATTATAGAAATCAACTAAAAAATTAAGTTAATCGGAAAATCAGGATTGAATGTGTTGAATATATCATACCAAATGGTTTAAAAACCAATTATAAAGCACCAATTTTTTAAGTATCCTAAACCCCACATTACGAAAAGGTACTGAACCTTTCGTCTCAGATTGAAAGTATTTATAACCCCAAACAACTGTTCTACTTGTTTATAAAACATCTTTTGAGAATCTTTAATACCTTTCCTAGACCGATAGCACTTCAATGAAGCCATAGCTCCTTTTTGCAGTGGCCCCTCAAGTATCCAAATTGCTTCCGTGATTTGTGATTTTAATGGAAAGGGAGTGGATGGCAGATCGAGTTGATTCCCACAATACTTTGAGATATGTGTCTGAATTTTTGCTATGGACAGTTTAAGCTATAAAAAGTATTGAGATATATGCTTTGAAAAATTATATACTGGGTCAAACAGCCGGCTCTCAAGTGGTCCACTATTTTGTGGTATGACTGCAATCTCATGACGACAGTTTAGAAACCTTTTTGCAGATTGACAATAAAAGCCTTGAGTTGACCTGGAATGCTACGCCGCATCTAGAGGCAATTTTCTGTTGAAGGACCCGCCTAAAAGTAATCTTTGAATTCTTAAGCATTACTCTGTTCACAGGAGAGACCGTTAAAATAATCTTTATGTCTGTAGGGCTAACATGAGAACGGGTGTCTGCCAGCGAGCCAGCTTTAACAGGACCGGGAAATTTGTGCACAAAAGGGGAATTCAAAGACTACTGCTTTGCATTGAGTGAGATATAGGAGGGCTAGTGCATTTCAAGAAGTTAACACCTAGATGTAAGATTCTAAGCCGAGTCAAGCATTTCTTTTTTATTTCCTTTGTTCCTTTTTTACTTCCTATCTAAGACCCTGCAATTCTACATAAGATTTGCAAAGAAGATTTCGTTCTTCTCTATTTTTTCTTCCTTGTCTCTTCTTTCTTTTCTCTTCTCCTCTATCATCTTCTCTTGTTAACTTGATATGTAAAACTTAATCAATATGCACTTTTACCTCTGGATTACCTCTGGATTACCTCTGTATGATAAGTGTGCTTAGGAAAATCCAGAGCAGCAAATTAGCTGAATGTTCTGGTATCTCTGTGTACAGGAAACTCGAAATCTACTCAACAAGAATTGATGAAAATGCAGGCAAAATATTCTGATGCAGCGAGGAAATGACTTTAGACTAATAATAAGAAGCTTATAAAGCTATTTCTCGTACTAAAATACGGTAAGTTAAGAAACTCATCTCAGGGACTTTCTTTACGTGTAACTAGGAGGGTAGTTGCCCCTCCAGATCAGTTGACGTTCCATTGTTATCTTCTTCCTCATTGTATAAACAAAGGCTTGCCCCAAGATTATTTCTCTTCAAAAATCCTGTGATTCACAAGTCTAACAGGATTTCAAAAGTTTCTTATGAAGATATAGGTGCGATTAGGTACATAGTAAATTTCACGTATTCGGGAACAAAAATCTTGACAGGTATGAGTTCAGTGACCCTGAAATAATGTAAATGTTTAAAACTAATTTTGCCAAGCAAGAACAACTGTTTTGCTGCACAGCTGTTACAATTGGTTCAGGTGCAAATAAATGGCAATCGAAATCTGCTATCGATTTCAAGTGTTTATGAAAATGTTTTCAAAGCGACACAAAAATATGACCCAACACTTAAGAGACAAGCGACACAAAAATATGACCCAACACAAACAATATATTGATAGGTAGAAATATCAAATTTTTTTCAATGGAAACGGTCCTTTTGAATAAAAACTCTGCAAATTTAGCCCCAAAACCTGGATTTTTGATAAAGAGATCAATTTATTATTGAATTCAGAAGTTTTCGTGAACACCAAGTAAGCTGCTTTTTGTAGCAATATGATGTAAAAATGGTATGGGTTTTATCCATTTGGTCTGTTTTCAACCCGTATTATGTAGCAGTGCCAACTTAAGGCATGCTGCTACTAGGCCTGGTAGGGAATGGGAACGGGATGTAATAGACTTTGAAAACAACGGGGTTTAAGGAAAATTCCTAGCCCTAGTTGATAGAAGGTATGACAAAGGTTTACCTCTTCTCGCAGAATTTTGCTTCTAAAATAGCCTGTCCCATTAAATTTCCTTACCTGGTAGCTTGGCCCATAATTTCAATACAAGTTACAATACACGATTCTTTATATAAGAAACCTAGCTTGAGGCCTAGTTCTGGAAGTTTCTTATTTTTGGACCTTTTTTGATCGAAATGTAGTACTAAAAGTTCCTAAATAGTTCCGTAGTTTAACTGCACATTTGGTGCCATGAAAATTGAACATAGAACGTTTAAATTCTGTACTAGTCAGTGCCGTCGGAACGAAATATATGTTGGGGGAAGGGAGCTGCTAATGTTATCCCTTCTCATTCAGTACACTGTTATAAAGGAAACATATATGCAATTATTAGGGGGCTCAAAGCCCCCACCCCCCAGCCCCCCCGGTTCCGACGGGCCTGCAAGTGTCGCTACATTCTTAACTGTAGCTAGAAAACAAGATAAAAGACAGAATAAAGACTGGAAAGATGTCCCAGTATCATTGTGGCATGAAATCACGCGCCCGTTTAATTAGATGTCTTAACTAGATAGGTAAAAGACAGTAGAAAGGAAGAAATAAAGTACAAATCGGAGAACACGCAGGTTTACTAGAAAAAATCTAGATATTATAATGGTGGGAATAAGTAATATCAGTAGTAAGACTGGAAAGCCTATCTACAAGTAGAAACTTTCTTGAGCTGAAGTTACTCCTCCACCTTGTGATGATGTTAAAATCGAGTTTCCTCCATTCCCTTAATCTATTGGCTTATGTTTATACGCTCTTTCCTATCAAGGAACTAATAAAGTTGGTATAAATTTATAAAATCTATAGAATACTCTCTTTTTTATAAGAAACTCGCTTCAAGAAATGTGTACTGGAAAATCATAAAAAGCTAAGGAAACTTTGATACTCGTAGGAGAAAGAATTAAGGAACCATTTGATTTTTTAAAAAGCTCAGAAAAACCAAAACTCTGTGAATATCAATTAATATTGGCTGGTTAGCACAAAAATTTAGACACAGAGAATAAAGATATACTCCCATCTAAATACAACATTAGAATTGAAATGAATCACTTATTTTCAGAAATATGACAGGTATTTGAAAATAATAAGATCATTGACAAGGACCAATTTTTGCAGCTGCAAAACTCTGCCTAACTCTTTCTGCCATTAAAATTAAATAAAGAGCCCTAAATTCCGAAATTAATGACATCAGTACTGAGAAAATCTCAAGAATACCCAACTTCGACCTTTCTTTTAAAAGAAGAATGTATGCCTAGCTTTTTGCTGCTCGTCTCGTCAACTACCAGCTTACACCGATAGGACTTGCCTTGCACTACATGAGTATTCACTATGGAGCATCAAGAAATTCTTTCTCTAATCAGCAATTTCTATAAACATCAGATATTATTGTCTGACTCAATTTTAGCATAATTCGGACATATCTAAGAATATAAAAATTTGTCCTCACTTTAATGGGCAATTGTAAAAGGGCAATCGTTCACGGGTGAAGGACAGTCATAAATGAAAAATAAACAAGAAACATGGCTAAGTTTTGCGTTTATAAGCATACTTGAACACCATACAATCTGAAGACATACCTCTTGCCCCCGAATAAAAGCATCGCAATGTTCCACTTCAAGTGTAAAGCAATTCAAGTCCCTCGCACTCAAGCATCGTTCTTTGATTGGCAGCTTAAGAGTATGATTTTTACAAGATCTTAACAATATGGCTAATCGATTACTTCATGAGTGATTGGAGGCGTTCGAAATAACCGCACACAACCACAGATATTTAGTATCAGGGCCTGATTGTCGCTTCACCTGGAGCAACTGACTTGTTTCTGACAAGATTTTATTGTCACTGTGTATGTCTTTGTCACATTGCGCACGGGGATCAACGTAGCGATTGGCTAAGCTAATAATGATATACGAATTTTACCAAAGGAACTAAGCACGGGATCAGTGTCTAGCCTTTTAAGTTTTTATGTGATTTTGATTCATATTATTAATACCTAGTGCAAAAAGCTGTGTTTTTAGAAATTACAAAAACTTGACGCTAAGAGAATTCAACACCTAGTCAATCGAAATGAGTTTTCCATTCGAACAGGAAATAGGTGCTTTTCAATTTGTTTTGGGTTAATGACCATTGGTTTAAATCAGTTCAATGTTCACAGATACACCTGGTATTATCGACATTTGGAAATCTCATGATTAGTTTAAAGGAAATTTTATGATAGGGAATCCGAATAAATGTCAAGTAAGAACAGGGAATCCGAATAAAGTGCATTCTGCTCCATGGTGCATATCACTCCACGAAATTATTCTTGTATGCAGTTTCGAAAGAGTGATACAACCCGCATTATTTTGCATGGTATAAAAGGAAGACACTTTTAAACATACAGCTGTTAATATGCATCATCAAACTGCTTTCTCAAAACTCTTGTCACTTATATATAGTACTGGTTAACAAAGAATATTTTCGTCGAAAAAGGACATTCTTTGCAAGACATCGAGGAGGTCAAGCACCATAGCTACTCATTAAAATGGTTAATTTTCTTCAGGGATTTTTCTTCCTCGGAAAATCTTTTCTAAAAGCTTGCAAGACTTTGATGAGAGCCAAAATTTGTCTGCTCAACAAGAACACGGATAACAGAATCAAGAACATGAACTAAGTGCTAGCATAAAAAAATTATTTTACGTATTATAGGACAACGCACACCCTCCACATTTTTGTACCTAAGGCAATAGCAATAAGAAACAGAACGGGTACTGGGCAGTCAAAATAAAAATTAAGAAACTTAAGTACTTTAACCAAAAATGTCCCCAACAAGGTTTCGTTTGAAAATCTTTCAGCATGAAAATTAATTAAAGGACCTCAGTTGCTAAAATCAATTACATCACAATTCAGAAAAATTATTGAAATTTCCCGGGAAAACTCAACGTCTACGTTTGTTTCTTATAAACAATGAGTGTATACAAATGTTGCTGAATATAACAAGAATTACTCAAGTCTAAATTTTAAAGTTAGATGAGATTTTGAGCTTAAGGGATATTCCATTTATATTAAATCACTCAAATTATTTTGGTTTGATGAAAAATTTATAACTTTATTTTCTCCACAAAGACTGTTTATGTAGTTGTCCCTGTTGTTGATGTTGTTCCTGTTGCTGTTGCTGTTGCTGTCGTTGGTGTTGTTGTTTTTATTATTGTCAATTTTCATCATTAATGCCATCATTATGATTTTGAATGGTTAAGTATACCAGCTGACATATTGAAGCTCTTTAGGTATCGTTCCAATTCGTCACTGTTTACTTTATTTGCAAAAGGTATTTTTCATCGCAAAAACCAATCCAACGTTTCTGAAAATCCAGAGCGGCAGTCGAGCGTTTTTAAGCCTGAGTTCTGCTCCAAAATTGTATGGTTTTAGCGTGCTCAAATAGTGTAAAATGAGCAAAAAGGGATAGAGAAATGGGCTAGATAAGTCGAAAATTTGGGCGAAAAATTTAAGTTTTTGTGTTGTTTCCTGTACACTTGTGCAAAAGCCTTTACATTGGTAAGATGAAAACCTTATATTCCTTCCTTTTATAGATTTAAATCAACACACAGCCTCTGGGGCTGAGTCTTCCTGAGAGGATTTTATGCAAGTGAAAGACATTCTGCAGACAGCTCAATCTCGCGTGGCTTTGTACAAACCAACTGTAAGTGATATTCTTTACAAACGATGTTTCTGGATGGGTGTTGAGCTGACACGAGGTAAAAGATAAAGTACATTAATAATGAGGCTATTAGCATGTGATCTTTCGATGATTTGACTGCACTTAGAAATACAAACTGAAAACGAATTATGGTTAGATAGAAAATCCGTGTGAAATGATATGCAGGTCTAAGAGGCGGTAATTCAAGTAGGCATTAAGTGAAAAGGGTTAAATCAAAGAGAAGGTTTCAGCAGATAGAAGATATTTTTCAGCCTGTCTTTGTGGGTGGACGATACATAAATCACTCTAAAAGGCGCGTGAAGAGGTGCTCTGTTTGCCTTAGAGTTTCAGTGTCTAATATCGATATTCAATACATTTATATCTTTAAGTAGCAACTTCCCTAAACTGTCTAGGCCATCTATTTGAGATTCTGACAGACCAAGGTTGATGGTTTGGCAACAAACCCTTGGATGCTCAATTTCACTGCAGGGAGGGAGGTCTGTTTCCTAATGTCTCAAGATCAGTTCACATGTAACACTGTTAAGCATTAGTCGTTTAATTTTATGTTTCATGTGAATGAGTAAATGGCCATCTTCGACTTTCCTCATTGGAGTATTTTTCACTTAAGGACAATCTGTCTCGTTGTGGATTGGTTAACAAGAGCAATAGCTGGAACAATAGCCTAAACACGATTCCAGCGCTCTGCCATATTTTTTACAATGCGATAAATTAAAGGGGGACTGGAAACAATAAAAATCCCTTTGTTCTTATAAGCAATCAACGTCGTGACAGATTGCCTTTAATAACCTGGCTATCATTTGAAATAATAAATTTTAAATTATAAAAATTGAAATTTAAATTTAAATAATTATTATTAAACTAGAAATTTAAATGATAGTAATAAAAAGACAGATACTCTATCAAAGATGAGAAATTCCTTACCAATAATGGACCAATAAGGGGAAACATGTCCTTAGAAATTGGGCATCAACAAAAGTAGGCATTGAAAAGCCCCAAATTTTGAAATGAGTAAGAATTACTCCTTTTTGTGAGGTGTATGCTTGTATAAGCTACAATTGCACTTTTTGACGTGACAGAATTAAACAAGAGGTCATATGAGATGATAGGTTTAAATAGGGCAAATTTTGAAGTGCATTTTGTCCCATGCGAAGGAGTAATATCAAGAGGCTCTTGCTAAGATACTTAGAGCGCAGTGTGGTCAGTTGGGAAGCTTTCATTTGCAATTTTTCATCTCTTATCGTTGAAGAGCCTCGTGTTCGAGTAAAAAGAACTTAGTTCGAGAATGCAGAAAACCAAATGACATATTGTTGAATGATTGCTTGACAGCCACGAGCGTTTGTTACAGAGAGCATAATGAAATTTCCTTATAAGAATTGAGTAACATGGAGAAATATTTGATTTTGAAACCTGTTAGCTAAAAAGATGTTTACAACTGGGCGTTGAATATTTAATATCAATATCTAGAATTGTCAATAAATCTACAAGATGCTCAAATAGAAAAGCAATGGTACCGGATATTCCTCTTTAGTTTCTTTTCATTTAAATACACAGTATATGAATGCTAACTTTCCTTTTCATTTTTATCGATGTTTTCAATGGGATCAAACTTATAACTCGAGTTATTTGCTTTCTCTCCTCGCGTCATCTTTTCAAGCTCAAGCCCAGTACTCGAAGAAAATGTGCGTGTTTGGAATACAATGTAGCTTTATTCAAACATCGGTACTAGCAATGTACAGTTGATGAGAAGATTGAAAATACGCTTTGAAATGGCTAATGATGCTATCACACTGAGTTTGTGGCTTGGGGTTTTTGAGCGGTGATGCAAACGCAGTAAATTGCTCTATTTTCTCAGTTGGATAGCCTTTTCTATTCTAGTTCTTATGCCAAAACATACGATTTTTGTACCTAGTAATAGCTTCAAGAATAGATAAATATTTAAAATTGCAGTTGTGTATTGCCTTTAGTTAAGAAGCTTTTTTGTAAAGAAACTCTATTAAGTAAAAGCCAGTATTTTTTCGTTTGAGCCATTATAATTTTCGTAGAAACACCAAAGCCTGAACTGAAAGGTTTGCAAATTCACAAGCCTTCATGTATTTTTTATCATTCAATGAATGCGATAGGTCTACCACACTATATGAGGCTTGGGTGGGCGATGTCGAAGAATGGCCGCACCTTACGGACAGGTTTTAAACAAATTAACAGGTATCTAACAGCAAATGATGTGTTTTTTGTAATGAGACTAGAATAAATGCCATTTTCTATAGTCTTAGGTAGAAATCTCAAGGAGAGAGAAAGAGAGAGTTAAGAAATTGAAATAGGAGTAAGTACCTGAAAGTGAGGCCCACGAGCAATGCACTGAAAACTATTTAAATTTGAAGCCTGTGTATGGTGAAAGTTTCTTCAAATTTCGTGAACTTGAAGAAAATCTACCAGATATGGTAAAAAGTTATGCTTCATTCATTGGACCCGCGTTACCTACACTTCTAACCTATAATCAAGAAGAGAGCAAATTGAAAACAAAACAGCAAAGACAAGCAACCATATTACTGTAGCCTCTCAAAATTTATTGAGAGAAAATTCACGAGCTAGCTTTCATTCAAAGCGTACTAGCAAACAACGACAATAAAATGAACGTATAAATTACTTACCAAGATGACCAAAATTGTTAGATATTTTAATATTTTCATTTTAGTAATTAATTCATTCGCTCATTATATTGACGTTCTTTGGATAATGTACCACACTCAACCGACATGCGTAATAAGCAAAGGATGTGGTGTGTTGTCTTCTTGGGGCGCATAGTTAAGGCCATAAGATCGGCTAAAAGAATTATATTTTAGCCTTGTTACAAGACCCCTCGGAATAAATGGCCTGGTTATCAGACTAACCACCTTGATGATGACCACTTGAAAGATCATAGCTATTACCATCCGTTGTATCGCAACTACTGCTGTCCGAAGTTTGTTTGCACAGGCCTTCACAGCCAGAAAGAAACACTGGGACAAAACATAGTTACTTGAATAGAAACAAAATTATGTGCCCGTTCATTGGCGCTGTCCTTTTAGGGTTCCATTTTTCGATGTTTCACTGTGTTTTTCTTTGGGCATCTTATCATAAAAACTTTTCAATACCTTCTAGTATTGATGTTAACAAGACTTTTCAGAATTTAACACCAAAGCCGAGAAAAAGTTTTCACAGAAACTGAGCATACATAGTAAGCAGACCTCTGCTTTCAAGAATCATCAAGCTGCTACAGAGTCACATTTGCTTAGTATATTTGGAGGAATAGTAGGTGAATAGATGCAAAGAGAAGTAAACAGAAAGTCAACTTTAATAAGTAAGTAGAAGTAAGCTGAAAGTCTGCTTTTGTAAAATACAATACAATACATCCAGAGAACTGCATATTGTATCAAAGTAAAATGTATAGCATTATATGACAAAAACATCTTTTGACTACTTAATAAGTTCCTGTTTTTGGTAAAGCCTTTTGCTGCTTGGTTACAACAGAAAAATCAGTCGCAAAAATTTTAAGTAATAGCTTATTAATAGCTTAGTAATAGCTTAGTAGTATTTAGGTAGTAATAGCTTTTCATTAATCTTGCAATGCTATAGTAGGAAAAATGTAGGTTAAAAAACGTTTTAAAGCCCGTGAATTAAGGCTGTTCTGTTTATAATCTACGTCTGCTCAATTAAAAAAGAAGGCTTTATTAGTTTGTCACTGCTGGGCGTTTGAAAAATTTCCAATTTTGAAGAAAGGTGACAATGCGTCCTATCTCAATGTGCCTGTTTATAAGAACAGAATGCGAAAAACCACACCAACAATTAAGCAGCAACAGAAGAAAGAAAAACACAGCTGTGTGTACCTTTTTGTAAAAGAATTAGAATTGGTTGTTGCAAGAACTGTTAATTGATTGTAGTCAAGTAAAAGCAAGAGACCAGAATTAAAATGACGTCATATACGCAACCAGAATGCATTGCAAATTGACTCCAACAAATTGACAGAAATAATTTGTTGCCAGAACAGGCGTCAAAAATATTATTACTGAAATGATCATGCCTTTCAACGTTGATATAGAAATTCCTAAAATCAAATTCTCTTAAACAGTCAACAAACTTTACAAGCAAAGATGTAAACTTCAGTAAAAAGGTGTTTTACAATGAAAAGTTTTAGCGAGAAAGGAATTTATCAAAGTAAGACAAAAAAGACAATTTTTAATGCCTAGAGTTTTGTCATTGCAAACAACATGCATTTTTCAGATAAATATGTAGGAATTTCATCACTGGATTTTTTCTTTTGCAAAATCATATTGTGACAAATAATAAAAACATCATAAAATTGGAAACAAAAACATAACGAATACAAGTAATAAAGATAAAAAATATTGTGGAATAATGCACAGCGATAGGTTTGATGATTTTCGTTGCACGAAGGACATACAGTGATCATAAGTGTCTTGAAAATTTCACTGTAAACAAATTATTATTTAGCCAAGAAAATTAAAAAAATAATAAGCTTTGACAGTGTGGAAAAAAACTTCGGAAACCGCTTTAAGCTGTCATACAATTCTAGATGTTCAGGAAGCGGGAAATTATCGTACAATTTATGCAAACTCTACCATGTTTTTAAAGAAACATTTTAAGAAGGAAACAAGCTATCTTCGTGTATTATTTTTAATCCTTAGCTCAATTTTCTGATCTCTTTTATCAGGTCTGTTAGCCAGGCGTGCCAAATCAAATACAGAGAACGTGGTTTTTTGAATTAAGTGCCAATGCTAGGATACAGACACAGAAATTTGATAAACCATCATAAGATACTCTGGGACAAAACATAATTACTAAAATAGGAACAAATCATCTATCCATTTTCAAACCAGTTCTTTTGTTTATTTTTTTATAGTTCTCTCTGTTTAATTTTAGGCCTGCTTATCCGTTTTTAAACCAGTTCTTCTGCCTATATTTCGATGCTTCACGCTTTTTAATTTTAGGCATGTTTGTTCCAATACAGAAAAACTTTTCGATCTGAGTACCAAGACTAAGATAAATAAAACTGATGAAGCGATTGTATTTAGAATACGGTAAGAGGGTCGCTGTGTTCCTCGAAGATCTTAACGCACTCATTGTCAGTTAGCGAAAAACTATTTTTTACCAAACAAATACAGCTAAAATTCATGTTATCAATGGGTGATTCTGACTTTTGGCTACATCATACAACTATAGTCCAATTTCCATGAAAAAGACAGATCAACAAGAAAGGTAAGATCATTCCGTCAGTACAAGATAGCTTTCAAGGATGTGCTTTTCAATGCTTTGCCGTCATTGAAATTATTACCATACCAATCTCAATTAAATTTATACAGGAGGAGAGAACCTCTAGTAATTAAAAAAGTAGGTTGCAGCAAATAATCAAGAAATGACTTTAAATGCATTTTGGGTAAACCCTTAATCTTCTGTTGCAAGTTGCGATTCGCGCGTTGCTTACGAGTTGCAAGTTGCTTACGAGATGAATGTCGACATACAACTTGCTTAAATTTCATGTTCCGTAATGTTGTGATAGTTTTAAAGCAATTGTTGGGAGACCATTCAATTACTACGTAAGGAGAAAAACAATTGTTCTATCTTGGGTTCTGCGCATATTAGATAACGATAATTTCGTCAGGGATGGCCTAAAGTTCCTAAGAACATGCATATTTTGTGAGATGACTTTGTGAAGTCTCAAGCGGTGGATGTTTTGTGAGACAAAAACTGAAACTTTAGTGAATTTGATTGAGACACAGGATAAAAACTTCATAGGCTACCAGGACATAGTTAGTCGCTAGGCGTAACAGTGTGTGAAACAGCGATTTGAAAGTACTGCACCCTAAAATCAGTTTGACATAATAAAGGATACTGATGTAAAGTGATTCTTAAGCTCTGTTGAAAACACTTGCAACACACCTTCTTCTTACATGTGAGAGGCAGAGACATTACGAGTAGAAAACTACATTACGAATAATTGGGCGTAAAGATACTCCAAAAATAGCCATTGCCGAATCACGATTATATTTCTTAGAGGAAAAGGTGATTAATGGTGTATCCTTTAGAGGCAGAGCCAGACATTGTTTAAAAGAAGCAGGATATGCCTTTGCTTTCAATGAAATAAGCTTGAATATATGAAAAACATACCTTGGACTTGACGCTTCTCTTTTGTCACTCCTCTGTTGTCACTCCGCTGTTCAATTCGATTAGGAAACACTTCGGGCTTGAATTTAGAATAAAACCAATGCTTTAGCAAGGCTGTGACCAAATCAAGATAATGAGCAGAAAAGAAAAATGTTGAAATGTTTAGCGTTTGAAAGAGAAAAAGATCGGTGCATTTGATAACTGACTAGGCATTTTCTAAAACAGTTCAAGGATTTTCATAGAGGCCAAAGCTGTACTCTATCAATGGTTGAGGAATAATGTGACACAATGAGAATTTCAAAGAAAATTCCAAGCTTCGCAGTCGTGAAAACGATACTTACCAGGCATACATAGCTGAAAACCAACCACGTTTACTCGTCTGCATCACTTTCAGTAAACGAAGCTTCAAAAGTTTCCATTGGCGGATTGTTGCATTTCTCTATCCACGTGACTGGCACCTGTCAATCCATCAAATATCTTGTATGCAACCAAGCTTTGCACTCATTCAGGGTAACTGTAACAAACTTACATGGGCTATTTTTAGATTAGCTTTCTTCAAATGCTTTGGCAAATGTTTTTGTGTCCGGGGTGTAATACAAATAAGGAGTGATAAAAAATCAACTTTTTTATACGTCCTCGACCAAACATGGGTTGAAATGTAACACCCACCCATTACATTTGTGTGTTCCTTTACCAACACGTATTGATTTGACCAATGTCAATTTAGTAGAAAAGCACTCAAGCATACTCAAACATATTTTCACTTGAAAGGAAAAGGAAATCCTAAATTATTTTTGAGACCATTTTTGGCTTTCTTTTGCACGGTATCAATTTTTTTACATTTGTTGATAAGCATTGTTTTTGGGAATTGTTGCTTTCTGCTTGCACTGCTAACATATTCCCATCCATTGGCATCAGCCAGTGACATTATGATATCAGAGAAACGAGTATCAGTTATAAAGTAACTGTGCCATCACACAAAAGATAGTGGATTGATAATCAGGGTCTTTAAGCACCCCTGGTGGGGGGGGCTTCCTATGTTCCCAAAAAGTTGTTCAAAAATCTCTTTTTTTCCCAATATTGTTTCTTGAATGTTCCTAAAAACTCTCGAAATCTTTTCAAAATGTTTCCCTTATTCCCATTGAAAATACGAAATAAATCCATGTTTCCTTTAAGAAGGTCTAATAGTGCATTTCCATATAACTACAGCAACTTAAGCTTGAGATTTATCATAAAGAATATACGACACACTTGCAAGACCCTGAAGGCCTTGGTCATCTTGCAGTTAATGCTCCCTGGCTGACATAATTACCATTATCTACATGTCTACATTAATAAGGGACCGGGTTCCCCGAACGACCAAGTTCTCGATCCGCATCCTAAGCAACCAACTCACGTAGTTCAGAAATGGCTAGGAACAATCTTTGTAGTACCGTAACTGGCTATTTCGGTTCAGCAATGGCCAGGGGATCATGGGAAATCTAAGAAATTTAATATTACTCGACTTAACTTGCGCTGTTTATTTTTCTTCACGGAAGCAAATGTTAGTAAAAAACTAATCTATGATTTTAAAATACAATTTGTTTATGTATCAGGAAATGGTAGAAGTAGGTGCTAAAGACATGCGCGTAAGGGCCAACAGTGTGCATCTTAAATTCAAAGTAAGCAACTCTTATTACTTCAATTTTTTTCAATTCCACATATTCAAGGCCTTTTCGTCGTTTTCTAACGTGCATCGTAAACTTATTTGCTTCTCCAATAAATAACCTCCAGTACCCTCTAAAAAGCTAATTAGTCTCGTACTTGCAAAAAGTCATACTTTGCTTAGTCACACGCTTTGCTTTGTGTCCTGGGGATTTAAATTGTAGGGAGGGGGTGACAAAACATACTTTGAAACATATTTTCGCAAGTGAATGAGAAACAGTAAATTGTCAGTTTCGACAAATCTCTAAACAAGGAGGGGACTAGCTAAACCTCGCTGAAAAAGCTCTTTCTAAGTATAGGATATAAAAGGTCTTGATGAGCAATGATAACATTGTAAGCATGGCTGCAAATAAACGTTACATGAAAAAACAGCATCTGCATCTAATGTAGACACAAGCTCAATCTGCTAGCCACCCTTCTGATGACGTAAGTAAATTAGCTAATCGCTACACGGCATCGAAAAATCGAGCAACTAACTTCTAATTCAAATCTGTATGGCTTTCAATGCGCTCAACATTATCAAATGCTGGGGCATATCTCGCATCTTCATCGTCGTGGTACGTTATAAGATTCGATAAGCTTCATTCACTATTACTACTCTTTTGTTTCAGCTTGTTTACAAATTTAATAATTGTATCAGACTCAAATGCAGAAGGGCTTGATCTGCGCGTTACTATCATATTATAAAGTCTGTCTGAGATCAACATTGAATATCTGGAAGCCTCGACTTTGCCTGCAACGACAGAGAATTGAATACTTATAAACTGGCAAACAAAATGCCATGGAGTGGAAAAGCGGTCCACTTAGGGACATGTTGGCAAGGATGTGTTCTGTCTCCACTTCTGTTCACAATTTGCTCTGAAGTCATTTGTAGGAAGAATTAAGATTTCTGGTAGTTGCCAACTAAAACCACAAAGAGCTGAAGGAGAAATTAGCTTGAAAGTACAGGATGGTTGTTTTATCAAAGGAAACAACTACATTGACTTCAAACATCTTGAAGGAAAATATAGGGAACTTGAAACTGAGGCGTTCATGAACCAACAAGCAGAAAGATTTGTAGGGGACTGTTGAAACGAAATCAAATATTTTGGTCATGATTATTTTTAAAGAAATGTTTTCAGAAGAATGTTCATAAGCATATCAACTTTTGGCATATAATGTAAATGAGGCAAACGATCATTTGCTTCCCTGCTTTGAATATTACTACGCTTTTGGTCTGGCTCTAAGATGAATCCCGTTTCCAGCGACATAAAGGGCTAACTCTCTGTTGCAAGCTACCCCCTTCATAATAGCTTCTAAGCTATGTATATAATCAAATCTGAAATTTTTTATAAACTAACGCAGGAAATGTACACATTCTTACTCAAACAGCAATTGTGTCTTTTGCAGCACAATCCATTTAATTACTTATGTGCATATTTTCTGACATAATCATCCCAAGAAGAATTTCCATGCTGTAATCAGAATTAGATTTAGTCGTCTTATGTCTTTTCAAGAGCCAGTATTTAAAGATATCAATTTGCGAAATTGAACATCTTCAGCAATTCGCCTTTCAATTGACTTGATGTGGGCGAATTAAGTTAGTTTCCTTACCAAATCAAATAAGTGCTCAAGGAACACAGAACAGCACGCAGGGAAACAATGCGTCAATTTATGACACATTACAAAATTCAACTGTACAAACGAAGAAGCTTTTGAAATGTATTAATTTGATCAATATTTAATTTAAGAGTTTCGAAAGCTTCTCCAACAAAATGAACGACGTGTCAAAATCCAGTTACAATGTTTACAGTGCAAGCATGCAGTTTACATAGGCGAACATATACGATTTGTCAATGAAATCTTCTCTGTATCCACGATGAAGCTGGGAAAAATATTTTATCCTAGATTCTGCTATGAAAGTATTCAGCTTCAAAAGACAAAATACAATGGAAACTTTATCTGATACTTCGTAAAAACTCAAAACAAAAGGCTTTTCCATATAGGGAACACAGATTTTTTATAAACAAAGATGTTTCAGTGAGCAATTAAATTTTTCATAACGAGGTCAAAGCACGCCATGCATAAACCATCAAATCGTACCTTCAATGCGAAAGTTTTTAATATCGGGTTTTTGATGTTGGAGTTATTAAATGGAATTGGAATTCCATTGTGAATGGAATTAAAAAAGGCAGAGTAAAACAAGTTAAATTTACTTCTCTCTTCATCTGAACGTAGAAGCACTACAAGCAAGAAACTTTTCAAAAATTAGCAGCACTGTTTCTTTCACTTACCAACTGCCTACAAATTTTTGCTTTTCCCCATGCTCTGATTCACTGCTGCACTGTTTCAAAACGTAGGTCGAGCCACGCTTCAAACCAGACCTGGTAGCGTAAAAGCAATTTTCTTAACCATTCCGCTATCGACAGGATTGCAAGAATTCAGCATTTTAGAGCTTGTTAGGCCTTGCGAGAACTGCTTCTACTTTGGTAGACAGAATGCAAGCAAACATTGGCTTGTTAATACACATATTAAAGTGCTACTTACTTTTGTCATTTTCGAACAGACCCAATTTGTGCCTTGTATCTGCAGGCCTGCAATTTTCGAAGGACCGAATTCCATTCATAGGTCGATGTGCGTTGCCACACATTGACTCAAACAAGCTCATTAGGGTGTTTGAGAGGAAAATGAATGCTTTACAGTCGTGTGTTGAAGAGAAACTATTACTTGTTCGAGTGACTCAGCGCATTCCAAAGCAATGTAGCTAAAGCCTTCGAATAGCAAAAGGAAAGTATTTATTCCCAAAAGGCTATGCAATCTGCATGGGGAGAGAGGAGACGAAAATGCTTTCGATTTCATGTCTCATAGGAGTATACACGATAACTGCCTTTCCCAAGATAATAGATTCTAACTTGACATTGTGCAAAGAGGGTTGCCATTGTGCAACAACTTTTTGGAAGGACCCGGTTGTCCGTTTTTTCTGTTTTCTATTTTTCATTCATGACAGCTCAGCCTAAAAATAAACAAATTTAAAAGTTCTGATTCTAAAATTTTCACTGCCAACAATTTCATAATTCCAAGTGCTTCTCCTTGTTCAAACCCTTGAAAAAGGAAAAGTTAAGTTTCTACTATGTGGGACCATGATTCCGACATTAAAACACATTTAAAGATCAGCAGTAAAATATATTGATTAGAAATTTATATTCCACCGTAAATTTAAAATTAACAGATTCTTCACAATATCAAATATTCTAAAAAATATCATTTTAACACACACAGCATGAGAATTTTTTTCGATTAACAACAAAGATTTAACTATAGGTTCAACAAAGACTATCGATTAACTAATGTTTCAAATACAAATTTGTAATGGATTTAAATGCATACGACAAATTTTGCTGATATGAAAATCGAATGGTGGGATGCGAAAATCGAACTGATGTTACATAAATGCCAAAAGGACTTGTAAAGTTGTCTATCCATACAAATAGTTTATCTATTTAAAATTCCACAACTAGAATTGAAATTAAAACACAACCTTGCGAACTGATAACAACAACCAAATAAAGATGCATACATTAAACAACAAAGTTTTAGAAACAAGAAACATATAAGAACACAATAACAACAATTTTTTATCATATCAATTAAGAGTTCTACTTATGTAGCTAATTTTGTACCATATCTTGCATAAATAGTCCCGTCCCACTTAAATTTCTAAATATCGCTAGAAATACAGTATTAAAACATTAATAAATTTTATATTAGAAAAATTACACATTTGAATCATGAACCACAGAGTACGGAAAAGTATTTCAGTGTTTAATATTTTTGATAAAAAAATATTTCAGATACTACATATATATGCAATAGTTGTGTCAAAAAATGCAAAGAAATGAAATTTTTGCAGTAAACATTAAATAAAACATAAATTAAGGATGCTGTCAGCAAAAAAGGAATTTGCGTTAATTTAATGATTCAAAATTGAATCACACAACAGTACAGAAAACTGATTGTCCTCACCTAGAAAATAATTGGGGGAGGGACGTGATTTTCCTTTGCTTTCGACAACCTGCCAAGAGAACCCCCACAATTTCTGTACTCTGGTTCGAAGATATTTGATCATGCATTTGAAAAAGGATAGAAATTTATCACAACCTTTTGTATTTTGTCCATTTAATCAAAGTCATTGGTGAGCGATATAAGAAAAGAAGCTTGGCAAAGAGATCTTCCTCCAGATTTAGTTCCTTGCTCTCTCGCACCATGTAAATCTCCAGGCAGAGTTTGAGAACTTTGTTGACATTAGGCATCTCGTCAAACATGATACGGTAAGAAACAGATGTGAAAAACAATCGTACAAATTTTCCAATCAACCAAACAAAACCAACGTATAAGCCAATAATCCTACAAGGAAAATTGCAAAATTAGGAACAGTTGATTTTTAGTTGAGGCTACTCGAATCAAAAGAAAATGGTAGTCTTATCATCTAGAGTCTGGGATTTACGAAATAAAAAATGGTTTAAAATTGGAAAATTTGTGTGAAGATGGGAAAAGAGGGTTCAAGATTATGCACAGAAATTGGAGACATTTTGTTCAGTGGTGCCGTAGTCTTGAATGCCATTTGCGAGGGAAATTCACTCTTGCAAATAATCTAGAAAATTTCAACCAAAACAAAAGGATTTCAAGAGACCCCCATGTGAAACAATAGAATCTCTGCCAAAGATGTACGAGAGATGGAGTGCTTTGCCCCCCCCGCCCTAAAGTGCCCCCTTTCTGTAATAGCAATAGTTACTGAGAGAGTATTAAAGCCAAAGCTCATCAATCACTAATCATTAATCAATAATCACTAATCAGCTTATCTTATCGGTAACTGGTTTGCACTATAAGCAACAGGACCCAAAGAGCTTCCAATTAACATCTACAAAGGAGCCTTTTTGAGGCAGCACTTAGTCATGAAAGAGCATGGTATCAAAACGCAAATGCACGTATAATACAACATTGCATTTCGAGATGACGTCATTTTGACTAATATCAGTTATGGTGGCACTCCAGTATCAGCTGTAGTAAAAAAAGACTTTGCATTAAAAAGAAAGCAACCTAAATCATATTCCAAGCTAAAAACTTCAAAACACCTACCCTTTGCTTGCAAAGAACGAAAGATGAAGTGGTGGCACCAGATCGTTGAAAGTTATAATTTCCAGGCTGTCTTTTGACGGATAGACTGGACTTGTCTCCTGAATAATCTCCCACCATTCTACGAGGCTTGAATTGACCTGAGGCAAGGGGCCCTTGCGCAGCTTCAGAACACACTTGACGTAATGTCCTTGGCCTAGCTGCTCAACAGGCTTCGCAGGGCCACTGGCTGGCACTTGGATGAAGGTAGGAAACAGGTTCTTTATCACTCTGAAAACAAAACACCCGTTGTTTAAGCGAGCGAATTTATATGTCTGGATATTCATTTTTTAATTCTCAACTAAAAATACTTGAAAGACAGGCAAATATTCTAAGATAAACGAATTATAACTATGGCTCTGTTCTGGTAGTGAAACTTTTCTGATTGGATAACAAAGCTTAACTGCTTTGCTAAAGAATCACAGAGTATCAAAAGTACCAAGGTATATATCATATAGACAAGAGACCGTACTGGGTTGTTTAAAAAAGGGGTTAGAAGGATATGATGTCAGTCTAGTTCTTTTGAGGTAAGCTGGGGGCGGAGTGGATACTCTAAGGGAATCTTAAGGCTATTACCTATTATAAGCCAACATGGCCACATTTGTGAGATAGATTTGCCTTATTAAGTAGAGGTTGGTTTCTATACAGGTCTTTAAAAGTAGACCTCAGACCAGATCTCTGAAAAAGTTTGCCGAGTAAATTCCACGATTTCGCCATACCAAGATAGTTATAATATAGTGCTAAATTCATCATTCCTCAGCAAAAAATCTACTTGAATTCGCCTCAATGTGCATTACTCACAATTTTCCACCATCCTGATTACTTTGAAGAATATTTCGGAGTTCCCTTCGTATTCTGTCATAAGGCTTGAGCGGTATGACATGAGTTCCAGAAACTGTTTCTTGAACGAGCGCTGCTTGCGAGGTGTTTGGCTCTCTGCAAAATCAAAACATTCATTAAAGTTATCTTGAATTTCGTTCAATTTCAAAACTGAAATAAATATCCTAGGATTAACTGTTCTTCGGAAGAACTTTTTTCACCATAGTCTCAAATATTGCGAAATGAGATGCAAATGCTTGCGACGATGAGAATCAAAATGAACTGTAGAAGCGTTTTGCTTCTTGAGGTAGGCTGCAAGAAGAGGGATTGATGCGTGATTCTTTTCAGTCTCTTTTCTCGGTTCCAGTCCCTTCTCTAGGTTTTGGCGGGCCTAGGCAGAATCAAAACAAGACATGCATACTGACGCCCAGGAAGACTTTTGCAAGGCCATTTAGGCCAAGTTTGTCACTTTCATTGCCAAGATTAAATGTTGGAAGTGCAAAGGTTCTAAAGCAAAAATCTCACCTGTTAAACTCGTACTTAAAACGAATATTAACACTTGCGTTCGACTGCAGCTCTTTGACTAAAAACTCTCGTGAGGGTGGACTTATCGCCCAGATAGAATTTGAATTACTCAGTATTTTTATCCGCACGATGTTGCCTTTTTTTCTATAATCATCAATGAACGCTTTGGCCTAAGAAGAAAGAAATTTGTTTTAAAAAAGGGCTGGTAAATAAGATGGGAGTAACAAAATTGCGACAAAATTGCAGTATTATCAACAAAATTGCAAAAGCGAAAATTCCCAATGTTAAAAAAAATTATAGATTTTCATACGATGACCGACTGGTGAAATGCAAATGGAATTCAAGTCTTTCAATTACACATCCTTATACCTTAAACAGTATGTTCTCATTAAATATTTATAACATTCTTTCGAATATAACGTACTGCCGTGCCTGGTTCCAAAAAAATCTTCAGTCAACATCAATTGGAAAGAAAGGAGGAAACAATTTGCATAATATTCCTCTCTTGATCATGACCCCAAGGAGCTGCAAAAAGCACACTGAGGATAACCTATTTTAGTTACTTGAGCAGCTAGAAAATCGAGACATCTGTTTTCATGAATAGCTCTGTTTTTCTTAAAATGGTTTTATAGTCAATTTTTTTCATAAGTTGTTAAAGTCTCTAGAGTGTATGCTTCTCTACCCGCATACTGTCCAGTTAATGATGATTAGAGAACTTCTTCCCCTATGTACGGAAAATCAATCTTAAAAACACTTTTGAAAGATTAGCTCTGCGTAATTTTGCACCTTGACCTTACCGACTGAATGTATTCCGGAGGTTTCAGCACCAACACATAACCCGTCATATTCACCCTTTCGTCTTTGATCAAAACTGTGATTTCGAAATACTAATAGACAAAAACCATATTGGTCAACAATATCAAGATGAAACATCGAGATGAACAAACCTTTTCTTTGGACCAGTACTTGCTCTTCTCAAGTTCAGTTGATGAACTTATTTCTTCAATATCTGCGTCTGTTAAACGATGCAGAAACTGTTGCTGGGCACTCATCTTAAACAAAGGCTGAAATCGAAAAAATATTAGATCATAAGTATGTAAGCCTATCTATTTTGTCTAAAGATCAAGCATAACGCCTTATTTAGGACTTGTGAGGCTTACACTGACAAATAGACTAAAAATGCTTAAAGTTAGCAGCAAAAGTTAAGAAAATAATCTTCGAGACAAAAATAAATATCTTGAAAGAAATTGTTAGCAGCTCAGGGTAGCAAACAGCACATTATGTAACAAAAAAAAGACTTTTTTACAGTTTAAAATTCAAAACAATCAGAACTGCAGCAACCTGTAACAGTAGAAAGCGTTATTCCTTCTGTACATCCCTAGTTTCAATCTTCAAAGTAGAAACATAGATCTAGCATTATCAGTTTAATGCGTAGACGAGTAGAAGTGGCGTAATGGAGGCAGCCGGGACCCCTGGGAATATTTCAGTTTGGGGCCTCCCAGTTATAAGCATTAGAAAAACAATAGAGGAAAAAGATGAAATTGTAATCAACACATTTTCCCTTCATTTAGACTGATATATCACACAGGCTTCGGGCCCCTTGAACTCGTTTATCACATCGAAAATGACTGCTTCAAAGTAAAATAACATTGAAAACATTCTTCTGGGGACCCTGAATGTATGGGATCCTAGGTTTTTGAATTAAAGACAACTTTAGTCCGCTAGGGCACTGTCTAGCCCCTTGTATGAACTTGTTTATACAGGAGTTGGACTGCACGTTATAAAACCTCAAACCAGCTACGTTTCACAGATATATTAAGATAACCATGGCAATCATTTAAACACTATTATATAACGTTTTCTTGTCCAAGGTTAACACCGGCTAAAAAATTTCTTTTCACTGCAAAACGGATCTACTTATAAAATATTTGCTGATGAAGCTTTTCTTTTTAAGAATCGAAACAATTTGAAAATAAACAAACGGGAGTGGACGGACATTGTAGTGTATGCATAGCGATGGAAAGCGAGAAAAAATTATCCTGGTTGTTTTCTTACCAAACTAAATATCTTCAATACAAACAAAACTAGTGCTCACGAATAAAAACTCTATTCAAATTATATAAATGAAAAATTAAATGTTTAAAGAGAGTGTAAATAAAAAAAGATGAAATAAGAAATTTTGTATTAAAAACGGGTTCGAGTTTGCTCAAGTGGATTCCCACTGCAGATGGTTGATCGGAAAATATCTCATAAATTGACTGCTGGTTCCTGCTTTAGGCCAAAACGAATGAAGCTCGAAGCACTAGAGTGAAATGATCTGGATACAAATTTTTATAGATAAATATTTTATGGGGTTGAAAAGCTCTATATATATTCAAAGGAAGCAGATACTATTCATAAAGTAAAAGGTAAATCGTACCCATATATTCATGGGCAAAATCAAGAAAATATAAAAATGTAAGCAGAAGGATAAAGTTAATTCAAGGGGAAGAAGGGTTCAGTCATTAGCAATCCCTGATCATCCTAAATTACGGGGTCTCTATACCTATATTTAACTGATATGTTGGATCCTATTTCAATATTTGTAATTTCTTGAAAATGTTTCCCGATATCACACTTTGGGCAACCTATTGTGCGGTGGGTAACAACCATTTGGAAAAATTCTGTTACAAATCTGAAAAGTGTCTCGTCGGCAATTCTCAAACTCGTCGGCAAATAAAGGACGTATAACATTAGTATTTTGTTAACCAGTGTAACCTGGACAACTCCTCTAAACAAAATACCTAGCGACTTCCCTGGTGCCATAGCTAAGGTCATTGAAAAACCAATGCACCTTCAGCCCTTGCAAGATAAGCTCCTCCCTAAGTATAACGTTGATATCACTGCTATAAAAAACGCACCCTTCAACTTTAAATAAAGGAAGGGCAGTTGTTTTAGTATTTTTCCACACTACCTCGCGTGTTCTTAGGCACGTGCCTCAACAGATCTTATAAGGGTTGCAGATAAATTGTTACATACTTAGGGACCGAAGGTATTGCATCAAATTAGAGAATTTTGGAGCCGAAAGTTCGACCCTTTTTGTAAGCAAAAAGTTCCAAGGTCCTACCACCTAGATAGACCCATTGACTTTGCAGTATTTTGATCCTCAAATAAATTTTTCATAGACATTTAGAAACCATAAACTGAGCTTTGCTTACAACAAGACGTATACAGAAGCCTTTAAATGAAACGTTCACAAGTTGGAAGAGCAGAGTGCTGGAATAATTCTTGAATTTTATCTTCTTAAAAATATTAGCCCAAGCTTAATTGATATGTTGAAAATTTTCATATTATTATAAGAAGTTTTGATTTTGTAATAAGCTAATCATACGAGTCAACTGGAGTTTATAAAGAAAAAAGACTTTAAAAAAAAGTGAAAACAAATGATATGTTACCTGGTAGCCACCAACACTCAGTGTAAAGGTTGCATCTACAGGAATATTACTGATATAGGCTGAGTTGATGAAGGACATAAAGAGCAATGGGAACCAGATGACAACGATGAGTAAGAACACTAACAAGCCACCAAGGAGAATCTTGCTTGAGGCCCAGTACTTCATTCCACGTGGATGAGGCCAGGTCTGTTGCAATCAAAAAGGTGCAATAAAAACGGCTTGATAAGAAAAAATCTTTAACCTTCCATTGTCAGTTAAACGTTTAAATATCGGTATATCTATTAGGATGTCTGCCAAATTTTTTAAGATGTTTGCTAAATGTTCACAATCACAATTTAACATATATATTTTAACTTTTAATTTTTGGTTACGTCGCTTCAGTACCAGCCAGAATGAGCACCGAGATTCTGTTTGAAATTTCAATAAAAATTATGTGATGCATAATTTAATATAATTCAACATAGCATAATTTAATACATTATGGTGATATTGGGAATGAAACAACAGAAATTTTGATGAAAATACTCTTCAAATTACGTAAATGCAAGCCTTTTTGTTATAAATGAGTTCTTTCTGTTTGCTCACTAAAATTTACAGTTTAATCAACTGTATTAAGCGAATGTGACCTAAATTTAACATTTTAAGTGAGAAGACAATTAAATTATTGAATATATTTTGAAAGTCTGTGGTTGAAAAAGAAAAACTAACTGCTATAGGAGAAATTTTTTAGCCAGATTTTCTGTGGATATATTCCAGCAAATGAAATTACCTTCTCTGAATCTCTCCAGCATTTCAAAATATAAGTGTTGACATAAATATCCTCCATTTTGAGCCAATGACTGAGGCTTAGCGTTGTATCTGTGCACACCCAATCCAAAACACTTCGCAACTCGAGTAGAAATGGTATTGACTGGATTCTACAAAACACACGTGACGCAATAGCTTAGGACGGATAAAGCGAAGTTTATTTACATCTTCAAAGGTAGATAACTGTATACTGTGCTGGAGGCAAAGTAACAGAGAGTTTAAAAATTTCAACAGCTTTTTATGCACAATGTAAATTGAAGCTTGCAATTACTATAGAAAGCTATTTGAGGTGATACATTGGATCAACATCCAGTTTCAGTGGTCAATGAAAGTCAAGTCCCGCCGTATATGATCAGCTGAAAAGGTAGGCAGTGGTAACAGTTTTTGCTGTGTTTGGAGGTAAAAGATTGCAATTATTTTAATCAGAAATGCAACAACTTGTATTATTTGAGTTTGTATAATCTAAACAGGGCCTATCTTCTGATTAAGTAAAAAAGGGCAAAATGGACAGGGCGCGTGACTGCAGTGCTCAAGGCTTAGAAGGCCGTAATTAGCCGTAAAATAGCTGTATTTGTTTTTCTACCCTTCTACAAATAAATAAACGATGATCAATGATAGTAAGTTCAACACATGTTTCGAATGTTCAGCTCTAGCAGTCCTTGAGTATAAGGCAGAAACGTGCGGAGGATCAACGCAAGAAGATAAGAAACTGGGCCCTTTTCCTCATCTTGCAGTTCAACTCTGGAGCAGTGCCCTTTCTAGAAAGAAGTACAAAATTCATACGGGACTAACATTTACGTTACATTTACAAAATACGAGGGTCACTCCAAAATTATTGAGATATTCAGTAACCGCTTGAGATATCAGTTTGAAATTTTTTTGGTGGCTTGTACCATCTATTTCACCCATGTTTTGTAATTTTTGTTAATTTCAAGCGCGGGAAAAAAATAAAAAAGGGTTTTGAATTTCAGCACCTTAGATGTTCTTATTTGTTAAAAATGGAGCTTGAAAGACGTGATTTTCGCGCAATGATTTATTATGATTTTAAAAGGGGGCTGAAACAAGAAGAGTGCCTAGCTCAACTTCTGCAGACATTTGGAGATAATGCACCTTCAAGGGCAACAGTTTTTTGATGGTTTGCCGAATTTAAGAGAGGGAGGAAGAGCCTTAAAGATGAGACCCACCCAGGGAGGCCCCCAACTGCTGTTGTGCCAGAAACAGTTGCCGCTGTGGAGAAGATGCTAAGGCAAGATGGTCGGATGACTTATTCTATGATGCTGCAAGTTCGGAAAGTGGCTGCCCGCTGGGTGCCACATTGCTTGTCAGATGAGCAAAAAGAGCAGCGCGTCAATTGGTGCCAGTTTATGCTGCAAAAATTTAATGAAGGGGAGTCGAAACGGGTTTATGACATTGTGACAGGCGATGAAAGTTGGGTTTACCAATTTGACCCAGAGACAAAGCGCCAATCCTCAATTTGGATCTTTCCAGGTGAAAAACCGCCGCAAAAATTTCGGCGATCCAGAAGCGTCGGCAAAAGAATGGTTGCGTCATTTTTCTCAAAGACGGGTCATGTCGCAACCATTCAAGTTGAAAACCGTCGTACAGTGAACGTGGATTGGTATGTTAACCACTGCATACCACAGGTTCTAGAAATTTGGCGAAATAAACGTCCAAGGACCGGCTTAAGAGGTCTACTTTGGCACCATGACAACGCTTCCGCTCACACAGCTGCTTTGACCATCGACTTTCTGTCCGAAAATTCAGTTCAGTTGATGACCCACCCGCCTTATTCACCTGATTTGGCACCTTGTGACTTCTTTCTCTTTCCAGCGGTGAAAGAAAAAATTCGCGGAACCAAGTTTGATAGCGCTGATGATGCAGTTAGTGCCTTCAACGAGGCTGTTTCTGACCTGGCTGCAGAAAAATGGGCCCATTGTTTTGATATGTGGTTTTATCGTATGAGACTTTGTGTGGAAGCCAGTGGAGAGTATTTTGAGAAACTGTGAAAATTTGAACACGATGCCTCTTGCGGTTTTTGAATATCTCAATAATTTTGGAGTGACCCTCGTACTCGTACAGGTAATTTGTTTACAGTTTAAAAATTTGATTTTAGAACACAAATCGCACTCACCCTTGGAAAAGGACAACACTGGTCACCGTGTAGTTTTTGGTCAAGAAATTTCCAAGAATTCTAATAGGGTAGCCACACCTTACTTGGTATGCTGAAAGCCCGAAGTACATGCATTGGAAAACGTACATGAAAATGGCTGGAACATTGTCGATGAATTTTCTGTAAAAAAGAGCAGCGTTTAAAAAACATATAAAAATCTTAATGCTTAACTGAAATATATGAGTGAAATGGAAGCATTTTAGATGGAAACAGGAATAGATCACCGCTTGAAAATATTTGGAAACACATTAAAACAATCGTTGCTGAAAAGGAAAAATAAGTGAATTGAAATTACTATGAATTGAAACTGCAAGTATACAAAAAGAAACGTACTTTGTTGTGATTAGCGGAACAGCCAAAAACATGAATATGTGAAATGCGAAGACCAGAAATGCAAGGTAGAGGAGTTTGACGAAAACCAGCTTGCGAAGGTAAAGATACCTAGAAGAGGAAATAACTTTGTAAGTTTAAAACAAGGGGAAGCAACGAAATTACCCAGGGGTAGAGGGTCAATGTAGAAAAAGAATTCAAATATAGAAAAGGTAGAGCCATTATTTGCACATAATGAAACATATTATTTGCATTCAAAGTGGAATGTTTTATGACGAAATATGTTGTTGGACCATAGGATAAAGAATTTAGGACAAAAATATAATTTAGTATCAAAACAAAATCATCTCAATTATCAATCCACCTAGAATTGTGTATTCACAAAATAAAGCCAAGTATTTGTTTATATACTTCCATAATTAGAAATTAAAAAGCGTCAAAACAAAACAATGTTTGGAGGATTGTTGTCTTAAAAGAGATCATGATTGTGAAAGCTATTCAAAGAAATTCGGCAACTAAAGTAATATTTTCAATACAACAAATCTTTAAAAAACCTGCATTTAATGCTTTACAGACAATCAAGTTTCATTTTTGATAGATTTGTGATGTGTTATTAAATAGCTTTTACTAGACGATCGATAAGAGTGAGTGGAGGGAAAAATTATCTTACCGATCCAAAAGTATGAGTAGGAACTGTGTTAGCAGCATGTACAAAAACGTCCTCGGAACCTTCGAAGCAAAAGCAATTCTTACTGTACATTCGAGAGAAGCTCAAATATAGAGCATAACAAAAAAGACGAAATAAAAAAACGCCTTAATCAAAACACTAGGACAAAAACATTCTTGAACAAAACGCAACCAAAAAACAATAGGGACAAAAGCTAAAAACCGATTTAAGATGAAAATTCAAGATACAAAAAAAGCTAAACAGAAAAGGTTTTACAGAAAAAAAAATTACTTACCACATTCTCTTCAATGATTTGAGCAAAATTTCGTTTGCTAGACTAAAAAGTAACAAAAAATAAGGATATAAAAGGAACATGTCATGTTGCCCGCAATTCAAAAATTGACATATTTCCAGTAATGATGTTTGCAGGTCAAAATATGGTACAAATGCAGTCTCCAACATAAAGATAGTCACTTCGTTTTGCCGTTCTAGGAAGATTCCTTTGATGTTTGCCAAAATACTAAACTCTTTCGGTTTATAAACAATACTTGATATTATCAAGCAAAGCAGGGCCGCAGCGGCTATGTAGCCTGGGGACCGCCCAATAATACACAAAGTAGAGGGTATGATTAGTCAAAAGCATCATGCCCATTTTGTAAGATGATATTGTGTATTGTTGTGATATCAATGCAAAATAAAACCACTTAAGACCAAGTCTGAAAAAAACATTTTCTGGAGAATTTTCTAAAGAAATAATTTACTGCTATTCTGCGAATTTTCCATAGAATAGCAACAGAAAATATTTTTTGATAACATGAATAGACATTTTCTGTAAAAACGAAGAGACAAAAACTTGCTGAGACTAAAAATACCAATATCTCAATGAGTAAGTTTATTATTGACAAAAACCCAACAGCTCTTCCCGACATAGAAACATAAAAAAATTCATATGGCTACCTCTGGGGACGAAAATGCGGACCAACTGAAAGCGATGATCAGAAAGACGATGAACTGGCAACCAAACATCCATGCGTAGACATCGACGGCGCCTGTTCCGACTCTTGGGTCCAACATTCTTTCGATGAATCTTCTGATGTTTTCAAGTACGCTAAAGACAACATATTATACGTAATCGCAGTGCACATAGAAAAACTAAAGACTATAATGGGTACCCAGGGGAACAGAAAATACAAAAATATAGTTAACAGTAGGCAGTATGCAAGGGGAAAAGGATAATATTGATATGGAATTTAAGTAGAAACTTGGAAGAGGGGGTGAAGGAAAAGTGTTGTAATAAAAAGAGTGGAGTCAAAAGGGTCACCAATGCTTCACACTCCCAATGACCCTGAAAACGCGGGCCTTGGGGCAAATTTGAAACAATGCATCAGAATCCCAGATACAACAATAAAACCAAAAGAAACCGTGATTGACTCGAACAGCTTCGATTTTGTAGCGAAGGCATGAAAAGTAAAAAGCCGCGAGAACAGCTACTGGGAAATATGTTTTACAGCAATAAAAATGGTCATTTGATTATATACCTCTTTCGGTTGCGTTCTGAACTTCTTGTGCTTTCTGACGATTGGATTTCAGAGGTGTCCTGTCCCTTTGAATCAAAATAGAAATCTAGTAGAGGACATGGTGTAGTGAAATGAAGAAATAATTATTGTAAAAATTTCAGAAGCTTTTGTAAGATAAATATTGTACTTTTATGAATTGCAATATAGTTGTGCGTAATATTGAATTGTATCTTAGATCTTTGAATTGCTTCTTTTTTCCACGAATGTGGCATTAATGGAATCAAACAAAGCAATTCGGGAAAAATATGAATTTTGGCAGCTATAACCCATAAAAAGGGATAGCTATAAGGAAAACCGGGTTGAGCTTCTTAAAGAGCTATGGTTCCTTAGATGCAGAAAATTTAGCCAACAATAACATGAGATTTGCAATTCTGGGCCTCTAGCCCAGTGGTGCAGTGCTATCAGAATAACAAGGAGGGCTCTTGCACAAAATGCTGCAAAAAACAATAGCAAAAGTAGAAATTTGCCAATTATTGGCATTAACAAGAAGGGCTCAGCCCCCCTGAGCCCCCCTAGCTCTACACCCCTGCTCTAACCTCAATTTTAGTTTATTCTATCGATTTTTAGTCGTTAATAAGAAGCTTAGTGCTACTTATCTGATCAGCCTCTTAGGATTTGATTGAGAGATTGACCTCTTACATGAAAATTACCCACTGAGCGACAAATCAAACTGGGTTGAGCATGCGTGCTGAAATTTCGCCATAGAATTCAACTTTGAAATTAAGATGATACCATCAAAACTCAAACTGAGTTAAGTTCATATGTATAGAGAATACTTTAGTGTTTATATTTCTGGCTATATGTCATTTGTGATATCAATTTGCAAATAAATATTTTAAAAATATTGATCTTACCTGTCTAAAATCTCTTTCAGATATGAAGTTGTCCTCCGCGATTGGCTCTAGTGTCTGTGTGTCTAAGATAATAAAAAATACACAAATCAATTGAATAACTTGTCTGGTTCAGAAATTCACCTGTATCAAAACTCACGGTGAAAAAAATCGAACAATGTTTTCGAATAATATCACTGAAATGAAGTAAAAACGGGCCTGAAGCGAAAAGTACTTTCAAGATTAGGGTTTACAATTCTCCAAAGAAAAGGAAAATACTCATAATATATACCTTGAACTTTTTTAAAAGCGATTTTAAAAAGTTTTCAAAAAGCGATTACACACAAGGAAGGGTGTGCGAATCCAAATTCTCTTTCACGTGATCTCATGCCATCTTTAGACCAACACATATTTAGATAAACAAATGCACTAGTCTACGTATTATCCAGTACGGTTTAATATAAGGCTATGATGTTTGTTGTCAACGTCCCTTTCTTGGTCATTTGGCCACAAAGGCCAACCAGGATAGTTAATCAATGATACGGTTGATGGATGGATATGATGATCAGTCCAAACTTCCCTTACCATCAAACGTAGGCGTGTTATGTTGCTGTAATCCATCTTCTTCTTCGTTCCACGATTTCTCACGCCACAAACCATGTGCCTGTTATGAAGAGGTAAAATCATTAATGCCAATAAAATTTAAGAGTTCGAGAAACAACAAAGTTCGCTTGCAAGCCTTTATGTAACTAGATTTCTATTTGTAGGTCAAAAAAGATAAGAAGCATTAGCTGCAAGTTATTGTCAAATTTTGGAAAAATTCCATTGATTATTTTATTGTCAATTGAGCTTATCTAAGAGGAGTGGAGGAACGTTACCAAAAAGTGCTTAAATTAACGTTACAGAAATAAACTGCTGAAAAATCTACTTTCAGTGTCAAAGTGGGAATGTTATAGAGTGAAAAATGAGAATTTCAAATAGTACTTCTTCAAATTAAGAAATAGGCTCAAATACAGTTACAACTGTTCAAGTTGAAATTTCTTTGATCAAGACGTTTGAGTGAATTGTACTGATTGCAGACTTTCTAATTTTTTCAACGAATGTGACTTAAGAATGCAACATAATACGAAAACCGTTGGCCTGTCTTCTTGGCTTGCGAAGCTTATCAAATCTAGACTGCATGCAATACTGTTCAACTACTCTAAACCAAATTGCAAGCATGCGCATTGAAACTAACCTTTAATGCAAATCTATGAAAGAACAATCCAAGCAGAAGCAACAAGTCACATATCGTTGAATTGGCACCCCGCTCTATGCCGATAATCCGTGGTGGGCATAACGGATTGTTTCTTTCAGCTGGATGGTACTGGATATCTGAACAATCATTGAATCGAAAGAACTGGAACTGGAAAACATACTTCACAACGATCACAAGTTCCACGTATGTTATGATTGTGATCCAAAATTGTTTTGTTGGTCTTGGTATTGACAGCATTCCCCATAAAATAACAAAGAAAGGCAAAGGTATCGACAGCATGGATGCATAGTACATATGATTGACAATCATCAACGCATAACAAAGAAGATCTGTGTTAGCAAGCAGGGCGTAGTAAAGAGCGACAGAAAACCGAACACCCAGCGAGTCTTGTTTCTGCCACCCGTCTTCTTGCTCTTCATCAAACGTAACGAACGACCAAGTGTCGCTATCTTCATCCTGATTCATGGAACTGCTACCTGCAGAACTCACCTGAAAAGCAATTGCAAATTGCCTGAAGCAAACGCCACTGTAGAAAAGTTCATAACAGCGAAAAAAAATGCTATAAAAGATCGAATAAAATTCAACCCTTTTGAAAAAATTTTAGAATAAAAAACTATTTGATTTTTTCGATATCTGATATCAGGCTTCATGAAAGTGTTTGGTAGTCATCAAGAGGATATAGTCAAACTTCAGAATATTTCCGAAAACATAGAAAACAAAAAAGGGTTATTGTTTGGAGCTTGAATTTCTTCCATTGTCAGTGGCCTTTCTCGCGATTTTCAATTGTATCATCACCGCGTTTTGGATTCTCTCTGCTAGAAAGACTGGTTTTCAAAATTGGTTGCAGTTTTAGGCTTCCCATCAAAATACTTGATAAAAAGGCGTATTTAAAAATTCGAGGATGAATCAGGAACTAACAAGACAGTAAAATTACCTTTGGCGATTTTGCAATCCTCTCCGGGTCTGTTGTAGAGCTCCCCTCCCCAAGCTCTTTAGAGTCACGCCGTTGATGGACAATCCTGATATTTTCCTTGTATTTAATCGTCCATTCTCTCTCAAGCTGTTCAGCAATGGCGCGATAATCAGCCGAAATTTCATTAAAATAATCAATCATATTATTAGCAATTTCTTCAAAGTATTCTTTGCAACTAACTCCGAACTCACGCATCGAGTCCATACAAGTTTTTTGTTTTTCTTCACTTTCATCAATAACATTAACTGCCTCTCCTATAGTCTGAGGTTCGTCTTCGTCCAAGTCTATGAGACTAACACTTGAGCCTATAGACGATTCATTTTCTACTTTTGGCTTTCTTCGACGTCTCACCAACTGGGGCGAGTCCAGATTCGTAGACCTTGTGGAGGAAGCGGGTTCCACCACTATGGAGGAGCCTGGAAGCAGAGTAAAAAGAAAATAGATTGGGCAGAAGCAAAATCACGCCACGCCATTAACATTACGTCATGGCTGAGTGAATAACGAAGGCGTTAAGCTTATTTATAGTAGCGTTTTCAATGTTATTCATGATAATAACACTTTATCATAATTGTGTATCTGTAGCACGATCACAGTTTTGTTGCTAGAAAAGGGTCAACTTGCATTAATGACTTTTAGGTAACTTCGATTACCCAAAAGATTACCTAAATACTAAAATATCATGTAAGATATTTAATCCAAATTTAGGCTTTCTATTATAAATTGTATTTTATATTTATTTCATAGCTGTGTGTATGTATTTTGTTTAAATTTGATTAGCTTTTAAGCTATATCTTTTTTCAAACTGCCAGCTTTAAATCAAAGAATCAATAATAATAATAATAGTTTGAGCAGCTAAAAATAGCTCTTTTCTCGTCATCACATGAAGCATATTCTAAATGTGCTTTAAAAAACCAGACAATGCAACTGCCATATATTACACTTAAAGGGTCGTCACTCATTGCCTCTGGATTTCTAATCCTGTTCAACTAACTTTGAATTTGAAAGATAACTTAAGGAGTTTTTAGGAAATTCTTCTGCAATAGACATAAAATATCAGCATTTTAACTGACTTAAAATACGTAATGAAACAAGTAAAAATCAACAACCAACGTTTTACACATCTACAACATTGCATATATCTACAAAACATGGCTTTAATGAATTTAGAGACTTCCTACTCACTAGTAGATGGTCTTGATTCGTCAGGCGGTGGCGGGGCAACAGGCGGTGGCGTGGCAACAGGCGGTGGCGTGGCAACAGGAGACAGCATTGCGACAGGACGTGGCGAGCAAGCAGAAGAAGGGCGCGATATGGAGGCTGGTGGGGACTCCCAAGGCGGAGGGCTCGCTGATTTGACATTTTCAGGTTCGTTTTGAGCGTCATCGTCACTTTCATACCAGTAATAATCGCCAGAGTAAATTGCTGGCAAAATAAATCAGCTTTGAAAATAACTATAAAATCAATTCGAAATATTTTTATCTCTCGAAATATCAATCTGACACTAAGCATACCATGTTTGAATCATCAACAGTGTCTACATACAATAAATTCAACAACAAATAAATTACTTAAAACGGACACTAGAAAAGGCCATTAGCTGGTTTGTTTTTTCTAGGAGCCTTGAACGGCCTAGGGGAAAATTTTAAATAAAACACTTGAATAAATCTACACGACATGGATGGTATTGCAAGCGGGTTACCATGCTAGAAATTACACTACTACAAACTTAAACGAATGGATAGCAGTGCAATAAATGTGAAGGAATTGGCCTCTTTTAAAGGGATGGTTAAATCAATTTCAAGCCATCTACAAGACAACCAATGCTCACTTCTTTAACTACTGCTGTTCAAAATCAGAATTTCTAAGTCCTCTTTTGGTAGAAAACAAACAAGACTGGAAACAAGCCAGAAATCATCAAGAAATCATCAATTATTTCAATGCAGTGCAAACGAAACTTCCGTATGTAATTTTTTATCATAGAATACCTTCGTAATGAGAAAGTGGCTCCTTTTGATTGGGGTTCAATCTCTCCTGCTTCTGCTTCAATTTAGCCACGCTAAAAACACAAAGCAAAAATGTTATGATAAGCAACTTATTTCGTATAAAGAACTGAAGGGAGAAATATGTGCCAAAAAATGTCCGGATGGAGCAATACAACCGCGATGGTTTCAACACAGGGGGCGTTTTAAGGGTTATCTTTATAATATTGTTAGCATAAGCTGACAAGGCATATCTAAAGGAAGTAGAAATTACCACATCCAGAGATCTTCTGGAGAAGTTGTTCTCAAAAAACCTTATGCGTGTAACAAAACAGCGCCATCATCTTGTTTTTTATTTCCACGAAAACAGCAAAAAAATGGTGTTTAAACATATTTATAGATTAAATAAAGGCATACGAATTTAGCACCTTCAACTTCTGAAACTGTAAATCGTGAGAATTTTTAGACGTTTCAAACTGTGAGGCAATAAACCTTAATTTCTTGCAATCAAACGACAGGTTTTAGCTGATTGCCTACTCATATAAGTTCAAGAGCAAACAACCATAAAACATAAATTGACGCTTTCGTTTGAGGTATTTTACAACGCTGGCGAAATTCAGTCAAGTCTCAATTGACAACTAGACATTCAGATATTTGGTAAGCCTACAATAATTTTCTTTGGCGTGCAATTTGTAACGTTTATTTATCAGGACAAAAGGATTTTGAAAGGGATTTCGGATAAAAGCGTTGAAAGGAGCGGTGAAAAATTATTAAGAAAGATTGACAATAAAGAGGGGTTTGCACCCACCTGGCTTTTATTTCTTCCATTTTCTTTTTATCTTTTTCATTGGATTCTTGCAGCCGTGCATCCAATCTTTGCTCAACAAGCTGGGCACCCCTAATGAAAATGAATGTAAATACACATGAAATAAATCCTTCATCTGGGCTTAGATGAGAAGAAATTACATCATTCGGCATGAAATGTCAATAACAACCAGTTTGATAACTTGTCCATTGGTACATACAAGCTATTCAAACTGTACGAAAGGAATTCAAAAACAAATTTTTAACCTTCTTCTAACATGACTCCACTATCACGAAAATATATACAGCCATCAAAACAAACGCAATGGTTAAGGAAAAAGTTAAAAACTGATAATGAGCATTAATAAAAAGTGGCATTGCATCATTTGTTAACATTGTGATCAGAATTAATATAAACTCGCGGATAAACAAAAAGACACAGACAATGAAATATAGAACAATCAAATAAAAATGCTCTGACATATAAGTGCACTCTTACAGCTTCATAATCAATTTAAATACAGAAAATACTCAATAATTCAATAAAATAATAAACTTTTCAATATACTATTAACATTGGCTAAGTGAAAGCAGTAAAAAAAAGGCGTAATTCAAAATAAAGTCTCAACTTCAGAAAGGCGATACACGTAATCGAAATAAGTAGAGTAATGGAGGCAATATAGAGTGGTTAACGTGATGATACCACAAAAGCTTAAGCATTTTTAGTAATTTAGACTATATTGTTCGAAGAAATAGCTTAGAACGAACGAAATCGAACCTGGTTGCCATATCCGATTGCTTTCTGTGCTCTCTGATGACGTATTTGAAATAAATCGATTTGAAGATTCGATACTGGATGATCGCAAAAATAAAGCAAACTGCATCAACAGCTAGGCCAGTATTGGCTTCTGCTAAACAAGATGGATCCAAGGTGGTTTTGTCTTTAAAGAGATATTCATCTTGTCTGAGGCAGTAAAGATTGAGTAGCTGAATAAGCACGCATCCGATCGTTTCAGTTTCCTTTATTCGCTTTATATAAACACACGACGCCACCTATGAAAAAGGACAGGAAAAAAGTTTCAGATGAGCGTACGTGTGATTTTTGCTGTACATGACTTCCCTGTTCAAAATCGTACACGATTTCTATAATCAATTATCTTACAGACTGTAAACTCATTCGCTAGATTCATAGATAGCCTGTCCCCCATTGTTCCCAGAATCTCCTTTCATGGCCAGGATATTCATGCATCGTTGGGTTAATGCACAAACTACCAATCAGAATGAAGAGCCACCATAGCGTACTCTTCCTGGGCGACTTGCTGTGAATTTTGTTTTGATGTCAAACGTCCAATTCAGTGTCGATGATATAAAGATAAGGCATTTTTTGTCGGACGCTAAACAACTAATGTTGGACGCTTAAAAAAGGCAGAGGAAGGTGAGGTTTTCAAGTTAGAATTTGCCAATCACGGAGGGGACAGTCCGCCTTAAAAATCTTAATACAGGCAGCAAATACTCGTTTTGAATTTTGTGAAATAAGTTTTGATATCCTTTTTCTTACAACCAGGTCTATTTTTACCAACAATTGTTTGAAGGGTGTCACTGATTGGATGCGTCCATTGCATTCAGCTGTCCATTGTTTAAAAATAACCAACTTTTTGGCTGTTTGAAGTGTTTGTCATTTATTTGGACGTGCTTGTAAATCAAGACGTCAGTGTAGGTTTTTGTGTGTTGTTTAGGACACTTCTTGGCATTCCATGTTTCACGCTCAACGTTATCATCATACAAAAAGAGGTTTCATTATATATATTTTCAGTTTACCTGGAGCCAGACTTTCAAAAGAATGACCAGAAAATTGTAGCCCAAAAACGTCTTCCACCATTTCCTGAGGGTATGCTTCGGACGAAGATACAGAGACTGTCCATGCCACAAGAAGAAGAAGCACGCGAGAAGAAAGCCGGCGTTGAAAAGACTTGCCGCAGTCTGAGCCGTTATGTAAACAATGCTTAGCGTAAGCCAGTATAACTGCTCTAGAATGATTATCTGAAACAGTAAAAGATGAAAATAAATCTGTATAGTTGGTTTCCTTTCTGGATATATTTTATAATGATTTGAAAAGTCATTTGCACTTCATAAAGATATAATGATTTTCCTATCAAATAGCAAAGCTATTCTCGTCAACCATTTAAATTTGCCAGTTAGAAAGTTTTGAATGGTTCGTAAAATCAATCCGAATTTTTCTTTGAGTCAACTTCTTTCTATCTACGGCAATATTTAATCACAGAAATTCTGAGGCACAGCACACACAAAAACTTTTGAAAAATGATACTTGTGGCCTAAATTCACAATATAAATTCTTTCTGGTTGAAGTGTTTTGAATATCAACAAAATAAACACAACGAAAAGTTTATAATAACAAACTAAAATATATCTATTCACTCAGTGTTAAACCTGAACATCTTTTAGGACAGTTAGCTGAAATTTGAGATTCTTTCACGGTACACCAGACAATATCTCACGACACACTAGTGCGCCACGACACGGTGATTGAAAAACACTGCTATAAAGCATTACAAGCTGCACTTATCTAGCGAAAATGTCAGATTGAGAAAGGGCCCCCCCCCCGGGGTTGTTAAGAGACCATCCAAATATGAAGGTAGGATGTGTAACGAATGCTGTAACTTGTCACGTGATAAAGAATTTGTCACTTCCGTTTTAACAAATGTATTACGTTGAGTGTTTTATGAAATGATCAGTCTTTTTAATATCGGAATGAAGTATGTTATCTTGTCTCTCTCCTTGCCGAACCTAAACGCAACCGTTACAGGTGAAATGAAATGAAACATATAAGAGAAATGAAATGTGGAGATGGTTAAGATGAAATGAAACATATAAAAGAGTTAAAGGTTAGATGATTGGAAGATGTTCACCTTAAGAAAGTCAAGCCAAGTCTTATTGATCATGAAATCTGGCGGTACATAATGATCACTTTTCGCTGAATGCAGGATAAAGCCTGATTTCGTCGTCTTTTGTCTCGTGGGACACGCAAGAGCTGTTGATTGGGTTGCGCTCTGAGCTTTCTGCTTTTTCTCTTCCGCAAAGCAATTTTCTTGGCAGCATGCCGCAAGGAGTTGGAAAAAGTCGGCTAAAAATACAAAAATTAACAGCCAGCATTAAAAAAAGCGTTCACTTCATTTCTAAAAAGAAAAATTTTGATCATTGTTTAGTCAAATATAAACAGAACTAGCGGTGCAATTATGTTTTTAAATGCCAGCCCCGAGAAATTATGCAACTGTAAGGTATCAATAGAATAGAAGATAAAATTCCTAAAGATCTTGTGGTACAGTGCCAACAACTGCTGCAAACAATCGAAGATACCACCATATTTCCTATGAACTTTTTTCGAGCCAATTTGAAAGCCCACAGAGGTGGATGACAAAAGAATCTATTTTCTTTGAAACAAATGAAAATTGTCCGGCCTTGAAATATTTTGGGCATTGCAAAAGTGTGTCCTGTATACGATACATATTTTAAGACCTGTTTTGAAAAGGGAAGCTTTTCGTAAATAAATCCCTTTTATTCCTGTCTCTAGCATTGCAGGTGTTACTGCCATTTATCGGTGACGAGCGTTCAAATCATAAGTCGAGCCTCACTATCAGCAGTGCAGCTAACGGCATTTACCATTTTGCCATTCGACTAATAATTAAGATAAATCAAGTCTTCAACTCACCAAGTAAAACAAACTGATTCTGCGGCCTTGAAACGTCAGTGAGGTAAAGCCAATGTACGAGATTTGGGCTTAGTCTTCCGCTCCATGGGTAATCTAGCATAAGGAATTTTCAAGTTAAACATTGAGATCTGAATATTTGTATTCTATTCTCTAAAAGTCTTTAAAAAATGAAAACTTTCATGCAGTACTCTTTGCCAGTGTCCTATATTTTGTCCACATTAGTGCTCATTAATAACATAAACATTTCTTACTTTGCATCGCAATGACGATCGTTTTGATCAATGTCTTAATTTCCAATTCCTAACGATTTCGTAATACCAGAGGTACTTAATCGTTGCAAGTCAGACTTCAAGAAAACTTGCCTTTGTGCACGAGGTCCAAACATGAAAATTAAAGGTAGAGGGAAAAGGTATCAAGAAATAAGTTTGCCATCAAAACATACCTAAGCAAAGCCCAGGTGGCCATCCAAGGATGAGGAGGTACTGAATAGCAATGAAAATGCACAAATAGCCGATGTAGATAGGCCAGAGTCTCTCGCTGTTCTTGCGTCTTACAAACAGGAAGATAGCAGTCCAAAGTGACCCTAGGACTGCGAATGCATCGCAACGAACGGCTATGCAAATCACCATCACGATGAGATTGATCTAGAAAGATAAATACGTTTGCAAGAGGAGATAAATAAAATACCGAGAATTCAGGCAGGCAAGAATATGCCTTGCTCTTCATTATTCAGAACTAATTTACCAAAGGTTTCACTGTTTTGGTTCTCAAAATATGATGGAAAAAGAACGCTTATATTGGAAAATAGCACAAACCCAGTCTCCAAGCCAAAAAATGGGGGAATTTTAGTGTGGGAAGAAATGGAAGATATAGATCGATATAGGGCAATAAACTTGAAATATAGACATTTACAGGGGAAAAAAAATGCCAAAGGCAAAAAAGATATCAATGAGCTCATCTGGTTTGTAGCATTTTAAATCTTTTAAAAAAAAACAGACTCAGATCAAAATTTGTAAAAGAAATTGTGATTTTATTCACCTCAAAACCAAAACAGCCGAAGAAATTATTGCACATGTACTTGATGCAATTAGAAATGTTTTCATCCGCCATAGGCCTAGTTACACCGTTGAAAAGAATGCCAGGATTGATCTGAATGCCCTTCTTGTAACGATATAATTCCTTGAAAAGAAACAGAGATACGTTTCATTAATGCTTGACAACCAATATATAAACATCCAATGAACTGGTTGTTTTAAACATACAATGATCTACTGCTGAGTTTGGACAATTTGCCAGGCTAGTAATGCAACTTTTTCCTTGAATTAGCTTTCTAAGAATATTCGAACTTGTGGCTGTTAAGTTTATATGGTAAAGATAATTTCAGCCTTCTGTAAAAACCTAGGTGAGAGTATACCATTGCTCGGGAACCAGCGTCGGGAAAAGATAGAATCGAAGCATACGACGGTCAAGTATAATCAAGAGCAGCAAGATGCAGATAAGGGATTTATTTAGTGAAACCTATTCACATCTGTAAAATTAACAAGATTCTTACAGTTTTTGACTAAGGACGCACCTTTTCTCTCTTGAACTGAAAATTACTGGGCTATAGCCAAAGCTACAAATGCAGACAGTAATAATCCATATATATTTCCAGTATATAAAAAAGCATACCTGATGATGTTTGATAACCTTTGCAAAGACGATTGCAAGAACGATAAATAGGTACCCCTAGAAGAGCAGATACACACACCATTAATAACAAAATTCACCTTGACGATAGTAGATGACATTCGAAAATAGCAAAATATTTAGACAAGGCACTCTACGCTAGTAAGGCATCAAAAGAAGGGCGTTAAAGCTGATGTAAAGAATACCTTGTGTCTAAAGGATACTTTTGTGTGTGTAAATATAAAAACATTAGGGTATCTTGCATTGTAAATTTCTTTTATCTGATAAAACAAACAATATTTACAACTGGCCATCAATGAGCCAAAACATTGGTTTGTAATAACAAAGGAACCGTTATGAAATCAGAGTAGTAGCCAACTCACCCTGACTTCAACAGAAACCTTTGAACTTTTGTGGAGTCCAATCCACCGTGCATTGCTGGAGAAATGGCCGACCATTACTGACGTCATAGGCTGTAAAAAAGTGGGATAGAGATCTGAAGTAGACAAAATATATAAGTCAAGGTTGAAAGATCAATGCAAGAAATACCATTCCTAAATATCATCTAAATATAACAGAAAGAAACCAATACAAAAACTAATGAAACGAGCACATTTTGCAAGGAAGGTGTTGATTCTAAAATCGGAGGTAGGCAGGAATCGGAGGTAGGCAGGAATCGGGGGTAGGCAGGAATCGGAGGCATTGCGTAAAAACTTACCACTCCAGCTGCAGTACAGTTGTATTTCAGGATATCCTCATTGACAAATCTCAGTTGATAAAACATGAGAGAAAATATGATGATAGATGCCCAAACGACAAAGAAGTAATTCATCACCCGGAGCAGCTTTTGTGATGGCATCGACATGCATAAGACGAGCAATAGGACAGCGTTGAAGGCAGAAACCTGCATTGTGGCAAAATAAAATACAATTCAAGATATAACTTATATAAATAAACGTTGTATTACTGGCCGTGAGTTTTTTGGCCTATTTTTGTAAAGATTTCAAGACTCGGCAAATATTTTTTGCTAAAAACAGCAAACAGCAAAGCGGCAAAGGCAATTTTATTTATATTGTTATAAAAAAAATTGAATTTTTTCTTACACAGTGTTAATTCGTTTATAATAGACGGAATCTGAATCTCATTTAAGATAGAGTTTCGTCACAAAAACTCCAACTGTTAATTATAAAGATGAATGAAGTCGGATAAATACGGGGGAAAGAAATTATTTGAATATTAGCAACTTTTACTTAAGACTAAAGAAAAGTTATTTCTGCCTTCTAAATGTACCATGTACCTGCTGAACAACGACAAGCATGATCACAAAGCTGAGAGCCTTCGAAGCGTGAATCTCTGCCACCCTCCAAAGAACTTTCGATGCATTTTTGTAAAACCAGAGTAATTTATGAAGGGCTGTCATTTCCCCATCAACAGAATCTGTTTCCTGCGCGGCATTGTCAGTCCTCTCTGCTGAAGATTCTGGAGCAATAACCTCTGGTGGCTGTTTCGTAGCAGCAGAACCTTCGCTCTCATCGCCAATCTCTTTGGCTGCAGTGCCCGTGAGTTGATGCTGTTTTGCTTGTTTACGGAGAATAATCAAGTGGTTGATCTTCATAGTCAATGGTTTGTGAAAGAAATGCAACTGGATGACCAAGGCAATGGAGAACAGAGTGGGGATCAGGAGTTCAACAAGCAGGCTGGCTTTGTCATGTTGCCGAAGGCCTAAGTCATGTAGCCTGAAATGATGACAAAATCACGAATCTAAATATCTATCTACATAGTTGAAATTCTATGGCAAAATTGAAATTTAGGAAATACACACTCGTCTACAAAACAATTATGAAAAATTATCTATTTTGAACGGTAAAACCATCCTATGGATTATCTAAATATTAGAACCTTTGAAAATGGGTATTGAAAAGAGCAAAGAAAATCAAAGATAGAATGAAATCATGGAAATATTCATTGAATAGATAAGAATCCTGGATAACCTTAAAGCAAAGATATTACAAAATAAATACGTTAAAACACTCGCTTACATATCTTCACTGATGCCGGCTCCATCTTTCCAATATGTGTGCATATTCTTGAACTGGTATGTGTACACGATAAGAAGAATTAATATGGAATACACAACCATAAACCACCATAACGGACGCAGGATTATCTTCCACACTTTGACTGAAAACTAGAGAAATTGAAGAAAAGGTTAAATATCAATTCCCCAAAAACACAATGTCCAACCCTTGTAAGGGTTTCACTACGGGTGCAAGGTAAGGAGTCTCTTACGTGAGAGAAGCTCTGTAGCCAAGCACAGAACTATGTTGAAAACGTCCTTATTTTTCAAACACCTTGATAATGAAAACCAACCCCAGCTTGATGAAATAGCATATGATCTTTATACATAAGATAGTATAAAAAGTGTCTTCAAAATAAATCAATAGCAATAGCTCAGGTGACAGATGTTCTAACCATGTCAAGTTATCAAGGACTGAATCTGATAGTATACTTAAAATATTTCATTTGGGTTTTTTGTGACGTATAATGTTGCCCAAGAAGGGTACTTATTAGAGCTTTGGACCGATGCATGCTGCGTACACAGAGAATTAGCATTAAGAACGTATTGTTAGCATTTCATTACAGCCGAAAAACTAATCGTCGATGAACAAGGGCAGCACAAACACGGAATATAATTGCCAAAGCAAGTAGGACATAATGATCATTGTGCAAAAATTTACTACCTAACTTAATGGAATCGTAGCAAGTCATATGCAAACACACCTAGAGATTAGGCCGACCCTGACAGTGGTACAACCTAGTCCACTACGCGGAGAACTTAAGTACTGAAATTTTTGTATCCTTAGCCAGAAGTTTATAGGCTGCCTATCATAGACTTGGAAACAGAATTGATGTGTAAAAAATAAATATATAATCGTCAGGAGAACACTTTGAAAATTTTGTATGCAAAGTAATTAGTGCATTGCCTAAGATAGACACTGAGCATTGAGACAAGAAGAAACGAGACATACCTGGTAAACAATAAAGCCTATGAGAAAAGTCACCATATAGAATATCTGATACAACGAGACGTCTTTCTGCAAAGCAACCAGCAAGAAGGCTGCGCAGCAAAGGAGGATCCAATATTTGGCAAGCGTGCTCCTAATCCATTGCATAAACTCCTTCGCATCGTCGGATGGCGGCCCGGCATCTATGTCTTCAATATCAGATTCAACTACAATATCAAAGCCAGCGATTGATGAATAACGATGACCAAGATTTGTTCCCTAAAATCTGGATTATCGTTGTTGGATAAGGCTCGAAAGAATCAGGATTTTCGCTGAAAACTGGAATCTTTATTTATCTTCATTCAAAGAATCAAATAACAATATATAGTATTGTGTGGATTTTTGTTAAATAACGAAGTTGGGACTTGAAACCTCTGTCTTCTCTACAATTCTGGCAAATAACAATTCATTTTTGAACCATCGAAAATTGTTATTAAGTGACTAAACTTTCAATTAAATTCTTCATAAAACACAGTCTTAGTGTCGAGTGGAAGATAAGAATAAATTATTCAGAAATTGAGCCTGGTCAAGAGGGCGACAGTTATTTCCCACACAACAGAAACAACTTTTAAAAAGCAGCATATTTGATTGTAGTGTTTAATTTAGCAGGATCAAACATGGAGTCCTCAGTATACCCACCTCCTTTGTACTTTCTTTCAGCTGCAGCTCCTATGAACAGAAAAATAATCACCGGTTGATAGGGTGAAAAATTACAGATGTTTTATTTTCGAGTAACGATACAGACTGAATTAACAAGCATTACATTTTCAAAAAAACAAGTCACTATAAAATATTACAATTTTCTGATCTGCTAGGCCCTTTGAAAACCCTGCTTTTTTCGAAGTATATGCGAGCACTTACTAAATATCACATGGAACTTTAACCAAATAATGGTACCACCAAAACAGCAAAATCATTTAAATGTGAAGATCAATGCACTATACACCCTTAGATGAGAAATTGCATCACGTTAAATAAAGTTCCTTTGCAATTCTGCATATTCACCTCTTTTCTTAAATGCCTGCACAATAGGCCGTGCTAACGTCGTAAGCATGAGTTCCCCTGTCTGCCGATCCTGTCTCTTTCTCAGTTTTCTTTCTCGCACATGCTGTCTCAGAGTTATCCAAAATATCCAGGTGAAAAGAGTCTGGGAAAAAAGAAGCCAAAATCAAAGTTCGAAGAAAGATGACGTTCAAAGAATTGAAAAGTCTAAATATCCTAATGATTTGACAGGTACGAATGGGAGTATAATTTGATACAAACATCAAAAAAAGGTCCTGACAAAGAGACGGGTACAATGTGCTTCTTAGAAAAGGAAGTGATACGTCAGACGAAAAATTCACAACCGTGAAATTTCGGCGAGATTTCGTAATCGCCCCAGAAAGGTTAAAACAACTTCTCAGGCACCAGAGTTGATTAATGTTCTCCTTAACCATAACAATCTCTGAACCCAAAATTGTTGTAAAACGTTAGGAAATTGTCTGTCATATTTTTCAAGGTACCGCAATATATGTTTAAGAACTTTGTCTTTATAAACAGTACTTAAAAAGATGAGACAAACAAACCTGGGCTCCAAGATGAAGGCAAGGGTAGTCGAATTTTTTCAGACCAAGCTCCGAATAGTCCAAATTTCCGTGACTAATTGGCAGCTCATCCTTTTCCAAATTCATACCATAAATATATTGGATAACGAGTAAACATTCCGCGTAGAAGACAAAGTACGGTGACGATGCCATGCAAAACCATCGAGCAAAGGGGGTTATCCATATCACACAGGCCCATAACAGCAACACAAACGATAGCCAAGAGTGGTACGTTATACTCCAAGCCTGCAGTGAAACATTAAATATCAGTATATCTGACCATTTCTAACTTTGATCCTTAAGACTATTGATGCATCAGATGCAAGCCATGGTGCAATATTCCATTGAAGAAAAATTAGGGTAACGTTATACAAGATCCAAAGATGGAACAAACCATGACTAAAATCCGTTTTCTTTGCATTGCATCAAAAATTTTATTGAACAAAGCATCTGATTTTTAGCAATAGAAATCGCAATTTAGAAATGGTATTACTGCCTTAACAAACAAAAAAGATGTGCATACTGGTAGGACAGAAACGTCTCAAAGAGAACGCGGTGGACCTCAGTTGACCTCTTTATCATTTCTCAGAAACATATAAAAGTTTAACATTTGCTACTTACATAGACATGCCCCACTTTAAAAGCGAATAGAATATGCCTAATGATTAAGCAAGACAGAATTGCTACTAATGTGTGATAAGAATATCTTATATCAATATAAGCTGAAATTGTGATCACGACCCGAATGCCCTGGAAGACCGAAAGCTCTTCAAGAAACTCACCATCATAACAATAAGTGCAGCAATATAATTCTGCCTCATCAGGAACATGACAATGCTACTAAAGGTCCCTTGGACGCTAATCTGTTCAACCGGATGCTCAGTTTGCACGGCCGGTAATTCCGGTTGCACGCTTGGTGACCCTCTAAATGTCCGGTATGCGTATTTACGACTGCCTTCTGCTAACAGATGCTATGGAGAAGAGAAGATATGGTCAAGAGAGCTTCACAGAACTACGTGATCCAAACAAGATTGGCAAGCAAAACACAATTAATCTAAAAAATTAAATAATAAATTTCTTTGAATAACTCACATATGGGGAACATAAGAACCTGTCCTTTTTCTTAAGGGTTAACGGAAACATATTATATCCAAAACGGGTATCAAGGGAAATTAATAAGATCCTGAGTTTATGAAGGGAACATTATCCATACCCAAGGGGGGAACAGGATAGATTTTTTGATATTTTTTAGAATAGGTACACAGACCACTCTTATACTTAGGTTCTCATACTCAAAGATGCCAACTCTTTTCTAGTTCTGAGAAAGTTTGTCTAAGTGTGTATACACAATCCTATCAACTTCTTTCTGACTTTGACAACTTCACCTGGGATTTTTCGCTATGCCCATAGTAGATTACACTTAACAATGAAATATGTCCCAAAACCATTCTGGATTACGCCATGATAATTACTGATGATCAAGTGAACAGGCAGTGATAAACAGCCATAAGAAAACGAAATACCTCGTGTTCCACCGGATTTTCTTTCCATGACAACGGGTTCCACCACTGAAACGTACTCCTTGCAACTTGTGACTGGTGGTATTGCTAAAATATTATATATATATAAGTAATAGTTTGCATTGGTCCATTATATTAGAGTCGAATAAAATTCAGGTATATCGACAAACATATTAAGCATCTGGTACATTCCGATTTTTAATATCATTTGATCTAGAAGCTTTCTGCAACCTACCCCCTGTGACAGTCATCACAAAGATACCTACAGCTGAAGGTTAAATTAAGCCGATTTGAGTGTCAAGGGGGGGTACTCCTTAAATGTTTTGGAAGGCACTGAATTACCTTGCCTTTGCTACGAATGGCGGTTACAAATCAAGCATGTCCCCTAGATCTAAAGGTCTGATGACTTGAAAGAATGTACAAACTACATGCTTTGTGTAACGTGTCGTAGTTTACAAGAGAAAAAAATTGTTTGAGTCTTGGTGAACTCCGACTAGAGTTTTATGATCATCGAGCATCGAGGTCACTGTGCTAACCAGAGTTAATTACGTTTTGAATCGTGAACTCGGAAGATATCTCGGATCATAACGTTTTAAACTGTGGTCAGCATAGTGAGCCTCGATGCGACTGGGGGAGGCGATGGTGCTCTATTAAAAGCGATGGTGCGTTAGCAGTATTGAACCTCCAAACAAAATGGCAGTAAACTACTTAAACCAAAGCCTCGAATTAAAAAATAATCTTGACGAATCAATTAGATTTTTTTGCTACACTGACATGAAGCAGATAAAATAACTTTTAGAGAAATCTTTATGCGTTCGTCTAAGTATTCTAGTTGGTAAACTAAGGGAGGAGGGGATGAGAGGTGCACATGTCTCGTCAGAATCAGGTTTGATTTCCATATGTTGAACCAGTAGAAAACGTCAAAGACATAACCTCAGTACAAATGTACGATCTATCAAAACAGTAATACTTCATAAAAAAATGCAATTTTGCCACGGCCGTTAAAAATAACAATTCTTTAATGAAAGCACTAACTCACCCGACTGCATCTGTACCTGACTTCGGTGGCGAGAATCCAGTACACGAGAAATATAACAACAGGAAAAACATAAACAGGCCAGTTGAGATTTTCATTGATACTAAGGTAATTGCCGGACCGGCATTTGGATAATACGATTGCAGGGAGACCGAACAGTCTACAACGATAGAGAAAAAATCTGGTCGAACAGCACAATAAACGTTTTATTCGGCAAGCTTTAAAGAAGCATTATTTTATGCTTCTGTAGTTGACAAACTATCTCATAGATTTCGAGATAGAAAATGGAAAAGCATGAGCACTTAGGAATTAAAAAAAAATTGCTAAAAGAGGAAGGGCCCAAGATCGTTTCCAAATTAATAGAAATTGAATTTCAGCTTTACTAATATTCTTCCATACAGTCTATCTACCATGATAAAATATATGAATAAATTTGAACAGTTGCTGATAACCAATTAAACAGTAGCCTGACGATCACAATAAGCCTGAAACTCAGAGTAGTAGCTCAGAACCGTCATATATAACTGAAAAGATACGATATAAAGACACAGCATTGGAATAAGATAATCATATACGAGGGTCTTTTTACACAATGTTTGAGGATTCTTTGATTACTGTGAAAATAATACAGCACCAACTTCCAGATACTAAATGTAGGGGTCTAAACTTCCTTTTCTGTCGATAGAAAATCAACGAAGTGGATCACACAACGAACAGATGCTATCAAATCAAGAATCTTCCCCTGAGAAAGAAAATGTAGTATATCCAAATTTATTTTCAGTAGACTGGAGTACTTACCTCGCAAAAAGAGTAGGTGCTGGTAGCAATTCCTGAAAGAACTCAAACTGATACAAATACAGCAATACGACATGAAGCCCAGCGTATACAGTTAAAAACACTTTGAGGCAAAATAAGGCTTTGTTTTTCTTGAAGCGAACGGATCGATGACATGCCCAAAATGTGCCTAAGAACAGGAAGCTCAGAAAGTAAACTGAAGATATAACATTTGGTTGGACTATTCCACCAAGCAGCAACATCAATGCGACAAAAACAGGCAAAACATCCTCAACTGGCGAGCCATCTCGATCGTGATGCGAACGACTGTGTGAAGATCTGACATGGAGATGGATTTTTCTTGATCCGATAACACAAGCCAGGGATATTATGAACACGAGCAGGTCTGGAGCAAGAAGGCGGACGATATTTGCAGTGTCTGTTCTACGGAATCTAGGGAAGAGCCAGAAATCTTTTAGCAATACCACATGGAAAATTTATTGACAGTTTTACATTACGCTTAATTCCGTGTCAACTACATAGCCCGAGAAGCAGTTGTTAGATACTTAATTGATATCTATGGAAGTAGAAACCAACAAATTTTGTTTGTACTTAAGACAATAAGAGATCCTAGTTTCTAAACCTGCTTGTGTCAGAAATGAGTTTGAGAGTTAAAATCATTTTCACAAGGGTTTTATAGCGAGTAACAATTGAACGCTTCATTTTTCAGCTTTCTGTAAAATTCTGATCATAAACTCAGGAAACGGCTAAGATACATTTATATTCAAAAATTTTCTGGACACATTATTTGTACTTACTTGTAAAATCCAATCTGACCTAAAATAGTTTCAGCTAACGAACCTGAAAAGCAATTTAACATTGAAAAAACGTCTGAAAGGTTAATTAAGATTGCAAGATTGGCATTGCTAATAAATACAATATTTATAATAACTGGTGTCTAAATGTTAATAAATAAATAAGCGCAAGCTGAAAAATTAACAAATATAAAAATGTAAAGATAAGAAGGAGATGAAACAGAAATCTATATACCACAAGTTTAAGCAGTAGAAGGTACCTAATATGAAATTGTGACTAAATGATAAATGTTAACATAAAGAAAAAGAGGAGCAGGGAGATGAAGAAGTGTGTGTAGAATATAGGAAGAACATATAATCAAAGACAGAAACGAAAGCAGCAGAAGAGAAGAAGAGGTAGGAAGATATATTTCAATTGAATTTAAAGCACTAAGTCCTGACACATTTCCCTGGCAATTGAAATTCCCATTGGTTAGACTTTACAATAGACCTATTGTCGTGGAGCCAATCAGCTAATCTTCAATGTTTTCTCAATTTTAAACATGCTGCAAAGCCAATTGTTATCTCTGAACAATTGACAGATGGGACATAGTGCCTTTAAGTTCTAGAGCTTCCACCTGTAAGATATACGCTATATACATATAAGGGGAAATAAACTTGGGTGAAAGTAAAAATATATACCACCCACATTCAAAATGGCAGTGTGTGAACATTTAGTTTCACTTACAGTTTGATATTTCTCTTGCAACAGATTCTTCTGCAAGCAGAGTTATCTGAAAAGCTATATGAGCCACAATAGCAACCACAGACAATCCAAGAATGGCCTGTTGCAGTTTGACAGCACATGCTACAAAATGATTTAAGAAATAATTTTTTAGTAACAATGAAATCATTGAAAAATATACAAGGTTGTCAGTACATATGGCAATTCTTTTTGGCACTTAACTATTCTTAGTTTTCAAAGGATGAATACAAAGGATTGTGGAAATCTGCCTAGTTTGCCTAGTGGTGAGGAAAAAAACATAATGAAAAAAGTTCCAGAAAATGTTTATTTGCTTAACTTCTGCTGTTCCCATCAACATGATATTTATGATATTTTGCTAATAAAGTGGGCTTTCATACGTTAGGGGACTAAGAGTCTTGCCCCCTTGTCTACCTTGTTTGCAGGGGTCTCTGCACACATGTTGCCCTATAACATATGAGCTTTGAAACGTATGGGAGCCCTTGAGTTTTTACAAAACAATAGCAAAGCATAATGATTTGATTATCTTAAGGGCACCGCCTACATGTACCCCCAATATTCTGGAATACCTGCCAACAATCTTTAATATATAATCACTACTTACTAAAAATTATTGCTTTATGACATATCAGTGTCTAAATACTTCTCCTTAAATCTATAAAACTCAAATATTTATAAAAATTTATTACATACCTGCTCGCCGTGATGGGCTTGGAAGTAAGGGTACAACCAGTAGACACAATAGGTAAATGAAGGACAAGCCATTGTATCTGATGATGCAAGCTGCAACAAGACATATAACTTTTTTAACGAGCTCTGGGCTTTCTTATTTTCAAACATCTTATGGCAGTTGGTGTTACAATGCAGCAACTAGAGTTTGATTCTTAGACAAAATATTATTATTACAATACACAGGCTTCCCTACACCCTAATAGATTCATTTGTTCTGATTTTCTCCATTCTCAATGAAGTTGAGGTCTGCTCAGTTGCAGGGTGAAGTTGTTAGTGAAATCAAAATATCTTAAAATCTGACTGTGCTATAATATTTTTTTTACTTACAGGTACATTATCCTTAACACATTTCAGACTTTACAACCAAAATATGGTCTTTATTCATTTACAGACTGATGTTGCTCGTGTATTTGGTGGTCAGGTTGGAAACTTACAAGTGACATTAACATGAAATCTTTGAAAAGGAGGATTCACTCTTTGTTACTTTCTCAGTCAATAGAAGAATGTAATATAGAAGTATCCAAAGCACTCTGTATGACATTGATATTTAGGTCAATGAAGAGTGTAAAGCTGATTGTTATTATTCTCTGCAGCATTTCACAACACTCCTGGGATACATTGGATGATGTTGATTCTGTACAGACCGATAATGTCCTTGGGTCATCCAAATCCAAATGTTGGTGTTAGAAAATTTTAGTCTTTGCAGTAAAATTTAAATATGAATAAATACAGAACAAGAACAGGAAAACAACTCTGTATGTTGAAAAGTTGAAAGTCAAAACATAAGTAATCAGTAAAAATATCATACCAGCAAGAAGTGTTAGCGGTAATGCAAATCTGTACAAAATTGCTCTTGCTGTGTCAGCACCCATATCTAAACTTTTAGTAGTAACCTTTTTGAATTCTCATCCAACATCAACCTGACAGTACCAATATCTCATCTTGCAAAGTAAATTTCTAGGATAAAATCAATTTAGAATAAATTTGGATACATCAGAATTCAGTTCAATTCAGTTCATATACCTTAAAATTCCACTACATGCAAATTCAAAAAGGTTCCTTTCAGAAGGCATGATCATCAAGGTTTTTGAGGTACAGCTATACTGTGGTTTAGGTAAAATTAGCTTTCCTTCCTTGGTAGAACAAGTTAGTATGGATTGATAAATGGCCAAAACTTAGATAATTGCAACATTATCTGTGGTGTACTACTGTAATACTCTGTTCATGGTCTTAACTTTCAGTAGTATCCTCTTTGAAATCTCATTATCTTTTTTCTTCTATTAACTGATCTTTCAAATTCATCAAACAAGATATATATTATGCTAGTGACACTAATATATCTTTTGAAAGTGACAGTATTTAATAAGATACTACAAAAGTAGATTTATTTTGTAAGTTGAGTGTGGTTCTTCATTCAAATTAGGATAATATAATGAGCAAATAATTCAAGTACCAAAATGAAATAAATAAAGTCATGATTGTTAAAGATATAAAACACAAAAGTGTTTTTAACAATAATAACTTAATACATTTCATTTTGGTATATACTTAATAAATGTGGACAGAACTAACTTCATCATTTTCAGGGGTAGCGCCAAGAAATTCAAAGTGGGGGGGGTGGGGCTTGAATTGACAGAATTAATATACTAAATAAACAACTTTTGAGAATCGCACTAAAATGCTTTACGATAATTCATGCCTATGATTTTATGGGGCACTTGTTATGCAGTACATTAGAAGGGGTGCCAAGAGGTTGTGCGAGGCCATAAATACATCTGAAAGAAAGGCATCCCTGCAAGTAAAGCAAGCAAAGCAAGCAGAAAACTTTTTTGCAAATGCGTTCCTTTAGATTAGCTTAAAATGCATTTCAGAACAGTTCTTGCAGTCATTTTTTTGAACCGTTTGAAATATTTTACCATTTCTAAGACATGATTTTATTACGATTGATTAATTCCAGTCTTAAAATGAAATTCATTACTTTATGAGGCTCTACCAGGCCTTGAAAAATCAAGCAATGAAAGGATTATTCGCACTATTCTTGTCTTCCATCTTTTTTATTTTATTTTTTGTTTTTTATAAAACACGTTTTGCGACGCCCATGTTTTGCGCCATCATCCATACCAAAGTCCTTGGATAAAACTGTTAATACAATGTTTGTCAAGGATCATAGCGGACTAAATATGGAGATTTCGTGGTTTATTTTGGATGAAAACCTCGACCGGAAGACTTTAGAAGTAACTGAAGAGAACTGAAATTAAAAGACGTACCAGGTTTGTATCATTGTTTAGTATAGTCAGATTGTATCCGATATTTCTGATACCATAATAGTTCTTGGCCTCTTTTCTGATCTGTTGTAAAACCAACAACTGGTCAAATAACCTCTCACTAAAACAGAACCTTTTATAAACTTAAAAGGAAAAAGCATGGACAAACTCACTTTTAAAACCAGTGTTTTGCGATTGTTTGCTCAGCTTTCCCTGCTTCATTCAAATCCCATACGAAAGGGGTGTCGTCCAAACCTGGATACAATGTATAGGATAAAGCCTAGGCCCAAAACAAGCGATGAAACTTTGAAAAAGTTTCCTCTTTACAAAAACAATGAAAATCTGTTTGCAATGTCTGTGCTTTGGAAGAAATCAGGCTCTGCAGAAGCAAGTATTTCTTGACACTTCCGTTTCCTTTTCCAGTACTAAACTCTATTTAGATTACCCTCTCAAAACTATTGCCTTATTATGTCATTCCGGCCCACATGACAGATTTTCTTTTCAGCGGTTCCGAGATTCCACCGCAGCAGCAATCTACCTGTTAATTCAAGCAGCGACTGGTACCAACCTGTCACAAACGTGTTGGTAAATGTCATGAAATTTGTAAGAAAACACACCAATGTTCAGACTGCTATTCGTTTAAAACCAATTGAAGTTGAAATATTGGTTATTTGTGTATTTTAAGAGATTCACTGCACATAGATAGGGCTGACAGGGCCGTCGCTAGCGGGAGATTGGAGGAGCGGCACCCAGTGTGACCAGATCTAGCATAATATAATGCTTTTAGCATAATATTGGCCAGAAATTGTCATTTAGAATAAAATCTAGCATAATTAGGAATCTAGCATAACTCTGGCATAATTTTGATAGTTTTTAAAAAATTATTGTTTCTATTGATCCGTTGTCTATCACCACCAAATGAAAACAAAATTTGCTTTGTAGGTTACAAAAGCTTTCACTTAAGGTACTATCCCCCCCTGAACACAAATATTGGGAGATTCAACTTTGTTGATGCAAAATCTTTGAGTATACCATGAATGAAACTGTATCATGTCACAGAGACCAAAATGGTAGCTTAAATGTTACCATGGCAACCATATCAAGCCCGAAAAATGTAAAAATTGTGCCACACTAAAATAATTTTCAAACAAAAACGACAACACCTAGAGACCTGAAATTTTTTGTGATGATCAATTACACTTAGAGGAACAGAATGAACCTCAGCCATCACTGTGTCTGTAATAAAAATATGATTTTTCATTATTTTTTATTTTCGATGAAATTTTTCAGCAGAAAATATCTCATAAACATGCAAGCTTTGCTCACAAGCTCTTAAGACTGCTTCATACTATTCTGCTAACAAAGATAAATGTACCCTGAAAATTTCAACTCTCTGGTATATGTAGTTTTGAAATTAAAATTGTTAGGAGTACTGAAAGACGAGTTTTTAGAAAACGCATTTAAAGATAAGTCTTAACATCAAAGTTAAATAATGTCACTAAAACTCCCCAGCACCATAACTGTCTCCTTCCTTCTGTGTATCCTTGTCATTTCTTGACTTTCTTCTGCTTCTCAGCTTCTTTCTGGATAATTTTGTACTTTTCTTTACCTGATACTCAGCAGCATAAACGCGACTGACATCCAACTCATGGCACAGTTTATCAGTAAAGAAACCTCGTGGTAATCCCAGTCTTTCCAAAACCAGACAAGTTGCTATGGACCCCTCATTGAAATGAGCAACAGCATCATAGACCCCAAGCTCAAAAACATCTCTGCCAACATATGTGGACTTAGGAATTCTGTCCCAAATCACACGATTAAAAGACTCGTTCTGATTTTGGGTCTTTCCATGAAGGCACTTTTTCAGCAAGCTTTCTTGACTCAAACGTGCAAACACAGGTTTCATTTCTGCAACCACTTTTAATGGCAGTCCAGGTCCTGGCTTAAATTTCTTGGTCTTTTCAGCAATATCCACCTTGAAACCACACCATGAATCTTTCCCATCTGGACAGTAACTGTGATAATTGTTTTCCTTTGATGATGCAGAATGGAAGAGTGTTGCTAATATTGCTTTCTTCATCGATTCCAAATTGCCAACATTGCTTCTAATAGCTATTCCGTAATAATTTTGGATTTTATCAATAATTTTTTCTGTTAATTTGCCTTTTCCCCCTAACTCTCTTTTTTCCTTTTTCAATTTTCGCAATGCAGTACCCATCCTTTTTTGAACATGTCCAATGCACTCCAACTTTTCTACCCTCTTTCCAACTGACTCGTAAACATTTTTTACAGAAAGATAGCTTTTGCTGTCACCATCTCCATAAAACTTTGTGTAGTGAAGGCCGTGCTTTTCAATGGATCTGCTAAACATACGCACTGCACCTTCAGGTTCCATTGCTGGTGCAGACCCCCTGTAGCTTGCTTTACATCCAATATGCTTCTCCTTAAAATCCTGGTACTCTTTGGAATTCTTGTCAAGCTTACTCTGCAATTGGCATTGCTTACAGTGCCTCGACATGGGCTCGACATCCAAAACCTTTCCGTTGTCTATTGAAAGAGCCGCAACACAGCCATTTAGTGAAACAAAACCCCTTTTTTGCCAGCATCCATCCACAGAAACCCCACAATCAGCACTGTTTTCACCAATTTGTGTCTTTTTTACTTCTTCTCCTGCTTGCTTCATACTATCATTAGCAACATCATATACTGCTGACAGAAGTGTCTTGTTCAATTTGCTGAAATTGTTCTTGGTAGGCAAAGTAGGGATATTCAAAACAGCACAGAATTTTTTAGCACCGGAGTAACCAATCCCTATGCTGCGCATGCCATATACAAGGCGCTTGTTGACTTCAAATGCTCCATTTATTTGCTTTGAGGTGAAAAAAATATGTGACCATTCACACTCTTTGCAAACTAGCATCAGCCGACTGGCACAACCATTCTTTCTGGGCAAGTCATCATCAAGGCTCAGTGACTGTGTCATACAGTCAGGACAGACCAACATGTCAAAAACGCCTGAAAGAATGCCAATGTCAAAAAAGCGATACCCTGTTGCTAGTTTTTCAGGTTGCTCAACATGCTTGACCCTCCTAGCACCAAAAAGTTTCTTAAAAGAAACAGACTTTCCAGCTAGTGGGGTGGACACAAGTGTATCGGCGTCAGGATGTTGCTTTGACAAATGACTAGGCCCAGCAACTGGTGAACAATCTTGCTGTAGGACAGTCAATAAATTCCTCTTTGATGGTCGACCTGCACGCTTACGTTTAAAGCTACTTTCATTTTTAACAATCACATGTTGATTTCCACAAAAAGATCTTTTTGTTCGTTTTTTAGTTGAGTACTTTCCCATTTCGAAAAATTTTTTCGGTAACAAGTTTGGTTTCACGATGGTTTCACGATGGTTTCACCAAGTTAAAAGCTTTCAAAGAGAGGCTGATCGCCTCTATTGGGTGTTTTAAAGATGGCAGGCCTTATCAATGTTACTTTGAAGAAAAAGTAACCTTTGGGACGCTCTAGGAGCAATGTAATGAGCTATAAAGTTGGATATTTCGTTGCTAGGGGCGTTTCTAAGGAGATTTTTTGAAAATTTCAAACACCTGGTCCTACATAAAGGCGGAATTTCTTAGCTATATCACAAAATTTATCAAAGTCTATATACCATCTTGAAGATGAACAATTAAACTTTTAGATCCTCTAGGAAAAATTTTTCAGATAGAAATTTTTTTTTCTTCAAAAACAGAGGGGGCTAGTACCTTAATTTTATGTTGCATTGTCTGTTATCTTTCACTTTGTTTCATGTTTCTTTTTTGCAATTTTGAAATCATTCTAAAAAATTTGAATATTATCTATGCCAAAAATTTATTTTCCTTTGCATTTTTTGTGGTTTTTTGCAACATGCTGCCAGAATTCTACCAACTTGTGCTTCTTCGGCCAAATCAATTTATGACGGCCAAGGGGTTAAGAAATTTGGATGTCAAAACCATTGATCTAAATTGCCTTTTTGTGTTTTAGAGGAGTGGTTAAAAAGGTCAAATGGCAACTCTGACCACTTTTGATATTCTGAGCATGCGCTAGCCTCTTTCTTAAGCAGGGATACCTTGATTTGAAATTTAGCATAATGTTTGCAAATCTAGCATAATTTTATGACAAATTTGGCATAATTCCAAAATTGAGATCTGGTCACACTGGCGGCATCCCCTCCTCTAGAAAAGTTACTTGTTGGCAAATTATCGAAAAATAGAGTTTTGTCGGGCTCTGTTTGCAAGGTTCCTAGAGCAATAGATTTAGCAAACAGTAGGGATAAGATGAGGATAAGACCGAAACGGTGTCACCCAGAAGTCCTCAGCAATTCAAAATAGGTACAGATAACGCTATGGGATGAGTGGCATGGAAGGGCAAATGTCCCCAAAAATTTCAAATGACTTGCTGTCGGTAGCCACAGTCTAGAGCTTAGCAGACAACTGTAGGCATATCCAGGGCCATCGAATTTCCACTTAAAGTTTGGGGAAGGGTAAAAGTTTATTGTAAAACTTTGATTGCTGATCCTGGAGGTACTATGCACAGGGCCACCGAAAGAAAAGGTATGGGGGCAAAGTACCCCAGGGCCACGAAGTTTAAAGGACCTTATAAAGTAATGAATTCCATTTTAAGAACAGTTTCAACGAAACGTATATAAAATATTGCCTAAAAATTGTAAAACTTCCTAAACGATTGCAATAAATGACTGCAAGAAATATACTGAAATGCATTTTAAGATAATCTAAAGCGCGTGGTCGCAAAAAAATTCTGCATGCTCCGTTCTCAGGGGGCCTGATTTGCTAAAAACTTGACTTCTGGTGTAAAATTGAAGATGGTAAGATCAGCGAAAATTGAAGCGATGATTGACTAACGAGAACATACTCTTTGATAAACAAAATTTACTGCGTTAGAATGCCACACCCAAAAATTACATATATTTAAGGCCACGCCCTATTTTGTCGGCAAATTGATGACTGGTATCCTCCTCAGTGAAAGTGTTTAGCGACGGTCCTGGGGGCTGGCTGTTAACATATCTTCTTCGGAATCAAGAAACAACTTTCCATGATTATAATCCTTCAGTGTCTTTGAGGTCGTCTGTGGTACTTTTTATAAACATGTTTAATTTTCATGACAAAAATCTAGTAAGAGCCAGGATCTTCTTGCACGAGAAACTGCATAAAGCAACTTGTGAAAAAGCACCAAGAATTCACCAATGGGCCTGTTTTCCTTAAGTTTTAGAAGATCACTTTACGCCCCCGCAGCCCCGTTTGCTTAAGCAAGGCCCTTTTCAACGTCCTAGCTAGAGGGAATGGCGCCTGTAGTCCCAAAAAATTTCATTCCCTCCTTTATATAAACAAAAGCTTGCCCCCAAGTTTATTTCCCTTCGAAAAGGCTATGGGTTGAAGGCAGTTATAACTTTGTAGGTCGATTCAACCTTGTAAGATTCTGGCCGCCGCTAAACCGAAATGAGTCTTGAAAATTAGGTTCCAAGCGAAATATTGATAAAATCGAACACCTTCAAAGAACTCTAAATCGACAATTAGATGAGCCAATGAATAAAAGAGACAAATTAATTCATATTGGAGATATTGTATCTGGTAAATATGTACATTTGGGTTTACATATAAATAAAATCAACACATATGGTGCAGTGCATTTCTTGACTGAGTTGCTAAATAATTATCGTAGATTGTGATAAGAATTAACTTTGAGCAGGGACAAAATGGTAAAAGAGTTTCTGAAAAAGGTGTATTTGGGACGTTGGTTATAAAAAAAATTAAATTACATCGCCAGCATTTAATGATGAAAAGAATGCTTTAATGGTCGTCAGGAGCATGCCATCCCTGCCTAAAGAAAAATTACCGGCCTCTACAATTCGAAAACACGAAAAACTACTATCTAATATTTCAAAGGTTCGTCAGTTTAGCTCCATAAACTGTCCTTATTTCGTAACATGGCTTCAGGCCCGTTGCTAGCTACCATGTTCAAGAGGGAGAGGGTTTCAAGTCCCATTTGCTGATAAAGTAGGTGAGCCATACTTTATTTGCCTGCTAAGCACCCCTAGATGATAAAAAACTCCTTGTTTTCACAATGGAAATTTTTTCAAGGGGGTGTCACACCCCACATCCCCCCTTTAGCGACGGGCCAGTGTGCCTTTAAAATCTACAGTAAATTTCAAGTTCTTGGTCATCTCTTGGAAGGGACAACATCAATCCTATTAAATACTGATAACCCTTGTTCCAAAGCAGTCTGGTTCATAAAAGCTCAGCCATCCCATTGGTTGCTGCTAATGACACAATAGAGCTACATTAGTTCGTCTTCTAGCGCTCTTCTTTTCTGTTTGGACATAGCAGGTGCAATGACTAGATCATCGTCATCATCATCATCATCATCGTCGTCGTCAGCTGTTGTCTTGGATACTCGTTGCCATGGCGAAGAGGTAGGCCTGGCCGTTATAAGGGGTTTTTCTTGTTTCTACGAGGGAAAAAAGAGAGTTTTATATAGAAAGGAATTGTGCAAATTCGAGTCATAGAAATAACAATGACTACCACGGATGATAAATCAAATACATCCACAAAACCTCATCAAATTTGAGACAGAATAATTTTACAGATTATCGAATACTACAAAACCTTATGCTAATAATATAGTGCTCGTTCAAGTTTTCAAGTTTCAGATCACAGGAAAACAGAAAAGGAAGAAACTTCAAAGCTTTATCATTCTTTTATTTGTAGTTTTGCTTCAGTAATAAAATCTTTGGAGTTGGCTGATTTTCAAATAATCATCACAAAAAATACATTTAGCTACTTTAGAAAGGAAGATTACATACCTTACTGTTCTTCTTGCTTTTCTCTCCACTTGTTGCCCATCTGTCTGCTAATCTCAGCGATTCTTCATGGGAAAAAGGAGTTCGTCAAACATTCACATCAAAAATCGATTGCATAGTACAAGACATTAATAAAATATTCACTAGTTCATCGCAGCCTTCACTGAAACATTCCAACGAACAATGCCTTTTCACTACCCTCGACACCTTCACAAATATAAATTTTATTTTACTTTCTTATGTAATTTCCTTGCATTTTCATATTTTCTTCCTATTAAGCTACCCCTGGACTATGCTGCAAAGTTTTATGCAGCTCTTTTACATTTGGATTAGTAAAAAGGTAATCATTCAGAATCAATTCACTGGACAAATTATATAATTATTAATGTTCAAGAAAATCGAGCAATACAACAGCTACCTCTCTACGTAAACTTTAATTTGCCTACATAAGACAGCAATAATGAGCTGTAGTGATGCATACCCTGTTTTCTCTTATCAAAAGCGCTACTGTTTCCTTTTTGGGTTGACAGTGAGCTCTTCTTCGAAATCATTTCTTTACTCGTGCCACGCTGTGAAGACGAGACCACAATATCCTCGTTTTCACTATCACTTAAAAAGTCAGCGATGTTCGATTTTCTAGCACTTCCCCAAGATGTCGAGCTTTTCTGTAAGTGACTCAAAGATGGTCGAGCTACAAATAAGAAAAAGTGGTTCTATTATTGCAAGAAATTAAATGGGTGGCAAAAGAGGATAATTCTTTTTAGGAAAGCATTATAAAACCTATATGCTTGATGTAAAGGCTAAGCTATATCAGAAAATACAAATGGATTCCTGGAGCGTTGCTGAACAGAGCAAGGCAGTTCTAAACTGGTGCTCCGAGTTTCGCTCTAATTGCAATCGTCATGCGTCATGCTAAGTAGCAACTTAGAACGATCCTGTTCTGGAAAAAATATGTACTGCTCTGGCTTCAAATTTTACAACAAACTTCAAAGTACTTCATAACAAACCGGTCAACAATTACATTCATGTTTATGTGTTTTGAGAACAGGTACTGGGAGCAAGTTTCTGAGAATTCAGCATGATTCAAGAAGAATAAGGAAATCCATGCAAAGAACAACCTGCTTTATCCAGGGTCAGATGGTTCTAAGCCTTGTTTTAAAGGTGCATATGGGAATCGTGGGTTCAAAGGTTCTAACATTAGCTTCTTGTCCAAAACATATATCTTGATGATGAACAAAATCGTTTATGCATGGCAATAGGGATGTCTGATCAAGACAATAGACATAAAAAAACATCATGATTCTCTAAAATAAGTTCTTAAAAAGGGGACACTTATAACAGCAGGTAATAGAGCTGCAAAAATATTTTCCTTTCTGGGAACCTGGAAAACAGGACAAAAACCTTTCTGTGAGGTGAAAGTATTGTATACTATAGCTCTCTAAATAGTACGCCCATTTTTTACGCAAGGGCTTCTTATTTGTTGGGTCTAGAGGAAATTTCCAATAAGATATCGTAATTTGGTTGTTTATTATATTTTTTTGTCTTTGGCAAAGGCAATAGTTGCAACCTTAGGGAAGATGAATCTAGTCACCTGTTTATACTTATCAGCCAATTTTCTAGCTTTTCATTTTTTGTGATTGTTAATGCAAGAAACAGCTGTCCTTTACAAAGTTTTGCTGAAAATTTTCTGTTTTCCATTTTTTTTCTGGGAATCTAGTTCCCAGGTTCGGTTCCGATAGTTTTTGCAGCTCTGGCTGGTAGGCTCTCCAAGTTCTTCATACTGGGGATTCACTATATTGGAACACTAAAGACTACCAAAAGCTCACCTTGCTTGGGTTCAACCTCCCTTATGCTAGACATTCGTGAATCTGATCTTGAGCCATTTTGGTACGGCTCTTTTCTGTATTGTGACAAATATGCCTGCTCGAAACGCTCGTTACTAGTAAGGCTTGTCATGCTGCCAATGACAACATCGTCGTCATCATCATCATCATCATCAAGATTGTTATCAGCATGGCTGTAAGTGTCATATCTCCTGTCACTTCGCTTTCTGCTTAAAGCATTTCCTTTAGGGAAGAAATTTTCAAAATAATTCAATATATGATAGCAAGTATTTTGTTTTTGACTCTATAGACTCGAAATTCACTGAAAACCGTTCTTGTGTAGACATAAGGAATTTCGTATTTGGACTCCAATGGTGCTATTTTCAATAGGCAAGCTGGACTGATTGGGCAGCCTTTACAGTCGTGTACTCGCGTTTCTGACCGGCCTATTTCAATGCACAACTTGGTATACATATTTCCGAGCTTTCGATCACTATGCTGACGTTTAATTCTCTGGCAGCAAAGCTCAAGTACGTTTTCAAATATTTGCTTTTTCAAAGCCATAATTGAAGAATTAAATAAAGGGAAATTCATTTTCTGGTAAATTGTATCATTAGCTTTGAGTTTTCGATCTATGTTCTGACATTTTATACTCTGAAGAGTGTCAGACGAAAAGCTTAAGTATGTTTCAAAATATTTGCTTTGTTCAAAGACATTTTTAGACTCGAAATACTAAAATGCGTGTTCAAGAATTTGCTAACCTAGAACTTCTGGCTAATCTATTTCCGTGTAGAACATTCATCATTTAAAGCATTATCACAACTACAGGAAAATCAAACGATGCAACTTCAGCATTGCGTCATTTGTAGGTGCAGGGAAAATATCCTTATACTCCATTTGTGCATTTGAGAAAGTGTAAGTATTAAAGTTTCGTGTTAATGCTAAAAATTTCTTATCAAGTTAGTAATAATCTTCAATTTTTCAATTAACTCACTTTCGATAGAAGATCTTGTTGTGTTTTCCTCAGTTTGAAATACTTTTCGTCGCTGAGAAATTACAGAGGGTCTTGAATGTGACCGGCTAGGCATCGGTCCCATTGGCTCTCCGGAATCTAACGATCTACAAGCACGATACACAGTTATAAACGCCGAAGACAAAAAGAAACATTATAGGGCGCGCTTAAAATTCTTAATTAATCTAATCATATTGCAAACCATAGACCACATGGAAGGCAACAATCCAAATACAGATCTTCAGGTCTTCCTTCACTTTGAACATAGAGTTCACGAGAGCATATAGCATTTGAAGTAGGTTCAAACCCAGCTGCTGAAACAAGCATATCTGTTCTCTGCGATCAAAGGATCTGCAGAATGCACGTGCGTATCAAAAAGGCTCAGTGAATATGGAGACCGACTTAGATTATCAAGTTGTATGTCAGATAACAGATATTACAAGCATAACTTCTTACTAATTTGCTCCAAGATATAGGTGACTCAAGTGAAAAAGGCTCATTCATTTGAGATATATTTATCTCAAGCAAACAAAGGTTTCGATCAATGTACAGTCGTAAAATCTCCGAACAAAACATGAGGAATTTCATTTTCAAATACCTGAATCAACTTGAAACCCTGAATTTCACCACAAATCAGCATAAGGTGAAGGGTTTTGTCCGCTATTTGACTGTACAATCACCAAAATTTGTAGACTGTACAGTCAAATATAATTTATAATGAGAGAACCAACATTTTCATCTTCAAATTCATTCCATGATAAAGTTTCGTAACGATTTAATCTATTCATCGTAACTACCTTCGAAACCTGGGAGCTTCGTAGACTTCTTCCTCCGCACTATCCTCGTAACTCCATTGCTCGTTTCGACTCAATGCTTCTTGCCTTGCTAAATGACCCCTAAATGCAGCTTGCAACAATATGACGTCATCTTCATAAAGGCTGCTTGAATCGCTGAGGTCATCTGTATCGCCATCACTAAATGCGTTCATTCTTTGTGTTCTTAACAATCTATCTCTAGCTGCGTGTCCACGGAAGGCTGCCTGAATTGACGAAACGGCCTTTGAAAGAAAAGCAGAGAGGAGATTACAAAAGCAATCGAAGTTTACAATCGTTGCAATCGCGTATGGTTTCCTTTCATTGCTATCATATAGCATGCATAAAAATAAAACTAACATTCAGCTTTAAGGATCTGAGCTTCTTCGATGACGATTCTACTTTTAAAACTCCAAACTTTTATTTTTGGTGTAGTCACTGTTTTTATTATATAGTTCCTCCAATGAAAAACAGACAAACGCCTTGATTAACGAACAAAGACTATCAAAATAACTGATTAGCTGAAAACGATTATTTGGGACTTATCGATTCTCGAGCTATACGCTCATCTGATCTGTGTTGCATCTGATCTGTGTACTTATTCCTATTGCAAAACTATCGGTATGCCCCCTAGATTCGTATTGCAATACTATCGGTATGCTCTCTAGATGTAACTACATGCCCCAATATGCTCCCTGAATTGACTATATGCCCCCAAAATTAAAACATATAATCTTACTCAAACAAGCCGCTGCATGCAGGAAAATTAGTCTTAAAATATTAAACTCTACCCTGCAGCATCGTGAAGGCGAAAGAATGGTCTTATGTTAGACGATTTAGTCTTTTAACAGAACCTTTTTATATTTCCTTGTTTTAAAGCCTTTCCTGCTTCTGTCTACCTTATTCATACCTGATCATAGTTTTCTTCATCATCTTTGCCATACCCACTGCCAATCTGTGTGTAAAGATAAAACAGTAGGTTCAAGACGAAGTTTTTATCTCAAGCACTAAGCAATTAGGACAGCCAGCTATAGGGAACAGAATGTAAGTGCACACCCATTTCTGGACAATTTTAGGTGACAATTTTCGACTCGTAGACCTTGTGTCTACTTTTCATACACAAATACCTTAATGACTCCCCCCCTCCCTTCCCCCAATACCTGAATAAATTCCCAGTAGAGGTGAAATTATATAAGATGACACTAATTGCAAACAAATTCTAATAAAATGCCGGACTTACATAAGCAACAAAACCTAATCATCATATGATTTTGCTGATTAGTTCAGCAAAAACATCTATTGAGTTACAAAAGCGTTGAATTGTGGAGCCCGCTCAATTGTGAAGGATGTGAATTTTAGATCATAGTATAAAGCTCCCAAATAGGGCAATCACTTGCCTTCAGAAAAAATCCTTTAAATTTCATGGGGAATTTCTAGAAAATATCTCAGATTCGTAAACAAAATTATTTTTGCTAAAAGAAAGTCATTGCCACCATTCTCCAAAAAACAATACCTTGTCGATATATCAAGTATGGTTCTTCTGTGTCTCTGTTTTGTGTATCTAACTGTGTTTTCAAATTTAAAAATTTCCTTGGAATTCTCCTTAATTTTGAATTGCTCAAAAATTTCTTTAAAGATTTCAAAATTGCTCAGCTCACGGGCATTTGCTTAAAAGTGAAAGCTTTGATACCAGCAATCATTTAGATATCCTAAAGTTTGAAAGAATAAATCGTTTAAAGTTTTCTTGATTTACCTTCCCTGCCCTGTGTTTTTTCCAGTTTCTTTGAATTGTAAGTGCAGCATTATTCTCTTTTCTTTCTCTCTTCTTCCTTTCATCTGAAGAATCAGTGCTTTTTTTCTTTGAGGCTTTCTTACTGCTTGACGTCGATAACACCGATTCACTCCTAAAAGACAGACCCTTTCTGGTGTAAGTATGAGTACAGAAATCTCACAAGCTTAACAAGTAGCTAAGACAGGTGATGTGAAGTAGCTGTTTTTGTCAATTAAGTCAATAACTAAAATGTCCTCAAATGGAGCTAGCTTGGGGTTTACTTAAAACTGGACTTCGTGCTAATTTGCGTTGTATTATATTAAATACGACAATGGCAAAAATGACAAGAATGTTGATACTCAATAGCAAATTGCAAATGAATAGGAGAAATTTCTTAGCTAAAAACAACAAGATACCATACCGTAATTTTCCAAGGTCCTCTGTCGCTGGTTTTATTGTAACATTTTCCCCTGACTTTACATTCCCTAGCTGTGATCTGATCGAAAAGAAATTGGTATCATTAATGTCAAAATTGACTGTAAAATGCCCTTGTCAGTCATAATTGGTCGACTTTCTGTATGGAAAACATAAAAGAAATGAAAAACAGAAGAAAAAGAAAGGCATCGGATGCTTATGCTTTGTAAAAGAGAAGGGTTTAGGCAAAAGCAAAAGCACTCTTACCAAGGAAGATACTTACAAAAAATTTGTTAGAAATTTACACTGTAACCATAAGTAGCCATACAGAGAGAGACAATATACGAGAAATAAACAAACAGGGTGATTTCACCAGACGAAACAGGTTTTAGGTAAAGTATGTTTCGAAAATGTTTCTGTGCAAGACCGATTCTGCAAATTTCACCTAACGAACAATATCTGCCAAAAGTCCTTGGAAAACCTTGAGATTTTTGTGAATTTGCGTGTTCCGTGCTATTTCCATATAAAAAAGGATGATGTTACCCCCCCCCCCCTCCCCCACATATAATGTTTATTCGCTAGTTGAAACCCATAGCTATGTAAAAGTGCTTAACTTGTACATGTAGAATCATTCATATTTCCGAGGCACAACATTGTATGAGGGATGAAGGGATGTTGCAGCTCGTGCACAACGTAAATTATAGCAAGCTTTCCAAGACTTTTGGCAGGCATCGTAGATGAGTCAAAGGTTTTTTTGTAAATTTTAGCTTACAAAATAATCATTTTATCCCTGCAAACCTGTATTCATCAGCAAGCTTTCGATAATGTGTCCTATCCTCTTTCAGCTTCGAAATTACATCTTTCTGCTTGTCAATCTCATCTAGAAGTTCGTGTTCTCTCTCTTCTAATCTTTTTATTTCTTCACCTGCCTTTCCAGGGAATCGTTCTAAAAAGCGAAAACAGCATATACTTGAGGCATAAACATACATAAATTCGCTTCAATAAAATTTAGATTTTGAAAACATTCGAAAAGTTATAAAAAAACTTCCATACGTACTTGATTGTGAAGGACTTCGTTTAGCACGAGGAGTCTCCGGGTCTTTGCCACCGCTATCCTCTTCTCTTATTTGCTAGATGAGGAAAATCAAACAGTTTTCAATACGTTGTTACAGTCACTCTAAAAAACATTTTACTGCGTCTAATGAAAGAAAAAACTATTTTTGATTGCAGGCGTCACAAAATGTGCAAGAAAACAGAGAGTATTTGACAGAGATAAAAAAATGAAATTTCATTCCTAGCGAATGGTCACAAATATCATAACGAAAAGAAAACGTTTTATTTTTGAAAAATTTAATTCGATAGTGTGATGATGCCGTTTGACATTTCAGTCTCTTCGAACACGAAAAGATTCAATAAAATTCGGCAAAGTCTAACCCCTTTTTTAACGCCCTTCTTTCAGAGGATTCTAAAACAGCCTCTTTAATGAAAGCTCTGCAAATAGAAATCCCATCTTTAAAATCACTTTTAGACACTGAAATTTGTTCCTTTAAATGTGAAGCTTTTTCATAAATCTAAATCATAAAGCCTCATATTTTGTTCTGTTCTTAAATTTAAAAACGACCCCCAACCTGTTCAAGCTGAGAAATTTTGGCTAGCAGCTCCATTCGATTCATGTCTTCGACATCTAGGAAACATAGAATAACGTAATAAGGCGGCAAATAACAACGTGATAAAAAATCCTAGATCAATTTAACTAAACTTCTTTGATAAAAAAAAGTTCAACGGGAAGCATAAGTTATTGAGAGTTAAAGCAAGTTGAAATGGAGGTTTTTTGTCACGCTGGGAGCACCATCTGAAAATTCATACAAAAAATGGGTAAATTTACATTATAACATCGCATTATGGTTTAAAAAAGAAATATGGAGGTGAACAAGGGTTAAATAAGGACTAAGGTATAGAGAATGAAGATCTAACAGCTAGTTGTAAGTAGCAAGGTTTTGTCTGTTAGGTTGGTTAGGTAAGCTTTACTCTAAATGCCTGAGAAGAAAGCTTTTTATTGATGGATTATGTTTGACAAGGTTCAACTTGATACTAACTGATCAAGATACTAACTTATAAGCAAAACACTTTCCGTGAAATAACTCAAGGAACCAGTCCAATTACCCTGGGTACCAGAGTCTCCCCGGATTTATGAGGCTCACTCATTTTTTTGCCACCGCAGTTGTCTAAAATATTTTACCCCCGGATTTATAAGCCTGTGGTACACAGGGTACATTTCAATAAGGTAGCAACCGATGGCTGATTACAAAAGATAGGTCCAAACCCCTTCAGTTATAGAACAGTGGCAAATTCAAACAACCACGTAAAAGAATTGCCTTCCATAATTATAATTGATATGATCAATTTCAAAAGCCGTGTTGAAGAAAACTTCTAATATGTTTTTTAAACGTGAACAGCTTCAGCTGAAATAGTAGTTACTTTATCAAAACAGTGAAATAGAAAATTTGTGACACCTGGAACAAGAGGAAAATTATGGTACACCAGCATTTTAATATCATTGCTTAGGCTTCACATTCTTTTACGATAGTCACCCTACTGAGACCCAAAACAGGCTGAAAAGATCCAAGCATTCAATATTACTATACAGAAAGTCTTTCTCACCTTTTGTTACGTTCAAAGTTTGTAAATTCAGCTCCATTGTTTTTTTCAAATCTTGTTTCAACGATGAATTTTCTAGTATCAGTCTGTTGTTGTCCTCTGCAAAATACCATAATCAGCTCTTTAGAGAGACAGTCAATCACAACGAGAAAAGTAGCCCACAAAAATGATGAAACTTTCTCATACGATGTATATGATATCGATGTAAGATATGTGAATTATATAACTTACATCAATGTATAGCTTTGGTGTACAGAACAGGACGGTTCTAAATCGCAACTCCGAGTTTAACATTTAATGCGTCAGGCACTCAATGCAGTCACTATGCTTAATGAGAACATAGGGCACATTTGCCTGACGATCGCACTGCCTTTACGGCATCAGGCACTTTACAACAGAAAGGTAGACAGCAATTTTCTTTAGGTTGCATATTATACAAAATGCGTATTCTAATAATTTCCATACATGCTCTGTTTTTCAACTTCACTATTTTTTTACTATGTTTTCTTAATGTATTACCACCTACAGAGATATCATTATTAATAGCATCATTATTACTTTTTATGAACGCACATGTTGAGTAATAAACATGGATACAACGTAAAGCATGTTCCAGACACAGCAGGAATGAACGATTGTTGATAAAGTAAATATAAAAACTTAAATGGTTCAGTTCGAGCCATCTTCACATTTTTTGTGGTACCAAAACTTAAAAGATTTAATGATAAAAAAGATGTCATTTTACGACAAAAGATGACGCACTAAGAAAGAAAAACATGTTTACCTGACAATGATTCAACTGCTTCGCTATATTTTTTTATTTTCCCTTCCGCTGTCTTCTCTTTCTTTATTCTGAAAAAAATCTTGTGCCGTGAAAAGAGGTACTCTGAAGAGTTAATCAAGATAACAGCAACCTTATTGAAGTATAATTATGACAGGTTTACAACAACAACCAGAGTGCAGCAATCTAAATTTCTTGGTAAAACAGCAGAAATCTAGACTTCATAAAGAACTTTAATTTAAGAGTTTGAAAGAATCTAAAAAAGCTTAAGATTTCAGTTACGAGCAGAAGGTACAAAAATTGGAGAATGTTATCCATTCTATCAAAGTCAGCAAAATAAAAACTTGAAAATGGCTTTGAAAAAAGCAAACATTTGAGTAAACTAAAGCTTTTAGTCTGACACTCTTCAGAGTTGAAAACGTCAGAACATAGATCGAAAACTCTACGCTAGGAAAAATATAATAAAAACTGCAAATTGCATACTCTGACGTAATCTGCAAAGTGTTCGCACTTCGAGGTTCTGTTAGCAATCTTGTCAGCCTTTGAATCTGTAACATAATAACATGTTTGATCGTTTATACATAGATCATAACCATATACTAAATAGTTTCACTCAAACTTCAATCATATCGAATCCTTGTGACTTCATCAATGTGAAATAAAAACAGACAATACATCATTCGTTCCAATATAAAACACAAACAATCTTGAGGCTCAAACAATTTTGATTTTTTAAATTAAGTATTCCAAAACTTTAAAATGTCTATTAATAAGGACAATAAAACCCAAAGTTGCAAAAATTGCAGAAAAACAAGAAGTTATTGTACAATGCCTTCTTAATCTCATTTCCAATTGGTTGGAGATGTATGAGACAGTGATTCTTACGAAAAATAATGAATTGAAATTCAAAAAAAGAATCAACACAATTAGTGACTTTGTAAAAAATCACGGTGTCAAAACATTGATTTAAAAGCAGTAGACATGGATTGAGATGAATATAGCCGAAAATTCTTCCGAAAAAGGTTATGATTCTCTAATATTACTTACCTCCTGATAACACACTTCATTTTGCATCTGGAGTTCCGCCATGTCGGAGTATTGCATGTCATTTTTCAATTTGCTGAATTAGAAGGAGAAAATTTACAAGATGCCAATGAGATAAATGACAGAATTTTTAAATGATAACAAAAAAGATGAACTGTCTAACAGAAAGCAGAAAGTAGACACGGGGAGGAGGGAAAAAACGAATCGAAATAAAAGCATAAAAAATGTTTTCATAAAAATGGCAAAAAACTAAAAATTGTTCAACATTATTTAAGCTATTGTAAAAAGAAAGTGGGCAAACACTAGACAAAGCAATATTAGAAATTAATGCTGTCGAGATTTATTTCAATACGCAATGCTACCGTTTCTGATTGGCCTATTTCGACCCACAATTGGATAGCTATATATATTTCCAAGAGTCTTCGATCTATGTTTATAATCTGAAGAGTGTCAGACGATAAGCTTTAGCACGTTTCAAAATGTTTGCTTTTTTCAAAGCCAGACTTACTTCTGTAAGGCTCTTGAATACCAGATAAGAATTATTGGGATGTTTGAGAAAAAATGGTAGACAGGTTGTTAGGAATAAAGTATTGAGAAAAATACCAAAAAATCTCTTTAAAATATAGCTTTTTGCTGTGTTGAACAAGATTTTGCAGTTTTAGTAAAAATGTGCGTGACTGAATAAGATTTGATGATTTTCTGGTTATGTGTTGCTGCTTCAGTGAGGTATTAACAAAAGGAGGCATTAACATACCTTAGTTCACTGTCTTTGTTTTTTACGACTCTTTCGACGGAATGAAGCTTGTGCTTCAAACTTTTTATAACCTTTGCAATTGAAACAAAAACATTCATCAACAAGGATAATCGTAATCAACTCCAACCAGAACAAAAATATGTTCAATTATCTACATTCTGGACAGCTAAGACCTAGGGAACTGATGAATATAAATACCTTTCTGCGATAGATATCAATTGGCAGAGAATCAAAATACTCATAATACAAATACAAATAGGAATGCTGAAAAAAGGAAAAGATTTTCTGTACAAAAATTAGGAATATATACAAACGGGATCTTACCGCACTAGAATCTGCCTTTTTGTCGGTTAGAGTTCGTCGCATTTCGTTTGTCTGAGAAGAAAATAGGCAAAAACTAGCTTATTTCATAAACTTTCTGAAACATCTAATTCTCTAATTAATTCATTTCTGGAACATCTGAAACATAAATGCTTTTAGAGCAAGCCAGAAAAATCATTACTGATAATCAAAATACATTTCAAATATGTGGCACATCTCAAATGCCCCTACAGTATACCCTCCCCCGGGCCTACAGTACCAATATCTTCTAGGAGGGGGGGGCTGTCTAAAATTTGCTACTGTCTACGTCTTTCAGCTGTTTTCAACGTATTTTACATTTATATCATTGAGACTTTTGAGTAAACAGCTATACTGATACATAAGAAAACCTTAAAATAGGCGATAAACACACTAAGACGTTGGATTTTTCAGCTTCACAAGCATTTCTGTACAGGATAAATGCATCGACATTTCATGACGAATGTCTCGAAATAACCAATTGCATCTGCGATGCATTCTTCGATCAACAAATGGGAGTCTTGTGATAGACCTAGCCTTCAGTAGGATAATAAATCTTTAATCAGACACGGATAACCAATTAGCTGTTCTTTCATCGATTAATTTCTCCAGTCAATCACAAACACTCCGTTATAGCATAACATTCACATCATAAAAATTTTCATTAGCTGCTAATATGACTTTAAACGAAACAGTTGATGTAAACGAAGTGGTAAACAAAATGGGCTGGTTATTCAATCTAGACAGTGCAAAGTAAGAAATAAAATCGAAAAAACTTCCTACCTGCATGTTTGGGTTTATCAGCTCTTCAATTTGACGAGCCTGCATGGCGTCAAAAAAGAAAAACTTACTGAAAATGTAGTAGATAGGAATCGTATTTGATAGATAAAAGACCTATCTAGGCGCAGGTTTCGTTGCTTCAACGCGGACTTAAATGATTACAATTTAAGGTTAAACTGATAAAGGATACAACAAGCAACCAGACTGGTCTCCTTCTTGGAAATCTTACCAAATGTCAAAGATTCTCACGAAATCAAATCTCAGGATACAAGCTGATGTTTGCTTTATGGTCCAGAAACAGTTCTAATTTGCTTCTAGAAAAACGTTTAGAAGAACACTTTCAAGCCCTCCACAAATGATGAAAGTAAATACAATTGTAATTTGCCGAAATTTGGATGCATTTACCTTTACAAAATTGTCTTCTTCCACCTTGTGCATTTTCAATTTGATAACCTCGTTCTCTCTCATTAGCTGGTTGATTCGCTAAAAGAGAAGCGAAGAAGAAATATTCGCATGCGGTCCCAAAATAATGTTTTATATATCATATATAACAGATTTCCTTTATTAACTTTGTGACAAAACTTAAATTTCGATTCAAAGCCACAAATCGTTACAAATATTCATAATTCAAATTCATTCGAAGGCATCTATCAAATAACATAAAAATCAAAATTTTGAGGGCTAGTTTCTGAAAAGTAAGCCAGTCTCATTTTTCAAAAGTAAGTTTGTACTCTCAATTGGTCAACTCTAACTTGGTTCTTCAGTGAATAAACTTGACAGCTTTTCGAAAACTACAGGAAATACATAATTATCTCATTTATGAATCTAAAACTGATATTTTCTATCCTGCAACAACTTTAGATAACCATTAAATGACTTAGAAATAATCTCATGGCTCCAAGACTTATAAATCTTGATATTTGCTAGTCACTTTAATCATTTAATTGTTTGCTTGAAATGTAAACACTTAATATTCATAGCAAAGCAATACATCGATGCAAGTAAAGCACCAAACAGAAATATTAAGTTTAAGGACCTTCTTGAGTTCAATGACTTCATCGTAGTACTCCTCTGCAGTTTTGTAAGCCGGGCCATTACCACCCACACGAACTAAAACAGAAACAAAACGAAATCTCGGTGATATCATCTTTTGTAATCGATTTTAGGATGATATTTCACGGATCGAAAATCTAAAATCCTGAAAAAAGTTGAGATTTTGAATTTAAGAAAACATTGAGATTCAAATAAATAAAAAAATATCAATTACCAACCCTTATTTAATGTTTGTATTCTATATTCTATAACTAGATGATATGACTAAAAATACAACACCGAATTCGAGAAAGAAGGCAACAGCTAGACAGTGTTTTTAAATGCTGATTATTAGTCCCTTGACGTCATGAAATGAATTCTTGAATACTAAATAAAAATACTTCTTAAATATATTTAAGGTGTCGGCAACTTAATCTAGCCTCCTTTCCCTGAAATTTTACATACATTAACTTAACTATTCTTTAGCAGCAAGAGGAAACTCCTATTGATTATCAATTGATACCCGTTATAAACCTTCTATCACTAAATATGATTTGTGACGAGAAATACTTTTGGTCATTACGAGATTTACGATATTTTACACTTTGAAAATTCTCGACAAACGATCGAGTTTCTAAGAATTAGGTATTCCAATTTAAGTATACATTACCCTTACCGTTAGTTGAGCTGGCACTCCTAACGTGATTTTTCCCTGGCCTACCCGTCGCCTATGAAAGTACAAAAAACCTAATGAAACAGTCAAGATATATACTTGAACCACACGATTCTACGGGAGTACTTTATCTCGTTTGAAACAGAATTCCATTATTGGTTACATCTGTAAGATACGGTATTAAATCCATATATTTTGTAATATGGTTCCGCTGTTTTGAGTTGGGAATTTTCTAAGTAATATGGGCATTCATTTATGGAAAATATTTCATCCATAAAAGGTGGATTCCATAAAATGATTTGTAACATAAAAAATGAGAAACACTGAATTACAAGAACGAAATTTTTATGCTTCAAACACAAACGTCTGTGCAGAAAACATTGGTCGTGCATTGGATAAAAAACGTGAAAGAACTGGCAAACTTGAATAAAAATTTAGTAAGTAAGTAAACAAGCTACACCAATAACAAATATGTAACATTTAAATATGAAGTATGTTTATTCAGAAGATGCTACTACTGCAAAGCAGAATCTCATTGTCTTACCATCAACAGCTGGTCAAGAAGGAACGCACTGGTGCTAGCCATGGCTTTCGACTGGCCTGGTGGGGCCTTTGTTCCATTCCACGTGCTCATGGCACTGCTCTCTGCACTCATACCTATATAGACAAAACTGCCTTTAACTCGAGTCTTTGGCACCGTTTCTGGTTAAGATAACCAAGGATTTTCACCAAAAACAGTAGCCCTGCATTAAAAATTTATAATGCACACAAATTTGCTATTTGGGTTCATATAACTGCAGGAAATGTTCGTTTGGAGTTAATGTTTTTGGTTAGTAATTCATTTAAATGTGACCTTGATAAAATCTGGTTTTCAAAGCGTACGTTGCGAGAAAGAAGCGTTTTATTGACAAGAAAGACGCATTCTCTGATAGAAACATCAATCTTTGTGCAAATACTTAACAAAATCTAAAATCATCATTTTCATGGTAGGCTATAACTTTGTGGATCATGGTAAACAAAAACATGCTACGATTTGAAAAAGAGGCCGCCGATTTTAACATACTGTTAGTTGTCCGTTTAAAACGTATTCAGACGTATTCAGACCCTGTACAGAAAAAATTACATCCTAGCACAGCATAGTTCATAAGCTGTACAAGGTCTTCAAGTTCTGTTTCTATGCAAACTATTTTGAAAACAAGTGACTGTGGCAGCAGCAGCAGCGGCTAAAGCCCCTAAATTGTTTTCAAACCTATACTTAAAACAAACAAAACTAATCTTCCTTTCAGCCCTTTGCATATTTAGCCCCCACCCAAATGTTGCTTTCTACTCTGTTACTTGCAAAATATGTTCAATTGCTACTGTGTGTGTAATGTACGAAATAAAAAATGTGCAAAAGCATTTCAAAAAGTTACTGTGCATTGAAAGCAAGCAAGCCAACAATGGCAGGCAGTTGGGAAGAGAGGTTGGGGGAAATGATATTTTTTGATATGATATTAGTATTGAGATGATATTTTGACTACAATGATAGGACAATTGTCTAGAATATACTTTTGCATGATGGCTAATTCTTTCCTCAATGTCTTTACTTTTTTCCCTCCCTTGTGTTTTCAACAAGTTCTAAATAACTTGGCAAGTTCGCAGGCATCATAATTATAAATCAAACCTGGTTGAAATCTAAACAATCTGAAGATTGGTCAAGAGCCCCTCTTTTGTAATCAAAATCTTAGACATGTGGTTCTTAAAGGAACTAACAAGTTTGAGAATGATCAGGTGAAGCTTACCATTTCCTTGTCTGATTGATGCAACCCACAGTTCTCTTCCTGTCTTCTTTGCAGTCCCTGACTTGCTTCCAATATAAGGAGATTCTGAAGAGAGCAGCTAAATCAATAAATAAATGGCATTTGTCCCTGCTTTTAAGGAACCAAATTGAAGAAACAATATCCTTCCATTACAACAGTTACAAATTACTGTTCAAATAAGATGAAAAATACTGTGGTGACCTGAGAGGGAAAAATATGATTGTGGAGAATTCCAAAAGAATAATGTTGTATGTATTTCAATGAATAAAATTATAGCATGTGTCTTAGAAATAATATTCTTACCTTGTTTTTTTACTTTTGAAGCTCTTTTGGCATTTCCTTTTGACTTTTTAGTCCCTTAAAAAAAATATTGCCTTTACCGTCATAAAAATTCTAACAGAATTTAAGATCATTTCATATAGCTTTAGCTGCACTGCCATTGAATAAATTTTATTCATAAGGATACTGGTTTTACAACATAATGCTTCCATGATATTCAAATATTTCACTTCTTAAATTTTTGGAATCCAATGCATTAGAGAAGGAGCCAGAATTTAGGTTTAAATTATAATAAAAAACATGAAAACTGGAACAATCTTAATATTATTTGAATATAATGCAGGGGCAGGCTTTTCTACAAACACATGTTTCTTAAATTTCCCAAACTGAGTCTCTAATTGTTCTTTATAGCAAAAATTTCATAGCACCTTTATTGACAAAAGCTCTGATTTAACATATTTTTTGTTTCTAAATGGGATTTTTTGTTAGAGCCAATCATGCAAGAACTTCAGAATAATCTTTCTAGAAAATCAATGTTACTCATTAGAAGTAATGAAAAATCAATGTTACATGGAAAAGTTACCTTGTGGGGGCCTTGGTGAAAACCCACCATCTGAGCCAACACTTCGCTAAGATTAAAAGGAAACAACAAACTGAAAAGTATAGAACTAAAGTATAGAAGCAATTACATCAACCAAAACTAAAGGGCAGTAGCTCCCAAAATGAGTTGGCTTTTGTAATAAATCAAGTAATGGAGGTTTCAGTTGCTTTTTATTCATGATGGCTTATTTACGTGTGTGATAACAGGTAGTGTGATGTGTTTCATTTGTTAATAAATACCTCTTTATATCTTTAGTGTTTGGATCACCTTTTAGGTGAGCCAGTCTTACTGTTTTGATAATAGAGCATCTAAGAAGGAATACATCTTTTGAGTATTATCTATTTGGGGCCTAGATTCACATGGATGAATAATTCAGAACCCTCAGAACAATACTCATATTTGCAGTTGATGTCAGATATAAAGTCAATTAGTTGTAGAACTTAATTCATTCCACAACTCACTTTACAATACTTCAGCAATCAAAGCATTTCTCAAAGGAGACTAAAAGTCAGAATCCATGACAAGATATCTGCATTTATAGTGACAGGTCTCCAAAAAATATTATTAAATAACCATATAGGACGATAGGAATTACTTAATAGATATGTACATAATTCTAATATATCAAATAGGACAGTATTTAAACATTAACTCAAATGCCAATATTGAACAATGCTAAAGCATTTTGCTCAATGAATAAATTAGTGAACAATACAAAAACAAATAAACACAATACTAATTTAGCAACAGCAAAATGTGAAAATCAGAGGAATCTCAACATAAAAAGTGTTAGATCAAATCTTATAGAAATTCTATGAACACTAATCTCTAAATAATTAAATATGCCAATATTGCTTTTACTCCAAAATTACTATGAATAAATTAATGCAGCATGCCTACCAGATATTACTTTTGAACATTTTAGTGTGGTCTGCATTTTGAAAGGAGCAGACTTAACAAATAGGTATTTTGTTTCAACTGCTGTTTCCAAATATTGTTTACTGTATACTTAGATACATTATCCCACATTTGCTGGTCAAATTTGCTATAAGATTTTACCCTTGCCCTCCTCGATAAAAACAATGTCAAAAACATGAAAACCCTATAACAATTTCGATTTCAAATTTTTGATGATCTGCATTTCTTCTACTTTAGAGACTACAGTAAGTATACATATTGAAAAATTCCAAGATTTTCAAAATCATTTACCAGAGAAATAACAGAGCCAAAAGATGCCTCAGAGAATCTGTCATCGTCCTAAAAAGAAAAGAGTTGTGCAAATTTAATTAAGTTATGACTCACTTCACCTAAATGTTTCTATTGCTACAAAATTTGTTAGTTATTACAACCAAGTAGAGGGAAGGCCTATTTATTGCAACAACAAACTCCATCGACAGACAGAGGCTATGTTGAAGGTCGAAAAGGCGGTGTTTTGGGAGTTTCGCCTGGGCTGTAGAAAAAGGTTTCGTATCATAAAAAGCTTACCTGCATTATTCAACAAAGTTGTGAACCATAAACAAAATGTTCGCTGCATCACAACCTATCGTAAGGCACTAGAATAATGATCAACCATTGTTGCCTAGGCCAAATAACAACGTGCCTTCGCAGTTACTTGTAGCGCCGCATCATCAATGGAGAAGTGACGTAATAATATATACAACAAAATTGCAAAGATAAACAAAATTGACTGATTTGAATAAGTTGAAAGCTTAAAGTTATAGCAAGGCTATGTTAAATAAATAGGGTTTATGTGGCCCGGTATGCAAGAACGATTCAAAACTGTCGGGGAACAGACAAAAAGAGGCCAAGCCAGTAAATTTGGATTTTGCATTGTGGAGTTTGAATTCAAGCATGCTACCACTAACCAGAGATGGCGCCACCGGGGGTGCTTGGGGGGGGGGGCAGGAGCCCCCCAAAAATTCATTGAGCCCCTCCGTCGGCACTTCAATTTTTGAAAAATTTTAAGCAATGTTGGCACTTTCATAACTTCCACTTCGTTATCTTTTTTATTTTTTTTTCATTGTTTGATTTTTTTCTCAGTTTTTTTTCATTTTTTGAACTGGAATTACCACAGTGTAAATGGTGTTATATTAGATCTTTGTTGGTGGTTCACTCACTGTCGGCACTCTGACATTACAGCCCCCCAGCATTTCTTTTCTGGCGCCATCCCTGCCACTAACATAAGTTTTCTAGCCTTCTGATGCAACTTAATATCAATTGATTTCTCAGTCCTTCTGATGCAACTTGTCATGATCCGACCAAGAACACTTTATAAATGACAAGTGTAAAAGTGCCGGTGGTTGGAACCAAAGAAGATGAAGTTAGATAAATCTGTTGTATAAGAAATAACTATAAACGGGTCCTTGTGAAACGATATACAGGCAATACATAACCAGAAACCAGATGAAACAGTTTCAAATCCAACAACTCAAATTCTTCCGTCTTTCGATATATTTTTTGCTGATAAACGTCAAGTTAAGATTCGTCGTGCCAAAAAATTTTCGGTCACCTAGTTCTTAGATCTAAAATAGGACATGCTAGCATCATGACCGGGAATCTCTGAATCAATATATTTAGATAAAAGAAAAATAAAGACTAAACATCGGTATCAAAGGTTTATTTTCTGAATGGCTAGAGCAGCAGGTTTATGCCGCATCACCTTCCATTTAAAATTTTGTTATATTCATCTGCCATCTTAGAAAAATTTGTCTGGACAAACTGCAATTTTTGAAAATGCAAGTAAAAATTGTTACAGGAATAATTTTAGCAGCCCGACACCCCATCCATTGAAATCAAAATTGGAGCTGTAACCACGATCCTAAGAGCAATTCAAACAATTTCAACATTAAAATGGAGGGGCTATTGGTAATACTCTTCCCTTTTTTGATGTTTATTTAAAAGAAACCAACCAGTTATCCGGGATTGTAGATATTAGTCTCGCCCTCGTATCGATGTGGAGATGATCGCGCAAGAAAATGTCATGCAACATGAACTGAACGCATTGCTAAACAGCCCTGTACATATTACAGAGGCCCCGCATTTACATTCAACCTTCATTTGTAACTGTATTTTAAGGGCGAATTGAGAAAGCAAAAAATTGTGAAGCGAATTGAAACACCTCCTTAACAGTAGCGTAGCCAGGGTAGGGAGATTCTCTTAAGGAATTAGTTGAAGAGACAGTTGCGTATTCAACCAAGCACATTTATAATCTTGTTATCGTATTGATTGATGTTATCGTAAAAATATCGATTGATTTTCGATACTCTTTTCAAAAGCCGTTTCATTTTGGCAAATTAAATCCATTTTATTGTTTTTCTGCTGTAGCTAATGTGTTTGTACATAGAGAGAACAACTTAACGTGCCGCACATCTCACCAATTTAAAGTTGTCAGGAAGGGGCATACGATCCTTTGTTCCTAGGTAATTACTAGACCTACAAACAGAGTTGTCATGATCATTTAGCTTAATTGTGAATGTAGACAAATTCGATAATTCATCGTCCTAAGCAAGGTTACTCTTCGTCTTTTGTGTTACTGCATGACACTTGTCAATATTTGCCATCTCTGTGTCAAGCTGGCATTGTATTCTGCACCCACTAAGAGCAAAACAATCTGACACAGCCTGCTGTACACAGACGTTAGTTACTACAAGCAAGAAAATAAGCTTCAAATTCGTAAAACTTTAGGCATTCTACGCTTAGAGGTCGATTTGTTTACGTTATCTTGCTTGCTTGCTTAGAGCTGCCTTGGACAAGATTGGTGACGGCAGTGCTAAATTGATTTTAAGTACCTGCCTATATACATCTACAGATATCTCTTCTCTGGATGAGCAATACGATCGCTGGCTTTGCACAATCGACTGAACAGACTACTTCAAGGTAAAGTTACAAGCTTTGTTTTTCTACTGTTCTGATCAGTTATGAAATAGCCAATCTTCCCTTTAAGAGATTCTCTCATAAAGACATAACGAAATCATCAGAATAGCAATGATCATGTGACTCAATGCAAAGCCTATTTTTACCTGCAATTTGATTCATTTCCCTACGTCTGGACATTCTAAAACAACATCAATATGGGGGTTTTTCCTTTTACAATTAATATCAGAATTTCATTACAATCTTCAGTCATTCTGTTGTTAACTCTACTTCAGAACTTGCATACTAAACATAATTATGTGCAGACGTGACTGAACATAAGACATGAGAATTTTCATTTCAACCAATAAAGAAATACAATCAACGAAAAAGTAAAACTAATGAAATCTAGTGGGTAAAATAATGTAAAACTAATGGATGAAAGAACAAAAAATTATTTGAATTGGAGTGGAATGCCTATATTGAACTGAAACAAGTGATCAAATTGAATCTTTTATAAATAAACCAAATGGTTAGGAAGGGATCTAATAGTAGATCTAATTCATATACCCCATCTGACTGTGACAGTAATATATTTGCTTCTTATCTTTTAGCAGCATAATACCTCGATGCTTGAAACTTTTCTATCTTCATTTATATGTTTTTCAATTGGAATTTCTCAAGTTTCAATTCTATTAAAGATTGCCTAAATAGCTCTTAGCGCCAATGGAGAAATGCTAAAAAGATCCTTTGCGACTTGTAAATATTCATCGACAATTTTTGAAAGTCCATATGATATTGGATGATATTTGGAAAAAAGTCTTGTTGCATTACTTTTTCAGTTGACTTTACAGTTACTGGCAGCAAGCTAATTAATAATAACTTGAGCTTGGATACGAGTTATGGTATGGAGATGCCATTCAAAGCTGATTTGTTGCCAGCGAAGGCAATCTGAAAGAAAAGCAACCTCATAGGAGAAGTCACATTAGATTTTCAAATATATTCATCAAGTATTATTTGACACCTAATGAAGGCTCGTTATCGAGATTGCAAGATGATGAACATGATTCTTTAAAGCGAAATGGTTGGAAGCCATCTATAACGAGCTGCATATGAATTTGTGTTCAGGTATACCTAACCTAAGCTGCATTTTGTACATGAATATATCTAAAAGATTGCTATTGCAATTTTCTTAACAACAGTAAGCACAAAAACGCGTTTTCATGTTTATCATAAGCGTTTATCTAAGCCAAACATTTAATATCACCTTGGCAACACGTTATGTTATGATCATGGCGAATGCAAAAATTCCTGACAGCTGTGCACGTTGTTTGTGTAAGCTTATAAAAGATTATGAAGGCTATGTAAATAAGCCATTGGAGTTGGGTTAGTGACAATTTTTCATAGAGAAAGGCAATTTTTACCGACTTTGAGGCTGAGGGAGGCCCGCCTTCGAAGTGGCTGATAGAATTTTTAGTGACTTGCCTCCTCTCGAAGTGCAATTTCCCTCCCCTGTTCTTATTTCATTTGACTCCCCGAGGCTCTGATACCTAGGGTAGCCCCCTGAATACTGTATATGTTTTGCTAGTCAACACACTCAATTCTCCATTCTAAAGGAATGCCTGTCTCAAATTAGATGCAACAGAGAGCGCTTAGCCATACAGTGATAGTTAACTTTCAGGCCCTAGCATAGATCTACATTGAAAAGACACATGAATCAATTCGGTTGCTGTTCTTTGGTAAAAATTACACCTACCGAGCTCTAGAAATTGCAGTTTGGATTAGCAGTTCATTTTCTATTATTGTAAAGGGAGTTGAAAAATTGAAGTGGAAAAGAAAATCATTGTAAGAAGTATAAAACCTGTTGTTTTGTGCACCCCGTGAGTATGGTGTTTTTCAAGTCAGCTTTGTAACCATGCCTGTGCGTCCTAATAGATAATCCTTAACATAAAGTCGAAGTGCGTGTGGCTAGCAAACAAAGCTAAAACTTGGTATGATGTGGAGAAATTTAAAATATTTCTACTACGATACAGGTTTGAAAACGAAGGCAATTACTATGCAAATGATGTTCAATTTCTGGCTAAAGAAAGCCAATCGAAGTTTTGTCATGGCTGAATCCAAAGACTACTAGAAATTATTGGTCGCTAAACTAAAAATCCGTAAGAAAAGATCACTCTAAAAATGTGGTAGGTCTTATTTTAGAAAAGGTCTTATTTTTAGTCTATTACACATATAATTAAAATGAAAATTGATACGATTGTGTTACACCTTAGTCATGGTTGTACTTTTTGTATTTTGACAACTATCTTTTGACATTATTCACATTTCTGTTTACTTATTTAACATTTTGTAATAACGATGAGTAGTATTTTCTTCAAGAATTAGAATAATATAGATAGCAATTTTCAATAGATATTTTTATAAGAATATTATTTGAATGAATATTCAGGCTAAAAATCATCCAGTTTTTAAGAATATCATATGCATGTTACGCGATATTCAAAGCAGAGAATCGGAGAACTGACATATTTCTTTTTATCTGAAGGAACTACTTAGGAATGAAGCACCAAAGTTGCAATCCAGCAATTAATTATCGACTTCAAAAAGCGTGGTTTTTATTCAAGAATGGGCGATGTTCCCCTAAAACCATATCAGATTTGTAAAATTAGAATGCTTTAAGAATTCATCCAGGCTCAAAATGAAATTTTCTTAAGAATTTTCAGTCTAGATAAATTTTTTAGTATGCATACAAAAGCCTCTCAGAGAAGTCAGTACCACTAAGTAACATAAATCAGGTTTTTATAACAGCTTAGAGCGAGCAGAGAGGAGCTGTTACTGTTATTAAAAACAAAAAACAATGCATTTCGGCCATGGTTTCAATTAAATTCTCCCGTCTTGTCGGTTTGATTTTAAAATGAAAGAGTAATTTGAAAAACTTGCTGATTGTGGGAATGTTAGTCTTTCCAGAGGAAAGAAAATTTGCGCTACCTTGGTAACATCCCATGCCAGTGGTGATAGGAAATTAAATTCATAAGTAGCATAGTTCATAGGTGCAAGCTTTACTAAGTTGCCTTCACGACCAGCGAATTCAATGTGAATCACTCAATGTCTGTGAAGGAATGAATTCTAAAGATCTCTTTCAATATTGCAAAGTCTTTGTTGTCCTCTTTAAACAATGGAGCAAAGAAACTGATACTGTTTAGTCAAAGCACAAAAAACAAAGAGTCGGAGCTCAATGGCTTGCATACCAGTCGAGCCGTATCAATTTCATTAAAATAACTAAAACTAACACAATTACGGGCTGGCAACACAGTAAGAGTGGGACGTTGGATTTATACAAATCAGGCGTTGTGTCAGCCCACAGCAACTGCACACACAGTTTATCGTTCTGGTCAGCAGTTAGTACACATATTACTGAAAACTAGTATGTTTATGGTTTCCAGCCTTAAATTTTTACTTCATTCCGTGACTCAGGTATGTTTCTTACATAGGAATGAAGCAACAAAGTTGCGATGGAGGATCAAAGGAACCACTTGCTAGCAGTCGAGCCTTGAACAGATTGTATACAAGATGCCTTAATTGAATGGACTAACTCGTGCACTGAAACTATCCAACGATTTTCAAATTTTATTGCACCAAAATGAAACATCCGGCATCAATTATCGACTTCTTTGTCCATACGCCATACAATGTATATACTTTGAAACAAATTCCTTCAACAATTTCGATATTGCAACTGAAAGCAAGAATAGAGTTACGAGCTGGGATCCCTGTAGAGCACCAGCTGCTCAATCTAAGCGGTACTTGCCTTGATGATAACAGCTTGATCTCAGAAACTGGAATCAAGAAAGGCAGCGTTGTACGGCTACTTTTTGCCTCAAAGATTGTTGAAAAACTTTTCGAGATGACAAATATCGAAGATATCGTTGGCTTACTAAATGCAGGTGTGCAAGTTATCGACCTTTCCGAGGCAGCTAGTTTTAATGATCGGAATCGTGTGATTTCATGGAACAAAAATGCTATGCAGAGAGCATTTCTAGCTGTATGTGTGGCCTGTTTTAATGGCAGCTTAGATCTGCTGGATAGTTTGCTGAAATATTGTGCATTAGACTTGAATCAGGTAGGAAGATCTTTTTCGTTAGTTGTCATTCAGGTATAACAATTCTCAATAAGCCTCAAGTGCAAATTTTTGTTACAGGCATGTATAGCTTCTGTATACAAACCACATATATGAACAAAAACAAAGCACAAATTTGTTTACCACTGTAAGCTGTCCGTGCAATGGGAAATATGCTGACAAAGTCTTTGTCTGCAAGGAAGATACCTGGGGAAAAGTTCTTCTCAGTTATCATGAGGCATCCGTTATTGGGATGTATCAAGGACTAATAGCTGAGTGATCATATTTTAATGAAATCTCCATGAATCATTTAGTAGCATGCAGTGTAGTCATTCTTCATCAGGCTCTAGATATACCTCTTATAGACCAAAAATGCCAAGAAAATATGAAAGGATTTTATAATGTCTCGTATTTTGTTTCTGATTAAAGAGGAAATAATCTTGTCCAAAATATTTTGATTATACATGATAAGACATGATTGATTATTCTAAAGACCTGAGACTCAGTCAATGTGATGTCCGCAGCTGTTAATCTATCAAGGATATGACAATGATCTCTTGGCTTTTTTACAGGTGACTGCTTGGGGAAGGTCAGCCTTGCATTTTGCAGCAGCAAGGGGATCTATTGGATGTGTATGCCTGCTTTTAGACCGTGGAATCGATGCTTGTATACAGGATATGGACGAAAGAACAGCTCAGGACATTGCATCTGAGCTTGGCCATATTCACTGCAAACGTAGGATTTGGCTGTACAGATGGAACATTAAGCCTACGTTGAGGAAGGATAAGAAAAGGTGAGGTGTACGAACAGCGAACCCACTTGAGTATATCAATGAGGTTTTCTGTTTTTTCACGTGTGGTGAGTACAATATCACGAGCTGCCTCTAAACACAGTATTGATATATTTTCTTTCTATCACAAGTGATCACGAGTTAAATAGAAACGATTCTCGTTCAATGGGGTTAGAACTTCCAACCTTTATTTGATAGTTTATCTTATGGATGAGTTCAACTTTCTAAACGAAGGGCTACATATCGTTAAAACAGTACTGTACAAAGAGGGCTAAAGCATTTGCTAGTCAACGCACCCTTTCTAAACGCCCCCATCGAAAGAACAACTTTGAATGGTTATTTTTTCTGCGAGAATAGTTCTCTCTATCCATTCTCCACAGAAAATTAAGATATACTCCCCTTTTCATTTAGAGGCAACGGTAGAACAATTTTCATTCACACATATTTATGAGAGTTCTAGCACATTTTGCATCAATAACTCAACTTGTTTTCCGACTTTTTCAAAGACCATTGCAGTAAAACTAAATGGGAAAATGGCCCTTAGCAAAATGTTTGGTGGCATCATAGCAGATTAATATAAATGCAAAGTTAAGGTAGCAGTCTACCATGAACATGGTCAGTTATGAAAATTTTGTCAAAATTCCTTTTTCCTTGGATATGATCAGGAAAATTACTGCAAAATTTGATTTTGAAGGAAGTTTTCCCGTAACTGTTGTAGTTTTTGCGAAAATTTGATTTATTTATCCCCTTGGTTGATCATCTTTCCTTAGCAACCAAGTTTCTATCGGTTGCTAGGGGGTCTGTTGACACCCATGGGACCCGTTTTTGAAAAAAAATTATATTACGTAATCTATGGTCTTCTACCCTATCCCAAAATGCATTTATACCACTTTAAAAAGCACAGGGAACGAATGAAGCATAGTTTCTGTTTGGCCTGGCCGACGAAAGTTGTTCGAAGAGTCCTTCTGTTTATGAAGCGAACTTATCCGACAATGAACGCCCTGAAAAGAGAGTTTTTAATCGAAAATTTAGGTCGGTAAAGCGAAGAAAAGAAAAAGATCTGCTGGAAGTAGAAAAAACTATGTATTCGAAGCAATGACAAGGATTTGGATTACTTAGGCCAAAGCGAAAAGGTGATGAAGATGTACTGCCTACCTCGTCTTCACAAGCAACAACGGATCAAAGCAAAGAATCAGAGGAACACAGTGCTTCACTTTATAAACTTACGAACTCTTTCTTTGGTTCAGAAAACCTTAGTCCCATATAAAGACCAATTTCCGGATAAAAAAAACGAAGGATGCTGCTGCTGGCAATATTGGCAGTGCTGACGATGGCTACAGCCTTATAGATAAGAAACTCATGATGAATGCAATCAACAAAATTGCTGTTTGTCGTACATGTAGGAATCCAAAGGCACAGTTAAGCCTGCTGCTTAGTTTGGCCTCTAGTTTAGCAATAAGTTTGGCCTTGCAGAGAAATATTATCTTGTATGTAGCCATTGTCATACAAGTTCACCACTTGAGACCAGTGAAAAGCTCAGTGGATCTAAGAGGGGAGACAAGAAAGGGGGACAGACCACATATTAAATAAACTGTAGATCAGTTGTTGCTTTACTAGAAACTGAATGTGCTGGGTTGGAGAGATCTTTTGGCTTATGAGTCTTCCAAACACTGTCTCAAAGTCACCTTACAGCAAACAGTTAAAAGATCTTGAGGAAGTGGCAGTAAATGTATGTGAAAACATTATGAATGAAGCAGCTGCTAGGCTTATAGAGATCATTGAAAGAGAAGAGCATACAATGATTGAATTTGATAAACCATCCACTGGAATGAGTCCTTGCATGGTATGGTATGGGCATGATGTCCAAAAACCTGTCAGGTTTAGTGGTTAGAGATCAGTGATTTAGTGGAAAACGAAAAGTTACAATCACTGTTTGCCATTCTGTTGGAAATTTCAATATAGGGCCATCATCAATTGCAGATGTTTTGAAGGCATTACAACTTAAATGTAGCCAAACAAACTTTAAATTATTTGAAAACTGTTGACAATAGAAGGCTGAAAGATGCTGCAAGGAAGGTTTCACAGAAATACAAAGATCGGAGACAAAAATTACAAGCTGCCACCTTAAAAACATCACAGAAATACAAAGATCAGAGACAAAAATTTCAAGCAATAAAGAAGCGAAGACTTGATGTAGCTAGGAATAGCTATTTATCAAGGGCTTTTGGTCTTTCTGCAGAGCCTGAAAACATTTCTAAAAAGGTGGTTGATGCAAGTCTAAAAAGGAAAAGAGGATATAAGGAAGGAAAGAAAAAGAGACCTAGAAAGTCGACGGACCTGTCGAGTAATGAACATGGACATTTCAACCAGTTTGAACCCCCAGTTACCTTTATGATGCATCTAAACATTATTATTGACTTCTTTTAACATTTTTGGTTGTATCTATGGGTACATTATGTGTGATACACAACCAAAATTCAGTCAAGTTGCAAAAGATAAGAAAAATTAGTTATTCAGTACATCTCAAAACTTCAAATGCACTTTTCTCAAATCTCAAATACGGACATCTATTAAGCTTGTGATTAAGATATCTTTGGCTCTGTATAAGATATGAAGATGAAATTTTCAAATAATATGTATCTTTTAATGCTCTATGCAATAAATACATAGATTTTTGATAGAAGAAATATTTCACAAAATATTTTAGAAAACTCAACTTTTCACAATAAAATATCTAGCTGACTTGGTATCATAAAACTGTGTGTTCATTGCATAGATTATGTAAGTAGAAACTTGTTGCTAAAAAATTTTCACCATAGCCTTTAGCATTCATGAGATATCATTTCCACAATTTGCAGAAGTTCGGCCTTTGTTTTTATGTTTCTATGGCAACGTCATTGCCACACCCTTCCAGACATCTATTTTTGCTTTTTAAATCTTACATTGTTTATAACCTGAAAGTTTCAAGCTTCAAGCTCAAGCCATTATCAAGTTTTAGCCAGTTTTCCATATTGCTGCTTTCAAGGTAGACTGCCACCTTAATGGAATTTTAAGCAATCACGTAACAATACAACAACACCCATGCCTTTTCAGGAGACAAGACCAAGATGAAGATGTCAGATTCCCCATTCTTGGAGCAAGAACACCGTTGACACCAAACGAGATTTCGTATGTGGAAGACAGTCGTGTTTATGAGGTAAGTGTTGACAGTAGATTTTGAATACATAGTAATGAAGCACATCAAACTGTAAAGACGAGGTACCGTTACTAAAAAGGATTGTTAATGGTCATTTGTATGAGCAGAACCTTTTGGGAGAACTCAAGGAAAACCCAGAAACTCGTTTAGAGGGATGAAGCATTTGCTAAAGTGCGAGGGCTACTCAGTGGTTAGGGTCGCTGAATACGGATTCGTTGTTTGAGCCCCTGATATTACCAAATTTTCACTCATCAGAGTGAGAAAAAAACAGCCAGCTCTCTGTATTTCCAGGCGTCGGAATCACGAGGTGTGGCCACATCCAGAGGAAAGACCAGGATACTGCTCAATAAGCACAGCTTCTCGATGTTCTAAAACTGCCCTTTGGATGCTGGGTAGCAAGTACAAATAAAAATACTTCCTAACCTCTGCCCTCACTCTTTTTAGTCCGCCCTAATAAACAAATAATTTTGTCGATATGCCTGCTTAGCCGTTGCAATCTACAGCAATACACAGCGACCACAGAGCATATTACGTATTTGGGGAGGTATATGGTTAGGGGGCTGAACAAGCTAAAGGTTTAAAGCAGGGCGGTTTTTATATGTGTTTAACTTAGTATTTTTGGGTTTTGACTTTTGAGTACATGTTTGGAATTATTTTGGACTAAGCCCCCCTCCAGCTCCCATTTTTGAAGTCCCTGTCAAAACAAGATAGGTTACAGGGATGGTCCTATCTCTATAGAATAGATGATGCTTGTAAAAAACATATCAAGCGTAAACAATAAATACAATAGAGAAGATAAACGCCATTGAAATTTCTTATTATAAAAAAACCAGATTTGAATAGGTGTATCATTGATAAACCACCGACTTCATTGTGGTATCGTATGAAAATTGTTTCACAGACAGTAAATAGTCTGATTTCAAACAGTTTCTCCCGTTTTGATGGAAGCAATCTAGAAATGTTGTTTTGCCAAGCATCCATTCCTGCTGATCATCAGTTACACTAGGTATGGTACGTTATTTTCAGTTATATTACTGCTTTGTGAAACGTCACTTTGGTAAATTATGGGCCTAAATAAACAAAGCTAGTATCTCCACTGAATTCCTTGTTAGTTCAGCGAAGTACGCATTTCATACACAACAAGAAAAGCCTCTGTAGAATCGACTTCCTTTCCGTGCCAGAGTGATGCAATTTATTTTTATACTTTTGATCTTTTATCATTACATCAAATACACAATTCCCTGCGTTTTGAGATTGTTTCGTCATCCCAAAAATGCGTAAAACAAAACAAAAAACGGTTAGTGACGTAGTTTGACCTTCCAGACTAGAGGAAGTTTGAGGGTCATCAAGAGTAAATTTCCCGACGAAGGCATTAGATAGAGTAAGATTTAGGTGTTTTTCACCTACCGACACGTTATTTTATCGATCAATAAAGGATTTCATGGACCAACTGAAGATTTGCCTACAAACTTTTGAAGAATTGAGTATGACAACAAACCCTACATCCCCTGCTAGCTACGCCCCTGGATACAGTAATTCCTCTTAAAATAGTTTTTTCTCATAAAGCAATATTCCTTGCATAGAAGCCCCATGACATTTTCATAAAATGCCCACGACCTGTCAAACTGCTTGTGACACAAAGGGAAATCAGTTTTTTTGCTAAAATATCTTTCCTTCTCTTTCTATATTACTCCACCGCGGTCACAGTCCCTACAGGATACAGTTACCAAAAAAATAGACTTGAGGGTGTTTAGCTAGGACGTGAACCTTAAAAATAAAAATATATCTTTAAGCGAGTTATGAATTGACGTTTGAGTGGCTGAAAATATGATTTCCCAACAAAGTCTGACAAAGTAGCAAAATTTCCGAATTATTCTATCCTAAAATCCGATACGGACGGAGGTAAGAAAGGCTAGACGGACGAAAAAATAGAATCTTGTAAATTTAGGAGATTATAGCTCCGTGTCCCCTAGTCATTGCGTCCATGGTGGAGAGTTGCCTTCCGATTTCTCTTTCTCACTCTCTTTCTCGCCTTTTTCTTCTCTCCCTCCTTCACGCCCTCCCCCCGTCTCTCCCCCCTCCGTCTCTCCCTCCTTCCGTCTCTCCCTCCCTCCTTCTCGCCCTCCCTCCCTTTCTCGCCCGCACTCTATTTATTCATCGCTTTTTTCTTCCCATTTCTTCTCTGAATTCCTTCCTCTATCTCTTTTTCCTTCTAAACGTGTTTACAAAATACCTTGACGACAACACGGACCCTAAACTATCATAAAAATGAGCTACGATTCTCTGCTTTTTGTTCTCCTCAGTTGAAACGCTCCACTTCTATATTACAGGACACAAGAGAACTTCCCAGGGTTCTTTCAAGGAAGTCAGTGAATACTTTTGCAAGAGCATCTATTACAAGCTTGGAGTCCATTCCCCAAAACACAGCCCCTGCATCATCTATTGTTGAAACCACAAGAGAGCAATCTCCTCAACTTGAGCTGCATCACATGGAAAGCTCCAATTCAATAGATTCGATTGCCAACGATGAAAACCAGACTAAGGAGGAGACTGACTGGGAGAATAAAGATGAGCTCCACCTTCTGAAACGGCTGGCTGAGAAGTATGGCTACACTATCGTTGACAACAGAAAAGGAAGCAGGCTAGGACAAAACCAGAAAACAGACAGTGTCGATAGTGCTGTCAGAGCTCAAAAATCTAAATCTATGCTTGAAAGAGATGACAAAATACAGCAGCAAGTTAATCATAGCACTGACCATAGTGAAAGAAAAGAGGGTGAAACGAATAGGTAACGAGAATATGCATCATCGGCTTCTTGAAGGGTATCACAAGCATGGGGTTTGACTTTCTCCTTAAATAGGCCCCCAAGCTGGATTACCCCAGGTTTTCAAACAAACCCACTGCCCAGTAAACAGCCCTCCATTCTAAATTTTAAAATATGCTACATTACATAGCACAGAAACCACATTTTACATTCGTTCTTGCTTATTCTGTTTCATCATAGTCCATTGCTTTTTCAATTGACTTTGGTTGCTTTTCTCTGACTGTTAATTTCCCAAAATCATATGAAGCTTAACTACCAAACTACGTCACAAGCCCAGACCCCTTAATGATTTTCGCGCTTCGGTAATTATTTCAAAATTGACAGCTGAGAAATTAGAACGTTTTCTTGATGCCTTAAAGATGAGATACATAAGCGAAGTAAAATTTATTGCTTTAACTTTATGGGTGAGCCTTTCATCTAAACAGGGAGAACAAACTCCTGTATCAATTTGTAAGAACCAAAACTTGACGAATAACTTAATTTGAAGTTGGAACTGCATTTTGAAAGGCATTAAATCCGTTTCTAAAGAAAAATTGCAATCTTTTCAAGTAAAGACATTCAAAGCTCGTTCTTTTCTACCTTTACCTCTCTCCTATTTTTCTTCGTCTTTATTCATTTTCAATTGATTATGATATCTTAATAACTAAATAGTGGAAACATTATTTTCATGACGTTCTTGTCTTCCAGAGTAAACAAACGTGCCAGCTTCATCAGGAAAATTTCGTTACTTGAGAAAAAGAAAGAAGGAAATAATGGCCTTCCTGTGGCAGCTTTAAATGAAACTGAGGTTGATAAAAATGAATCTGAAATGCACAAGAGCGAGCTTGAGAAACAGAGGGTAGGTGGTTCAACTGAACAGTCGAGAAAGGAAGCTGTGCTTTCTTTTTCTTCAAAATCGAGTTTTAAAACACAAGAAATTAATAAAGACAAACCCAGAATATCTGAAACTGGTAAGATAAAAGCAGAAAGTGAGACAAAAAAACCACCACTTGAAAAAACAGGCAAAGAGGAACGGCATAGTAACGAAAACAGCGAGACACGAATAGGTCGAGTTGAACTAAACACGGGTAATGACGAAGCAAAACGAGATTCCAAATCGACGTTTGAGCGATGGTTGGAGCGAAAGTCTGCACAAAAACGAGAATCTTCTGCAAAAGAAAGCAGCCAAGGAAATGAAAGCGAAAAGCGACGGGACATGTGCGACCAGGCATTTAAGAAATGGCTGCAATTGAAAAAAGTAAGATACCGGAGCGCTTCTGTGTCGCCTAGGCCGAGTTTTCAAGAAAGCAGGCGGGAAATCAAACGGCCAAAAAGTGGCCTAAGTTTCGAAACGTGGATGAAAGGAAAAGGAAAAGTACAGCCTAGATCATCGAGTATGAGTGAAACAACAACACATTTGCCTGTGAAAAGAGCATACAGCTCAGGAATAACTTACTCTGAATGGATCGATTCAAAACGAAGCCAGTTTAAACAGAGCTTGGGAAATGCGGAGGAGGAAAATAGCAACGCAGCGGCATCTCCGAACAGAGTAAGATTAAACGGTATAACATTTGAGAACTGGGTTGAAGCGAAAACTGAGCAATTTCAAATTGAACGTGTAGAAAAGGACACTGAAAAAATGCGGTTAGAATATGAGAAAGAAATGGAGTATGAAAGAAAACTGAAAAATTCGAATGTTAAGACTTTCGAGGACTGGTTGTTCGAAAAGGAGTTCGAAGATCGTATCCGGAAAACTAAGGAAAAGAAAGCAAAGAGAAAGAGTCGTAAAAATAAGACAAAATATGAAGAAGATTCGAATTTAGTATATAATATGTGGTTAATGAACAAACATATAAGTGAAATGGAAAAAGAAGAAGAAGATTTAATTGCTCTTCGTGAAGAATGGGAGCGAAAAAAGAAAATGCAGCTGAAAATTGGAACAGAAATGGAAAAAGCTGAAGCAATATAATAAATCCCTGTGACTAGTGGTTGGAGGGTAAAGATGGCTGGGGTTGTGGGGGTAGTCCCCCAACTCAACTGCTGCAGTGAGGGCTATGTGATTGCTTCTTTCAAAAAGTGGTAGAGTAGTTTATTAAATAGCGAGAACGGCAAATGTATATCGACTTGTCCATATTTGGCTACTCTTATATTTCCCCAGTATACAAAAATGAAAAAACTTAAGATATAATGTAAATAAACCTAACTTACGACGCAATGCGGTGAAGGCATACAAAGATTTAACTCACTGAGTCATTTATTAATTGGAAGTAAACTTCAGGATGGCCCGGAAAAGCAACAATTTTTAGAGTGCGAAATGCTGTATGACAAATATTCATACACAATGTTTGTAAACAAAGTAAGATATAAGCGATAAACATGGCATATTTTTGCCATCATCTAGAGTTCCTGTATCTAAGAAATCTAAAGAGCAAAAATGTGTCTAAAAATGGTTTTGCTTTCCATGCCATCATGAAGTTTGTAGCTTTTCAGAATTGTAAATGTATATATTTTGTAGATATATCATTTAATGTAATTTTGTACATGCGACTTTTTTAGTCCTTGCTTTGTGCTTTCATAGTTTGTGATGGAAAGAAACTATGTCGGGTAGCATTTTGTGCTTCAATGGCTTATTATATTGGTTCAAGAGAATTTCAGTATAATCGCAATCATCTTATCAACG